CAGCGACCTCGCCCTGCGCATGCGCCGCCTCCGAGACACCTTTGGCGCCCGGTCCATGGCCCGACGCGCCATTCCCAACTACGCCCCCGTGGCTCAGAATGCGCCGCGGCTACCGGCGGACCGCACATCCTCAGCCTCTTCCATCTCCGAGATATCAGCGTCGACCACGTCGGGGCAGTCGGGGCAGCATACGGCCACGGATGGCGAGGCCGCCCCTCCGCCTCGACTCTGGTCCATATTCTCGGGCTACAACCTCGCCGACATCCCCGTCCTGTCCATGATTCCTCTTCCCGTGCTCACCCTCGAGCTCCGCGACAACGAATTCTACACATTTGACTTTGCGCAGCGCGTCAGCGACGACTTGGTGGAGCTCATGCAGCTCGACCCCGGCCAGCAGGGCACCAGCAAGATGCTGCGCGTCATATTATCCAAGCCGATGGTGGCTCTCCCGCCAGGCACCGCCGGCATGAACACAACACCAAATACCACTACCGTACCGCTCGAAGCTCCCCCGGTCGTAGCTCCGGCAAATACTACGACGACAACGACGACGACGACGACGGCGGCGGCGGCAAAATCCGAATCAGTCCGCATGAGCAAGATGATTAAGAGCTTCAAGAATCCACTCAAGCACCACATTCGGCGCAAGAAGCTGAAATGACTCCTTGATCGCTGCCTCGACCCTTGTCGGGCGGCAACAACTCGCGAGGCTACGCCGCGTTAGTCTGTCGAATACATGCACATACTTGCCGGGAGCGGGGACCAAATGAAGCATAGACTACTCTTCTCTCTGTTTTGTTCGAAGGAAAGGGGGGGGGGTTAATATCTGAGGCATACAAGCTGTCTGTTTATGATGTATGTCCTCTCCAAAGGGGTTATTACATTACTATTTTTTCATTCTGCGCTTACTACATCATACCTTTACCTTTATTTACATATCTGGAAACAAAGCGAATGGCGTTCATGGAGGGGGGGGGGGAAAACGCATAGTGTTTAGGTTAACAAAGGAGAAATATCAAAAGATTGTGACTTTTATTTGATCACTGAAGGTTATTTCAGGTTATTTACCCTGGCATGTTTGAAGAACGTGTACAACAAGATTCAAGTTGAGCACCTAGGTTACTCATGTGTCGAGACATTCAAGGCAAGATACCACGTTGGAACATGGCCACTCGGCGCATCTTGTTGATGTAGTATTTCTCCTCTTTCCAGAGCGTTGCGCTGGAGTGAACCCTTCAAGAGCCAAGCACACTGATCGGTACACTCTACAGTCCAATCAACTCGATCGATTAAGTCATGATCAAAGTGATGTGAGTGTTAGAAGAAGCCGAAGTATTGGATATTACTCGAGAAACGTATACCCATTGCGAGCTTCGGAACATTCATGTCAATCTATCTCTCCGGTATACCCGTATTATGCTATAACCAATGCATTACCCAATAAAAACCCCCTATGACCTAGGTATGTCTAATTCTCCCAAACAGCATGCTCGTAAATGCTACAGAAACGCACCTCGCCACCACTTTACAGAATCAGCTTGGGCCCGTGGTGCTTGGTCGTCTGGCTGTAGGCGCTCATCTCCGTCTCCAGCTTGCGCTTGGGGAAGCCGTCAAACGAGAGGGCGTAGGTGGCAACCGAGTGGGCAATAAGCTGCGTATTCAACGATTAGCAGTTGCTTTACGAGATTCACGAGTCTCAAAGTCAGACGGAGCTCACTTTGGTGTTGACCTCCCAGGCGGTGTGGTTCAGGTTGCCCAGGTCGTCACACAGCTGGTGGTAGCAAGGGTCAAGCCACTCGCCGGCGCGTCCGCCAAACATCTCGGCCTCCTCCTTGGTCTTGACAGCCTCGGCGCCGGTAGCAATACCACCGGCGGGGATGCCAGCGCGGATGAAGCCGTCGTAGTCGCTGCGGCCGTCAAAGGGAACTGAAAAGCTGTCAGCTGGTGTCACGAAAGAAGTATAAAGTAAAAAGACTGTTGACAAAAGACATACTGAAGGTGTAGTTGAGGCCCTGGGACTTGTACCAGTCCACGTAGAGGTTCCTCAGCTCCTCGGAGCCGGCAGGGCTCTCGGCGTTGGTTGCGTTGTAGATCTGGTAGGCAAAGTTGGGACTGGCCACTGCACGTAGCTGTCAGTAACAGTTCCACGCCTCTTGCATCAGTAGCACTTACTCATGTCATAGTCCATGAAGAGGCGGATCTTTTGGTTCTCCTCGTCAGACAGGCTGGCGGCGTAAAAGTCGGAGCCCAGCAGGCCCTCCTCCTCGGCAGCCCACCAGGCGAAGCGGACGCAGTTGTTCACCTTGAACTTGGTCAGCTGAACGGCGACCTCCAGAACGGATATACTGCCGGAGCCGTCGTCGTTGATGCCGGGGCCCTCGGCAACTCCGTCGCTGTGACCGCCGAGCATGACGCAGTTGTCGGGATCGCCCTCTTCCGTCTGGGCCAGGACATTGACCGTCTGGATCTGCTTGACCTCGGCATCGATGTAGGCAATGGCATCGACAGACTCGCCATTGCTGAGCTTGGCGAGAATCTTCTTGCCCTCGACGCCGTCAATGCCAAAGGTGGCAATGTGGTCCTCAACGGGCAGTCCCAGCGTGCCATGAAGCTCCTCCGGGTCGGTGTTGTAGATGACGGCAGCCTTGGCACCAGCCTTGCCGGCCCCAATCGACTTGTCGCCAAAGGAGCAGGCTCCTCGGCGGATAAAGGCAATGTTGCCCTTGACGTTCTGGGGGTAGTCGGACGCGTCGCAGCCGCTGTTTTGGACGAGCACCAGGTCGCCGTGGACGGGCTCCTTGTCCTTGGTGGGCGGCGTCAGCCCCATGGGGATGGCCGACTTGGAAACCTCATCGGCCAAGACCAGGCGGAACTGGAAGACGTTGGACAGCGTGACGGGGAATTCCTGGACAGAGACATTGTAGTAGTCGCCGTGGTCGAGCAGGGTGTTTGTGATGTAGTTGAGCGTCTGCTCGTGGCCTGGGAAGGACATTTGATGGTCAGTCATGGGACGGATGACATGACAAGTTTCTCTGAGCTGATCCCCTAGGACTTACCGGCACTGCCAATGACTCGAGTCGGATGGCCGTATTCCTCCTCCGAGGCCTTTGCGAACTTGTAGAAGCTCTCCGCACGCTTCACGAGCGTGTCGATGCTGATGGCGCTCTGCAGGGCCTCGGAATCAATGATCGGCTTGGAGCCGTAGTCGGCGACGGCCTCGTGTGAGGGAGGCAGCGACTCTGGGGCAGTCAGCGGCTGCTGGATGCCGGCTGCCGAGACGCCGCAGAGGGCGAACGAGGCCGTGAGGGCCAATCTGCTGAGGACGGCCATGATGATGGTTCTGTGAGGATATGGAGGGTGTGTAGAGGAGAGGAGATGGGTGTTGAAAGAGAGAGAGAAAGGGGGGAGGCCGAGGCGAGGGAAGCTCGACACAAGAGTCACGAGCGAGGGCGGGAGGCTGGAGTATTGAGAGCACATGGAGCAGATAAGCAGATAAGGAGCACATTGAGCTCAGCAGGACGCGGGCGCACGTCATTCCGCTGCACTGGGCGGTCACCGCTGCCTATCTTACAGTGATCTAGCGGACCCCTGGCCGCTGGACGGGGCCGCCCTAGTGGTCACACGGCCTCTGGACAGCGGGGGAGGCCCCTGCAGCGGCGCGGCGGCTAAGGCAGGGGCCGCGCTGGAGGACGCAGCACTGGGAATGAAGGGCGTCGTCATTGATGCACTCGACTCATGGAACTCAACTCACTCTCACTCGTCGACACCGAGACAGAGCTTACTGCACAAGTCGACTGCCTGACTCACTCACTGAGTCCAAACCCTCACCGAGACTGATGCTCATCTCATACCGTAGAGTCTTTCTTCTCAGCGTCGGGTGAGTGCTCGAGGCAGCTTGGCATGTCACTAAACCGCTCAGCCAATCGCTTCCTCACGGGCTGAGACATTTGTCTGATAGCGCACAGCTCATCTCCCCGTCAACTCAAAGCAGGTGTGACAGCATATACATACGAGCCAGAGTCAAGCAAGGGAGACTTGAAGTTGAAATGCTGTTCACCTTGCTCACCTGCCTTCAGTCTACAACAGATACCTTTCTCATGATAACTGGACTACCTACCTACACGCAAATGCCAATGCTACCGCAACAAAGAACATGATGAGGATTTACATGCCTATTGGACAAGAATACCTTGACTTATGTGCAATGTTCGATATACATACATAGCTTTCTGGCCAATTGTACTTGTTGCTCAAGCTTGGAGGCGTTCTGACTGCCTGGGCAATGAATCCACTTCCACTCACCCTGTAGCTCGCATCTTCCATGTAATCCACCATAGGTACACTGTAGGCGACATTTAATGACGAGCCAGAAGAGTATTGGTAACAACCAGTATCTGTTAACATGGACTTGCTCCCGAGTCCTCAAGAGTAGGAGGTTCTAGATCAATGCCAAAGGTATTACAAGAGAGCCAAGAGGCATGATTTACAGTGATTGTGATGAAACAGCACCACGACTTTCACAAGAGACGGGACTTGTATCATTAAGACCTCGTAGCAAATATACCTAGGTTAACATTTGGAATGCTCCGAGCTGATATACCTCCTATTGTGACCTCTGGTATCCAGCTTCTTCACAACCAATGTTCCACATTGCCAGCTTTTATAATGTAGGTAAGGTATCTACCATACATACCTACCTTATGTATGTTAGCTACAAATTTAATACCTAAGGTATCTGCCTTGTACTACCTACATATTTAGGGACAAGCGACACGAATCGCATCTGTGATATTCACAAAGAGAGTCGAGTTCAAGCAAAGATCCTCACAAGGCTGTATATCATGAGATGTGGGTTTTCATCGCCATATTCAACAAGCAGTATCATATGTCCATCGTGACAATTGGCTGCTGAGCCTCAGGCAACATCATCATCCCTAAGCTATTGAGCATAAAATTCCCCGTCTCGGCGTATATCATGTATGTATCAATCTCAAGGCGGCTTAAGCAGCTCGCTTGCCGTACGGCTCAAAGGGAAACAAGACAGCAAACAAGGCAAGCCCTCCATAGAGCGCCGCACACACAAAGACGGGGCCTGTAGTGGACGGGTCGGCGTATCTGGTGACATCCATAGAATTTAGCACTTACATCCAGGCAATTGAACAACAACAGGACATGCACTTACGTAGCAACAACAGCGGAAAAGGCTCCGGCAAGTCGACAAAAGGCGACGGCGATACCGTTGGCCGTGCCACGATGGGCAGAGAGCAGAGACTCTGCAGTGTATCCGTAGAGCACGCCGTAGTAGATCTCGAGCGTAAAGGAGATGACACAGCTGTAGGCAATGTTTTCCACCTGAGACTTGACTTGCGAGTACGCAAAGAAGAAGGCCTAACCCATACTGTCAGCCAGATGTGCAAGGTGTCAGTGTATATGGATGCTTCTCAGGAGCTTACCATGGTAATCAAGGCCCCAATGACCATGGTATACCTTCGTCCCAGGGGCTTCCAGTTACACATGACAGCGCCAAGCACAGGACCGAATATGCCGCAGACCTGTACCAGCGCATAGTTCCTCCAGGTCTCAAAGGCGCTTGTGACGCCAAACTGGACGCCCCGACTGGCCAGGTAGTAGGGCAAGAAGACGTTGAACAGGGGATACGCAAGACCAATGCTGGCCCAAGACAGCCACAGCAGGATGGTCGTGAAGCCCATCTTCTTCGTCAGGAACAGGCTGCGGAGATGGACCAGAAATTCGCCGACGGAGAAGCGGTTCTTTGAATGAGTGGAGTTGACGGTACCGCAGGCTTCCAGCTGGGCAAGCGTGAGGTCGCAGGGACGGTTGTACCGCTTGGCAATGCCCTGGAGGTTGTTGACGACTTCCTCATCGCGGCCTTGGCCTAGGAGAAACTTGGGAGTCTCTTGGAGGCGGATGACGGTGACTCGGGCGACGGCCAGCACGGCGATGAAGGCTCCCATGGTGTACATGAGATATCGCCAGCCGCTGTTGTTGGCCTTGGTGCAGTCGCTGGCGTCAGAGCAGGAGAAGTTGGCTACATGTACATGCAACATCATCCATCGTTAGTATCCTTGATTCAACATTACATACTTTGATCAGAGACTTACGCATGAATCCCCAAGCAACCAGGCCGGCAATGGTACATCCAATTCCAAACCAAGCGGGCAGCAAGCTGAGAAGCCACTGCTTGTTGGAGGGGAGATACTCCAGAAAGACGGCCGTATCAAGGATCAAATTGCCACCGGCTCCAAACGCGGCTACGGCAATCAAGACACCCAGCCCGGCCCAGTTGGGAGCTGCACCGGCCGCGATGGTAAAGACGGAGCAGATGAAGAGGGAGATGTTGAATGCTATCTTGCGGCCGATGATGTCGGCGAAGAAGCCCCAGAACAGGGCGCCGATGAGCATCCCCATGTATAGAGCGATGGTCAGGCCTTTGTCATACGATGGCTGGAACTCGAGGACGGCCTGGACGGCAATGATGCCCTGGAGGGACAGTTGGAGCGCATCTACACCGTATCTTCAGAGTGGATTGTCAGCTGTTGCATTGCAGAAGCGTCAGTGTTGTGTAACTCACCCGAAGCCATTGAGGAAGAAGAGTTTCAGATGGTAGTTTGTCCAGCCGATCTGATCCAATGCCTTCTCGGGTCAGTTTCGATGAAGAGACATCTTCCCGAGTGATCCAACTTACATTGTTGACCAAGTGCATCTTCTTGTCCAGTGCAGGATCGAGGTCTTGCATCCCGACAACCTCCTCAGCTCCGCCGGAGAAGTCGGGCTTCTCATCTTGTTGAAAGTCTCTCTCAACATCTCGCCTAACCTCAATCACATCCTCTTCTTTTCCCATGGCTGTATAGATAATGGAGGACAACAACCGTTAAGCGTTGATGATGCAAGAGAGCAGGCTCAGTAGTGCTGATGGCCGAGCCGAGCAGAACTGAGGGAAACATTTGTCACCGCGGAGGGGGGGTTACGCGATCCGTATTTAAACCCGTTGACATCTGCTGTTGGCTGTCGCCGGCCGAATGCCGCAAACTGATCGGTCATCTTCCATTTACCCTATCAACAGATTCATCCTTCCGGCGGTGTATGCTTGACCGGGGGCTAGCGAGCTGGGCTATAAAGAAAGGCGTTCGCCTTTTCTTTCACTCTGGACCATCTTGACTTGTCCGACGGCTCACCACGATACCAATAGCAGAACAATATATCAAAGCTATGGTTCATGCGGAGTCGATAGACGACAAAACAAAACCGTGGAGCAGTTCTCTTTGGGGCCCCGCAATTCACACGTCTTACATGGCTATCCATCTCCCCCCCCGGAAGGGAGGCGTCAAGGGCCGGACTTATTAGGTAGGACGTTATCAAGTTCGGTTTGGCCCACGAGTTACGTTACAAGCTTGGAGTTTTATACGGACGTTCAATCCGCTATCAGCACTAGCTATGGCCACCAGACAGCTGGATCCCATGACTATTGACAGCTTTGATTGAAAGAGCTCCAACTCCAAACACTCTCCCGAGCGCGTGGCTCTGACCCCGGCTGAACGGCAGGTGACCGAGATGGCTGTTTTGCCGTTTAGACGAGGTGCGAGGGCACCATATCACGCTACCAATTTTACATACGAGAGGGAGATGTCAATATTTAGCCTCATCTTGCCAGACTGCGATGAAGAAGGTTTAATGCGGCAACTTTCCTGGACCTTGACAGTCCCCCTTTCAAGAGGTACGGACGAAGGTAGGATACCAGTATGGGCTCTATTGTGAATCCTCTTGTGGCCGGTCCGGCGTTGGACTTGACGGTTCTGGGTATGAACAGCGGAACGTCCATGGTATATGCTCCTCTCCTTGATTTGTGCTTGACCTCAAGTCGGAAAGCTGATAAGAGTTACTTGTTAGGATGGCGTTGACTGCGTTCTATGTCGGTTTAGACAGCAGGATCCAGCTTCGCCAGTCAGCTTGGAGCTGCTGAAATATGGAGAGACGCCCCTCAACCCTGACGTTAAGAAGCGGGTGATGAACATGATACTTCACAACTCGACTTCCCCTGAGGAAATCGCAGAGATCAATGTCATTCTCGGAGAGACTTTTGCCAAAGCGGCGCTGGACTTTATCAGGACGAACAACATCGATCAGTCTTCAATAGACATTATCGGATCCCATGGCCAGACTATCTGGCATATCCCTCATCCAAAGAACCAAGTCCGGACGACTCTCAGCATGGGCGAGGGGGCCATCATCGCAGCTCGTACAGGAATCACCACGGTGACGGACTTTCGCGTCAGCGAAGTTGCCGTTGGCCGACAGGGAGCTCCCCTTGTTGCGTTTTTTGATGCCTTGCTTTTGCATCATCCTACCAAGTTGAGGGCATGTCAGAATATCGGAGGTATCGCCAACGTATGCTTCATTCCTCCTGATGTTGAGGGAGGACTGAGTGATGGCTTCTTTGACTTTGATACTGGTCCTGGGAACGTCTACATCGATGCCGCTGTTCGGTACTACACTGACGGAGCCCGCGAGTACGACAAGGATGGCGAGATGGGCAGACGCGGCACGGTGGACGATGAGCTTGTCGACGACTTCATCGCCTCTCACCCGTACTTCCACAGGCCCATTCCCAAGACTACAGGTCGCGAGGATTTCCGCGATACACTGGCCTTTGAACTGATAGCCAAGGCGGAGAAGAAGGGCCTCTCGCCAGACGACGTGGTAGCAACACTCACCCGAATCACAGCCCAGTCCATCGTCGACCACTACAAGTGCTTCGCGCCGTCGCAGGGCATTGACGAGATCTTCCTCTGCGGCGGCGGCGCGCACAACCCCAACATTGTCGACTTTATCCAGCAGAGCTACCCGTCGACGCGGATATACATGCTTGACGCCGCAGGGATTCCGGCCGGGGCCAAGGAGGCGATTACGTTTGCGTGGCAGGGCATGGATGCGATTGTTGGCCGGCCGGTGCCTGTGCCGGACCGGGTGGAGACGAGGAGGGAGCAGATTCTGGGAAAGGTGTCCCCTGGGGAGAATTACCGGGAGTTGATGTATACGGCGATGCGGTTTGGGGCGGGGGCCAAGTTGGGGCCCGTGAGGGAGCTGGTCAACATTGTGAATGGGGAGGTGATGGACAATAAGTGGTGATTGATGAATATGGGCATTGTATGGGCTGTAGATTGTTTCCGATGGTCTGTAGATATTCGTTGTACGATGTAGAAGTAGAGATGCTTCGGGTTGTGACTGTCTCTGTCTTTGAGTGCTTACGTGCAAGTATGGCAGAGGTGTGTTACTTTTCATGCCGATCTCTGCACAGGACAACAGGTTGATCGCGGGCTTATGACACTTGACAAGCTCACGAGTTCATTGGACGTATCATATGTTACTTTAGAGGTGCCTGAAGATCCCTCCTCCTCCTGCATGGGAACCCGTATCAGCACACATGGATAGATTCATGCCGCCGCGCATCTGATCCTACAAGGGGCATGTTTGATGAGCAACTCGCCCCCCTCTTGCTTCGGTTTCGATGCCTAAACGACGAAACATCCGTATTCGGCTTAAACATACGAGCTTTGATATAGTCTCTCTGACTTGGATAACACGGTGCGTTGCATGAAACTCCATTAGTTGCTCCTTTGTCGAAGCTGTAGGATAATAACCAACGCCAAGTCTGCCTCTCACCAATGCGGAGTCCAGGTCAATCGAATGCATCTACAGGCGGGCATGGAGGATTCAAAGCCCTCCCCGACTCCGCTTTCTGTAACGAAACGGGCTTTAGGCGCAACTGTGTAAGCCGTTTAACATTTTCGTCATGGGTCAGCCACCTCGAAGGGTATCATTGGAGACTCAAACTGCTTCTGACTAAACAAGCCTATACTATACTCGACTATAGTCCTGTCTGATTGACGGATAGTAGGTAGTAGATGATTTGGGGCACGAGTACCAGCAGTAATCGGGCGGTCCAACTGTGTGCGCCGAGTCCAAGAACGGACAATGGCAAGGGTGGCTTGCATGCGGAGAGTTTGGGGTCAACAATCTATTGGAATGTTTCTGTCGAAAGTGTCGCCACCTTCAATAAGCTCTGCTGTTAGACTTTAGCATTAGCGTTTAGATTACTATATAAGGTTGTAAACTGTGAGCAAAAGCAGCCGATATCTTCTCATAACTAGACAGCTTGGAAGTCGACATCAGCAAACCTCAGTGTCCAACTAGAAACACACTTACGAAACGCCTTCGCATCTCTGTCCGAAGCCATGGTAAACTTGGACTTGTCAAAGCTCATCAAGCCCTGGAAACTGGATGCCCAGCCGGCATACGTCTTCACAAACGCAAAGCTAGTCGATCCTCTTCGGGCACATGTCACCGAAAATATCACCATCAAGACCTCTAAAGGCAGAATCACTTCCGTTTCAAGCGAGCCTCCAAACATCAATGACGATGACACTGTTATTGATCTCAAAGGAAAGTATGTCTGTCCCGGGCTCATTGATTGCCACGTCCACATCGCCGTCGTCCCCGGCGAGGCTAATCTCAGCTCTTACAACGCCATGACGGAGAGAGTCAGTCTCATCCGTCAGCCATGGGTCCTCAAACCGATGCTTGAACGAGGATTCACATCTGTGCGTGATTGCGGCGGCGCGTCATTGGCTATGAAAGAGGCCGTGGAAGAAGGCGTATGCATTGGACCCCGGCTGTTCATCGCCGGCTTCGCTCTGTCTCAGACCGGTGGACATGGCGATATGCGCTCCTCGCACGATCAGTCTCCGTGCTCTTGTGGTGCTGTTTCGGGCATCAGTCGCATTATCGACGGGACGTCAGAATGCTTCAGGGTCGCTCGTGATGAGTTGCGTCAGGGAGCTGATTTCATCAAGATCATGGGTGGCGGCGGCATTTCCAGTGCCGCGGACAAGATTGAGAATCTCCAGTTCTCCGACGAGGAGATCAAAGCCATCGTTACGGCTGCAAAGAACAATGGGACCTATGTCACCAGCCACAGCTACACATCCCAGGCGATCCAACAAGCGATCCGCCAAGGCGTCAGGGGCATCGAGCACGGCAATCTCATTGACGCGGAAACAGCCATGCTGATGGCCGAGACGGGCACTTTTCTCACCCCGACGTTGATCACACATGTCATGTCCAAGCAACTCAATTTCTTGCCCCCAGTCTCCGCGGCAAAGAATGATGAAGTCCTGCAGAAAGGCCTCGAAGCCATCAAAGTCGCGACTGAGGTCGGCGTCACAATCTGCTTCGGCACGGATCTTCTCGGACCATTGCATTTCGCTCAAAGCAAGGAATTTTCTGTGCGGAGTCAGGTGCAGAAGCCGGCGGAGATACTTCGCAGTGCGACTGTGAACGCGGCCAAGTTGCTGATGAGGGAGAACGAGCTGGGACAGGTGAAGGAGGGGTTTCTGGCTGACTTTATTGTCCTGGAGAGAAATCCTTTGGACGACATAACAATCCTGGATCGATCCGAGGAGAATGTCTTGGCTGTTGTCAAGGATGGAAGGGTGGTGTCGTCTAGATGGACTGATGTCAAGGTTGATATTCAGAGTAGGCCATAGGCTGTAGCGAGACGGCAATCTTTGGATGCTGGATATTTTCATAGTCTATGTACTCCGGATGCTACCACACGACTGCGTGACCATCACCTCGTTGATCGCTTCCTCCATGCCACACTTGCAGGCCACTTGTATCTCGCTTTGCCTGGATAACCTGACCTCGTCCAAAGACTGCGCGATCCCAGCCTGTCACCAGCTGCACTTCATGTCCCAGTCTACGCAGACCCTCGACTGTCTCTTCCGGGAATCCTTCTTCCAAACAAATCATGGACTTTTGCGTCAACTGGGAGTAGTCGTCTGCCGTTGCATACTCAGGCAGCGTGCGCGACGGCCTGATGCACACCCTCGGCGCATCCAAAGCATCCTGCGGGTTGAAGCCAAAGACGCACGAGTTGAGCATGACCTGCAAGTGGCCCTGGGGCTGCATAAACCCACCCATGACGCCGAGGGAGAGATGAAGCCGGTCATTGTTCGTCACCATTGCGGGAATAATGGTGTGATATGGCCGCTTCCGCGGTCTGAGTGTGTTTACATGTCCCTCGCGCAGCTGGAACTGAGTGCCCCGGTTCTGCAAGGCGAAACCGCAGCCTTTTGGAACGATTCCACCGCCAAAGTTGGAAGCGAGCGAACAGATGAAGCTGCATGCGTTTCCTTCAGAGTCGGATGTTGTGAAATAGACTGTGTCGGATGATTTGCTGGGAAATCCGTTCTTCAGAGATGTATCAACAGCGTCTAACGTGAATTTGGTTGCCCGTTCTTTCAGGTAATCGTCATCCAGCAGGCCTTTCCAGGCTGACCCGGAGTGCTCAGGATCAGAGACGTAGGCATCTGCATCGGCAAAGGCATATCGAAGAGCCTCCACCAGTGTATGGACGTATTGGACAGAGTTATGGCCCAGACTTTTGAAAGAAGGAATCTTTCCCTCTTTCTCCAAGTTGTCGATAATACCCAGCGCCTCCAAAGCCACAATTCCCTGGCCGTTTGGTGGGCATTCAAGCAGCTTGTACTCCTTGTAAGTCTTGGATATAGGTTCAACAAAAGTCGTTGTGTGGTCTTTCAGATCTTGCATTGTCATAACGCCCCGGAGCTGTTGGATTTCACTTGTGATTGCTTCTGCAACCCATCCCTCGTAGAACCCTGCCTTTCCCTTGGAGGCAATCTCCCGGAGCACTTTAGCGAGATTTGGGTTCTTGAAGACTTGGCCAGCTCTAGGAGCTTTGCCATCGAGGAGAAGCTCGCCGCCACTCGGTGACACCCGCTTCAGCAGCCCCTCACATTCGATCCACTGCCGTGCTGTGACTTCAGACACTGGGAAGCCATCTTCACAGAGCTCGATCGCCGGCTTGAGTATCTGCTCCATGGTAACTTTCCCACTGCCGTATGCATCTTTTGCGTCGAACCAGGCGGCGACTTGGCCAGGCACCGTGACCGAGTTCGCGTCCTGAGGCGGCAACAGATTGCCAGTCAAGCCGAGCTCTCGACACTTTTCGATTGTCAACCCGGCTGGCAATCGGCCTGAGCCGTTGATTGCAAATGCCTTTTGCTTCTTGTCGTCCCAGTATATCATGAACATGTCTCCTCCTACTCCCGTCGAGCAGGGCTCAGTCACGCCTAGAGCGGCAGCCGTGGCTATAGCTGCGTCGACGGCATTGCCGCCGGCCTTGAGGATGTCGAGCCCGGCCTGGGCGGCGAGGGGCTGAGAGGCGGCAACGATGCCCTTTGTGCTGTAGACGACTGATCTTCGGCTGTTGAAGCGGTTGAAGAAGGGAGCCGAGGGGTCGAATAAGGCGTCTGCGCCATCGCTCGGGGCTTCTCCCACGGCACCAACTGCGTCAAACGGCATCCTGGCAGTCAGATGAAGTGAGTGTTATCGACTTGAGTTACCGTGATGAAAGTCGGTTAAGAAAAGTAGCATCAACCAGATCTATGCCATGTAATAGATGATGGATCTGTTCAAGGGACACTTCGGGGAAGAGAACAGCCGATGCCAACCCATGCCGAGGCATTTCCGGAGCCATCACCGGATACAGTCTGCCAAGATGTTATTCTCTTCTCGATATGTAATTATATCGGGTTTTGCTTGCAGTAGCTCGATCAAAACCCCGTTCTATTCCCTCTTGCTGTTCCCCCACTCAGAGCCATTGTGACCTCGATTTATCGTTCTTGTCAAGTCGTGAAAGCGGGGTACTACGATCGACACCATTTATATCCGTTGGCATTTCGAATCTTGGACTTCTTAGTGTTGTTTGGACTCAGTCTCCAACGGAACGCCACTGCGGGGGTTAGGGGGGAAACAAGTGTGGACTTGGCCGCTTATTTGTCGATGGTAAGGTCTGGCAAGTCTGGAGATAGAGTTATGACTTGATAGAGCCATGATCGCTTGAGCAGCCGTCGGAATGGTCAGCCGATATCACGTTACACGATGATGCTTCTTTGTGCCTAGAGGTCTGGGATAATTGTTAAGTTCGGCTAAAAGCAATGTCTCTATCAATGGCGGACGAAGCTAGTCGGGAGCTTGCTCCAGTGACATCAGGATACCAAACCATCCGGGGAGATAACGGCAATGGTGTATGCGCCCTCCAGAGATATCGTATCTCGCACCTCGCGCTTCATAGAGACTAACCGTATAAGCCGCCTGAAGCTGCGAGAAGTTGACATGCTACTGATAGCTAATGCTACACGAGGTCGGACTTAGAAAGAAGACGATTGTTGTGGCTCGGAGACTTGGAGGCTATGATGGCCATCGATCATTCTTGGGTTACATCCATGATCGTCTCGACTAGGGAGGGCCGGATGAGGAGTTCTGATTGTCGGTATCATGTCGTTGGCTCGTCCGCAAGGTGCGGCAACAGCCAGCTAAACCACCAACTTCGGGAGTCATGTCCCGGCCAATAATACGTGACATATCAGTCCCTCAGGCAGAATCAGTAAGGTAGCTCTGGGGGAAAAGTATATAACGCCATAGCCGTCGTCTAAACCGGGTCTCCATTCAAGACAACAAGCTCTACATATATATGCATCATGGCTTCAACAGGCATCGAAGCCCTTCGCGACCAACATGACAAGGCCGTGACCGAAACCATTGAAACCGAAACCGCTCCCGAGAAAGAATGGGGCGTCATCATCCAAGGAGCCAAGGAAGCGACCGACCTCGAACACTCCCAAGGCATTCTCGAGGCCGTTCGTCTCCAGTGGAAAGGCGTCGCCTGGGCCTCGCTTCTCTCCCTTACCATTGTGCTCTACGGATACGACAATGCCCTCATCAATAACTTTTACGGCTACCCGGCCTTCCAAAAGGCATACGGGGTACCTCACGGAGACGGCTACCAGATCGCTGCAAAGTGGCAAACTGGCCTTTCACAAGCCAGTATCGTGGGCATCATCCTCGGCGCTACATTCAACGGCTTCCTCTCGTCCAGGTTCGGCTACAAGAAAGTCATGCTGGTCGGCCTTGTCCTGATGACGGGCTTTGTTGCCATCCCATTCAGCGCACGTAACGTCGAAACGCTGCTTGTCGGCGAAATCTTTTGCGGAATGGTCTGGGGCGCGTTCGCGTCCATCGGACCGGCGTACAGCTCTGAGTGTCTTCCTATTTCACTGAGAGGCTTCCTGACCAGCGGTGTCAACATTATGCAAATCATCGGCCAGCTCGTCGCAATCGGCGTGCTTGATGGCTTGGTCGGGCTGGACTCTCAGTGGTCCTACAAGATCCCGTTCGCCATACAATGGGTCTGGCCTGTGCCACTCTTCATAGGGTGCCTATTCGCGCCCGAATCTCCGTGGTATCTCGTCCGCAAGGGTCGACTTCAGGAGGCAGAACACAGCCTCCGTCGCCTCAGTTCGAAGAGTGACACCAAGATCAAGGAGCATCTCGCCATGATCATTCATACCGTCAACTACGAGGAAGAGGTACGGACAGGCTCATCGTATATCGACCTGTTTCGAGGTAGCAACCTGCGCCGGACGGAAATCTGCTGCTTGTCATTCGCCGGTCAAGTGTTCAACGGCCTCTTCATGATGAATCCTGGAACGTACTTTTGGGAGCAAGCAGGCCTCTCTGCCAAGAATAGCTACAAAGTCTCCGTGGCTGCTACTGCTATTGGACTGCTCGCAACCTGCATTGGCTGCGTTCTTATCGCTCATCTAGGCCGTCGCAGCCTCTATCTCTGGGGCATGGTCTTTATGACTGTTGTCAACGTCCTCATTGGCATTCTGGCAACAGTTCATGCAAATGAAGGCACCAAATGGGGACAAGTCGCCCTTACCATCCTCTGGGTATTCTGCTACGATATCTCGGTAGGGCCAGCAGCATATGCAACATCTAGCGAGGTCTCTGCCGTCAGTCTACGGGTACAGAGTGTCGCTGCAGCAAAGATTGCACACCAGATCTTTGACATTATCGCTGCTGTGCTCGAACCGTATATGATCAACCCCACGGCTTGGGGTTGGGCTGGAAAGACGGCCTACTTCTGGGGCGGAACCTCGGTGCTTGTGACAGTATGGGCATTCTTCCGATATCCTGAAACGTTCAAGAGATCGTATGAAGAGCTTGACATACTGTTTGAAAGGGGCATTCCTGCGCGCAAGTTTCGCAAGTATGATGTTGACGCTTATGACCTTAATGGCCAGCAAGTTCAGGAGAAGTCTGGTTAACCTCTAGCTTGGATCGATTGATGCGCTGTTTGTAACTTGTTCTGCTTCAGTCTGAACTTTTTTGTTCTATTGCCTTCGCAACATTTAAGTGGTCAAGTTCAGCTTCATGCATGCTATTACCCCTATCACAAGCCTATTCTAGCTTCGTAGTCTCCGTAACACCGTCAAGATTTGCTTCCGTCCATCATACAAGGGATACAGGCCAAGAATAAGCAAACTTATCCACAACCATAAGAGTGACACCACAATCCAAGCTCTGAAGAACTGCTGAGAAGTTAGAGACCAGGTCTCGGATAGCGGCTGGACGACTCACAACTTTGCTGAAAATGTATTTTGCTCCATACATTGGCAGAGGCCAAAGAACCCAGATACCAAAGAAGGCGAAGAGCGACCAGAACAGTGCATAGCGCTGCCACCGGAGATCAGTTTGGTCGTAAGCAACCTCGGAAGCATTACTCAAGACGCCGCCCTTGGTAGCTTGACGAGCGGAATCTGACTCGTCGGCTGACGTCTCACTGTCAAGCAACAGCTTTTCATCTGTAAACCGTGCCCAATCGTAATTATCCGGCCAGATGAGCGACAGAACCACCGTATACAGCAAGGGGCTGAGAGCAGAGGCCACAGTGCCGTACATGCACGGGAGCGTTTGTCCAGTAGAGTCGACAGTCACTTCGCCAAACAGAGCTTGCGCCGTCCCCAGCCATGTGCCCAAGCCGGTTGCCAGACCAGCGATTGCTGAAACGACGGCTGCGAAACCGCTCTGCTTATTCCAGAGAATGGTGAGGATTAATGGGAAGATGCCGGGGCATGTTACCACGCCTGATGAGCTGTCAGTAAGTTGGTGGTCAAGTTGAGCTTGTGTCTCTTACCGATCATATACAGAGTCCATCCCATGTTGATGCCGCCGTAATTGAAAGCCGCAGTCAAGCCAGCCGAAATAGCTGCAAACAGCACGACGCCGAGATGACTCCACCGGATGACATCCTTGTTGCCTGCGTTCCTGTTGATGTAAGTCCTGTAAAAGTCGAATGTGAAGATGGACGACACTGCAATCACTTGAGCGGACAGCGTCGAAGTGATTGCCATGAAGGTCATAAGCAGGACAGCGACCGCGCCGCCTTTTCCTGCTACTGCGACGGCTACATATGGAAGTACAAGGCCGTTTGTGACCTCTGTGCTCGTCATTGGCTATGTCAAGCACTCAAGTCAGTATACTTTCTGCCAAAAAGCATTGGTGACTTACACGAGGATAGGTCGGGAAGATGGGGGAGCTTTCTAGCCCTAATGCCGCAAGACCCATGATGGTGCCGAGACTCCAGGGAATGGAAAAGTATGCAAAGCCGCCGACTACGTAGCCTGGCACCACGGCTTTGGGGGAAGCGGCAAAGGCCTTGATGAAGTAGCTCGTATCCATCTGCCCAACATTGTGTTAATACGTTGCTATCAATTCGGTGGAACTCATACTGACAATGACGGCGCCGAAGTTTGAAACGAGGAGGATAATGGCGAAGAATATTCCCTGCTGAGAGTTCATCGTGAGAAGAGACCCTTTGTAGTTCCCGTCAACTTCGTAAGAAGGCTGAGCCTTGACCACGAGATCGTATAGTCCATCGATGGAGCCGACATCATGGTGGGTGAGGGTCTTGGTGGTTAGGTAGCAGCACAAGATGGCGATGACAAAGGTGTGGATGTAATCTGTCAGAAACCTGCAGTTACGAGTCACAGTCAGTTAAGCCACTTTTTGATCAGCCAGGACCATAGTACTGACGTTGCTTTGATGCCGCCCACGAGTGTATAGAGAACGACTCCGACGGGTAAGAGGAATGTTGAAGCCATGATGTGGATCCCTGTTCTACATCACGAGTCAGTCTGAACCCGAGTGTGGCTTGGGAATGAGCTATTTCTTACAAGAATGTGATGACGGCGGCAGCTCCCAAGATCATGTTGATGGTGTTGAAAAGGTTATTGATAACAGCCAAGAAGGTGAAGACCAAGTGTGCAGTCGTCCCTGCTCTTCTCATCAGTGTCAGGTTCAGCCGACAATAACTATTCTCACTTACCATATCTGATTCGCACAATCTCCAGAACAGTATGTGCTTCTGGAATGCGTTTCTTGCAGACCACCCCTAGGTAAGCAAAGAAGACTATCATTCTATGGTTTGAGAAGTCAGCAATTACATTCGGTTAGAGTGATGAAGCATTTCAACATACGGTGTACATCCCGCTCCATACCAGAACCCTCCGGAAATCCCGTATAGATACGTTACCAGCACGCAGCTTAGCAAGGCTGTGCTCCATAACCATGACTGCAAGCATGTGAGTATTTATCGAGTGGCAGATGATGAAAGAATTGTAAATGCATACCGAGACTACCGCAGAGGCAACGAGACCAGTTCCAACGGATCGATTAGCTACCATGAATCTGAGAGGCAACAATCAGCATCAAAGAGAAAGAAGTAGGCGCCGGGATGTAAAGTCTCACGTCTCTACATTGTTATTGTCTTCATTGAGTGTTTTCTTCAGCAGCCTGGTTATCCCAATCATGCCTGTAAACGTTAGTATTCGCGTATAAGAGGGCTTCGCCAGGAAGACCATACCAATAGCAAAGACAAGGCCAACTGCCACCACTACTACATAGCCTGAGCTCTGTGGCAGGGGAGACGGGACAATACTGCCGTCATCAGATCTCGAGAACAGACTCATCTTGACCTCTTGTCCTCTTGATGCGACTCTACATCTATCAAACCACCAAGATTCGATGCATTCCATTGCTATAAGTACCATACATGCAACATGCTGATGATACTTACTGAGTGAGCGCCATTGTTAAACTACATTGCGTGATGCGTTTGCCAGCCAAAGGCGCACTGCTTCATCTCCTGTATGAGGCCATCATGGCTAAGTATGTCGTCAGTTGATGTACTCCATAGCTCAGCTTATCGACCGGGGCGTGATAGCTGCATAAGTTTTCACAAATCAAGTTTACGATCTTCCGAGTGTTCAACATCTAAACTCATGGGTTGTGTCTTTCTCTACGCAGCTTCCAGCTGTCTTTTCATGAATCATAACGTCCATAACCTCATCGTCTTGTTCCTCACTCAATGGTCAATCTCTGTACAACAGCAGAGGGGCCTGGCTTACAGGCTACAGCATGCGGAAAATTACATCTGCCGCATCTCTCCAACCGATCTATAAGATGGCCAGTGTAGATGCGCCGTCTACATGTATGGTCATGGCTGACCTACGGTACATGTATGCCTGCGTCTGATGACGATAATACCAGAACTCGCATCCTGTTTTAGGCGTATATCTTGTACAATTCAGAGTGGCATCCCGTCAAGTTACTTCCACCGTGATCAAGGTCGATATGCCCTTGAATTGGCTGATTGGCTGGAGTTGAAGGCTATCGCATCACGACATCGACAGTAAGATGGTTGTTGCCCGATTAGGCAATTTCCTGTGAGACCAAATGCAATTAGTGGACCCTTGACGGGAGCTAAGATTGACGCTTTGCGAGGAGAGGCGACGACAGGCATCTACGTATAGCAAGCAGGCTCAAGCCATTCTTTCATGGCTCGTAAGTCATATGACGTTGGGATGTCATCATGCCATTTGCGTACGTTAGAGTAGAGTGTATAGACCTTACTCGAGGATGGACTTGTTTGTCCCGCCTTACTAACCGGCCTAGTAGAGAGAGTAAAAGGTTATACTATCTAGCCGACTACAATACAAGAAGATAATGTCAAGACAATCGGGTGAGGTAACAAAAGCTCCATGGGAAGGTAAAGGAGAGGAGCGTGTAAGCTTCCAGTTTGCATACATGAGAAGTGTTTTGCATCAAGTCTTTCCTTGCTTTGCCTACCTGTCTCATGAGGCTCTGCTGCATGCCTTCGGATTCTCTCAGAACAACATGGGACCGTCGGAACAGAGATATGCTCACTCAATGCAAAGCAATATATAGCTAAGTCAAAAATAGCAGTAGCAGGAGAAGCTTTTATTATGTTACTCAAGAGTGGTAAGAACTAGTAACTTTCACAGCCATATGATAATCTTAGAAAGCGTCGTTTACTTACACCTGGTGAACACTATTATGGGAGCATAGAATTGAATCAAGTTGAGGAGTGGTGGCCTTCTTTCTGAAAACGAAGAATCTCTCACCGCTCAGGCAGATGCACGGGCCTCTGTGAAGCTGGTGGAGGATAGAAGGCGAAGCTGCCATTCTCATACACTCAGAACACACTCATGCAGCTGGCACCACCCGCCTCGGAGACTCTTGTGCTGTAACCTCGCGCTTCTCTTAAAAGATAGACCTTGTGCACTACATCTCTTCCCTCTTTAACAACTTCTCACTCTCTCATCTTCACAACATCAACTCCCACCCTCCAGGTGCTCGGGAAGGTACACCATAGTCACATACTATCGCAGTGAGATATCCCTTCCCTCCTTTCTTTCCGCTTCAAGACTGACATGTGGTGTTGAAGTAAGGACTACAAGCACGCATACCCCAACATCAGCACACGCCACTGGAGCTCACACTATGGCCGCCGACAATAACATGTTTGTTCGCCCAGAGGGACAAACCCTTCCACCAGAAATGGTAGATCCCAACTGGAACGTTCTGAACCATTTGAGCCCTTTCCACCAGAAATGTTACATGCACCATCAACGACACCGCCTGAATCATCTCAAAGCACTCAGCGTTTATCACACGGACAATCAGCACATCTTGCTCCTGGATGAGGCTGGTTTCTTGAGCGCTGTCGGTGTCCCTCTCCCAACCAGAGAGCAACTGCAAAGCCCCGCTGCTGAGCTAATATACTGCAACGAGGAAGAGCGGAAGAGAAACGAGCAAAAGCTATTGGGTATGGCTGTGCAAGTCTTAAATGTTCTACAGAATAGGCCCGGATATAAGCATGCAGCGTGGAAAATGCTACAGCAACTCCTCGAAACGGACCTTTCACATCACAAGGCACCTACTATACTGGCCGCAGCTGTCAAGGAAGCAATTCAAGAGGATGACGCAAACTACGAGAATACGTTCTATGTCGTCTTCGACGATGACTTCCTCGAAACTCCAGAAGCTGAAAAGATACCCTTCGACAGGATTCTCGAATCGATTTGCCTTGCCATAGGGCATCGAGTGGATGAACAGACAGATCAACTCGGACTGTTGAGTGAGATTGACGGAAACCTCAGCGAAACCGTACTGGAGTTTCGCGACATGTATCAACGAATGAATGCCTATGTGGCACAGAATGGCACGAAGAAGACTAAGACTGCCATGATGAAGTTGGAGAGGCTCAATGATAGATGGGAAAAAATCATCAAAATTCTCGATATATATGACACCGCAGATCAAATGCGTGCTATACTGATGTCTTGGAAAGGTATCTAAGGACATACGACGGATTCCGGTGTGGCGGCCTCATGTCGGCCACAGACTGCCAACAGTCCCAACCTCGAGCTCGACCAGGCCGGAAGGGTACGTCGCCACTGTTTGAACTCTCAGAATACGGTTTATCTTTCCGCGGAGGATTCTTCATAAATGGCAAGCTCGAAGCAAATCGTTATTGGCGACAAAAACTGGCCAATTGCAATCGCTGAAAAGTCTCTTCTTGTCAACTCAATGGCACGATGACCTCCGAGAGGAGGGCATCAGAGATCTTTATTTGTCAGCGATTCCATTCATTATCATGGCCCTAATACGGGTTTCAACAATTCTCCATCTATCAGGTCTTTCACTTTATCGCTTGTCTGTCACTTACTCAGTATGATGGCCTGGCTCCGGAGGGCTTGATGCTTTTCCCCCATTGAGATACGCTCTCAGCTCTGATGATGGGGCACTTTCACCTCACAGCGGATATGTTTCTTCTGGGGATCTTTTCAATTTCCTAGCATTTCTACTTCGCATACTTTCTCTCGAAAAATACACCTTCATGGACGGACCTTCAACACCCGACCAGGAGAAGAAGATTGTAATTCGAAAACTCAAAATTGGTGATACTTTCAACAGCAGGTGAACTTCTTTAGCGGATAGGTGTTCTTGAACCAAGAATATTCTACTCGAAAAGACTGGGACAGGGCATGGTGGAAAACATCAAAAGCGGCTTATTCTCGACTTCTTCTCCGACAGTTGATTTTCATTCTGAGTTATTTCCGAGCTCAATGTCTGCTCAGCTCTTAGATACCAGCAAGCTAATTGATAAGGTACCTTTGCAATAAAATGAGCTCTATGCCAAGTGGTACTCATTCATTCAAGCCGTCTAAAGCATCGAACGTGGGACTAAGTAAGGTAGGTAGAGTATTTAGAAACTCAGCTGAAGCATCCATCGGTGGACTATCCCCAGATGATGATGATGAAGCATTAGCATCAAATGGTGGGAATAGAGCTGGGTTGTGAAACGAGCCACTTGATGGCAGAGACGCTTGATGCCTTGCAGTTTCTTGAAGTTGAGGGTACTTGGTCAACTCGGGTTCCCTTTATGCCTAGAGGGGTGGCTGCCAATGGCAACAAGTTGCTTTTGGACCAAGGCTCGGTTTCAAATGGAGAACTCCATGACAAGCCGCTGATCAGTGGACATGAGCAACGCGTCAAATAGAGATCACTTACCGGAACCTAGGACCGACAAGTACTTGAGGGGAAGAAAAAACGCATCGCTCGCAAGACTGAATTGAAAGAACTCAAGGAATGTCGTGAGACGGGATACCTTACGGACGAGAGCCACTCCATACGAAAGCGAGATGTCAGCGGGTACAATGAGGTCAAGGAAGTATGGAAAGTCGTCTGGCGTGCGTAAAAGACCAAGAGGGGCCCTCCTAACCGTTTGATATCACCCAGTGGGACAGGATTTGAGCTGTTGTCCGTAGATCACGTCGACTACTGCTACGACTACTACTATAACCCGACCAAATACCTTCCATTCTATGGGCAGAGACCGCTCTCGGACTCGCCCAAGACAAAGTAACGCGAACTGAGGCCATGTGTGCCTGAGCAGCGCCTGTACATGCTACTTCAAGCCCTTCTCCTCGGCCAAGGCCAGCGATGCCTGATGGCATGGTAGTAGTGTAATTGCCGGTCGATGAGTCGGATGAGAGGCCCATCGTTCCTTTCATCGCCTTCAATTACCTGCAAATGACCATTTAAGATAGATGGGACGACATCCGCCGGAGGCTTTACGAATGTCGCAAAGGTCTTAGAATTCCATGGCAGATAGAATGATAGTGGTGTTGGCTTCATGAGGCTTGTTCATAACAATATGGGTGCATGCAGTGGCAGCCATCTCTCGGTGATTGATTGGATAAAAAATCCAGCGCTTGTTCATACTAGCATTAGACTCTCATCATATTTGAGGTTTCCGCATCCAGTCACTCGCATCTCTCGCAGAAGACAAATAGTATCGTCAAATATCAGGTCAAGCGGGCTGGGATCGTGAGAGCCACATAGCGCGTCGATTTGTGTCCACTGGAGGAGCTACTGCACTGTCAAAGACAAACTTGACCGCCCCGTTATTTCGTGAAAATATCGCCAATGCCTTGTCACGTTCCTGCTTTGCAGTCCTGTTACCATCACCCTTTGAACAACAAAGTCAACTTCATTTTTGAATGGCCCAAAGACTGTTGAATTGATACCCATCCCACGACAATGGAGCCGCCAGCATGGTACTGCCGCCTGGTCAACCTCCCACAGGACCACGAAATAGAGGAACATGACTTTGACGACGACATCTCAGAACTCCGAGAAGGCGAAGAAGAAAGCGTGAATCCGGACGCGTTCAGTGATGGCGATAGTTCTCATCGCTGCGATTGCCCAAGCTCAGACATCCTTGAGTGCGAATGCGATGATGATGATGATGATGATGATGCCGCCCCCGAGGAGGAAATGGATGATGGCGCAGAATCGGAGCGCTCATATCAGGGCTCAGATGCCGACTACTACTACGAGTTAAAGGAACAGCGCATCCAACGAAAGATTGACTTGAGGGATCTGAGAGAGGAACAGGAGAGGGAACGCCGTCTCCACCGGGAACTGGAAAGCGAAAAAGAACAAGAGGTTCGCGAGGCGTACGAAGCCATGCTCAAGGAGCAGAAGAAAGGCGACGCTCCCCGACCGCGTCTGGCATCCCTCTCTAAAGCAATCTTTCACCTGTTCTCGGTGGACCACATCGACTACTGCTACTGCTACGATCTCTACCTTGGGACGCGATACGTAGAGTTTTACTGCCTTGACGAAAAGGGCCAGACGAGAATCCCGGACAACACAAATGTCAAGATTCAGGGGCACGTCTACCTAAGCGATAGGACTGACTGCGACTTTCTGCCCTTTGCCCAGCCAAAGAGGGCCGGCATCAAAAAGAGACAGTTTCCGACTCGCGGGCAGGATCATGATGAGCCGGTCTTTCAGTTCATCAGCAACAAGTACTTGATCATGACTGTCAAGTCAGATTCCAAGATGGTCTCGGGTGATATTGAAGAGCTGGGAGCCACAGAAGTGCCGAAAGAGCTAAAGTTTTTTGGTATCTGCATGGAGAAGGAGGAGCGGGAGCTGTATTTGGAAAGGAGATCGGAAAGATTTCGGCGGCGATGATAGACCCAGGCAACCATATAGGGCTTGGAAATTCTATGAAGCAATACAGTAGACACCGATGCGAGTTTGAGGCTTGGAGTTGGCTCCATATCGGGCTATTATCAGTGCACCTTGAGTTATCCGTCGCGATGCTCAAAGTAGTGGTGAATCAGAAGGATCGAGATACTTGCGCACCGCAATGTTTCTTCTTCTGTTCTCCTTGAGTGTATGTTTGTATGAGCTCCCTTTATATCTCAATATCGCCGACGTATAGAATACCAACGAGGAATCTTCATTCCGAACTCCAGTCGACGTGTACTTTATATTTCCACAGCACGCCACACTATCACATCCTCAACTTTCATGATTAAAATGCTGTCCTTCAAAATAGACGTAATCAAGTTCACAACCATGACTGAGATACAGGTCATAGTCTATTAGATTCCGGCTACCCATAGCAGTTGTCATACGTAAAGGTAAACTCCGATTATATATGAGCCCAGCAGATATCAATCCCCAGTATGCCTTGGTTCCCTGTAACCATGCCCAACATTAAACATACGGCAAACTCCAGACCCGAATCCGTCAAAGAGGAAAAAATGAAGAAGAAAATAGTGACAATGATCAAATTGTCTAGGAATCATGATCAAAGAAACAAGTCTCACGATGAGTGCAAGCCAGGCCAAATAGTATATCCAAGCTATTCAAGAGCAGGTGCGCGGCTCTGTAGAGGGGCGTTAGTGGAGGAGAAATAGCGATAAAGACGCATGGCCAACCGGATGATGGTTAGCTGCTCGTCCTATTCGCCTCCGGAGACTGTTCATCATCATCCTGAACAATCTTCCACCTCCTGACCGACCCCTGCATATCAGCCCAGAGATCGGTAGGCAGAAACTCGCCCACTTCCTGGCGGAAAGTCTCCCGCTCGGCACGGTCAGCCTCGAGCATCTTGTCGACAGTCTCTTGCGCCTTGCGCAGAGTGGCCTGCACTTTATCTTCGACAGTCTGGCGGCGGGCGACCTCGATGAGCAAGCCGTGGTAGGCACTCGCATATCCTTCGTAGAATGCTCTCATTTCCGTCATCTCCTCAATCTTTGCAAATATCACTTCCTTTTCCATCGCCCATCGGCTTAAAAAGTCGTCTTCGGCAGCCTGATAGCTCGCTAGGCGATGGCTGACTTCGCTCAACTGGGTGAATGCATCGAGGATGCCAGCATTGGCCGCCCTTGTCCGCTCCGCCATGTCTTGCAGAACTGAGTACTTGAGCTCAATCTGGGCAAGGTGTTCTTGTATATCGCGCACGACGTCTTCCACCATGTCCGCATCCTGGATGACGACACGTAGCATCTCCGCTCGGTCCTGTGCTGTTTGCGGTTCGAGGTCGGATTTGTTGGACTCCTGCTCGGCAATGACTCCCGAAATCGACACGCTTTCGCTGCCCTGGGTCTGAGTCGCCTCGGCGGCCATTCTGCGGGCCAAAGCTGCGGCTCCCTCGGTCGTCCGGACAGCCGTTACGCACATGTCGAAATGTCGCGTCAGAGATGCTAGGCTCTCGGCCATGACGGTTGAGTGCTCAAACAGGTCGAGCATCATGTCTGACATGCCTTGGTTAGGCGGCGCAGGTATTGGCGCACTGTCCATGATCTTCTTTGTGTTTCGAATATCGGTCTCGAGTCGAAGTAGGTCACCGTCGAACGACATTTGGATAGCCTGCGGTATCACACCAACCATGTCAGTACAAGGTAGGATACCCCTTCAGAGTCGTATACCACTCACCTGCAGCTCAGATATGCATGCCCTCATGGATTCCTGTATTGCGCCAACGCTCGCCTCATCGACAAAGTCCATGAGGTTCTTGCTCTCCTCCCCCTGGGGCCGCAGCGCCGGGTCGACGGGCGTCTCCCGCAGCATGTCCATGGTGCCCTTGAGCTGCGCGTCGACGTCGTCCATGTGCTTCAGCAACTGGAAAAAGTCCTTCTTCCCCCACTCGTTGGTGGCCTGCAGGCTCGCCGCGAGACGCGACAGAAGCTGCGCCTGGTCGGTGATGGCAGCGCGCAGGAACTTGGTCTGGGCCATCAGCACGACCGTCTCCTCATGCTGATTGCGAGCCGCCCGGATGATTTCTTCGGCTCTGAGTACGAGAGTGATGGACGACAGCGACCGCTTTGATCGGAGCAGATGGCTGACGAGCGTGTTGATGGAGATGGTCGGATTGTCGCCTGAGGGCCTCGGCAAGCCGGTGGACGACGAGCCCAGGCTGCGCCGCGTCGAGGGCGCAGGGGAAGCCATGTTGAATGAGATGGCGATTGTTGAATAAGAGTCGATCTGGCGTCAGTGATGGGATGCTCAGGCCGCCACAAGCCTCACATGGTGAGCGGATGAGGAAGAGACCTGGCTGTTGGATGATGATACAGATGGTCGGTCTGAAGCTGGGAGAGTCAGTGCAGTCAGAGTCGGAACAGTGGCTTCCCTCCTGGGAGCTCGAGAGTCGGGGCGGTCCGATAACATGAAGGCCGGGCGATAAGAGCTGAGCAGCTGGCGTCATCCATGAATTCCATTCACTGTAAATTAGCGGTCTGTCAGCTGTTCGTTAGTGCTTTAACCTCCCCGGAATCAACCTGGAACATGGAATTAATGGAACCTTGCACCAGACCCCACACAACTTGCAACATGAAAGTGCCGGGCCTATTGAAGGTACAGGATACCCGCTGCTGCACTGCAGATGGCAGCTCTTGGCGGGCATCGGTACCTGACCCATCGGGTGCCTCGCAGTATCTGACAGCTGCGCAAAGGGGTCTGGTACAAGTACATGTACCTTAACGGACGAAGACGTGGAGGCACTCCATCTGATTCAATATCACCTCAAGATGGAAGCTGTAGTAATGACTGAGTGTCCAATGTTGGTTCCTTTTCATAGACAGCTCGTTTCCTTGCCATAGTAACTGATTTATTCAGTGGCCGATATGCCGGGGCGTTGCCTGAAACTGTCCCCCATATATCCCTGATGGGTGCCGATTCCACCGCCGCTTGCTGCCGGCTCAGCCCGGACACTTCAGAGTCTGCGAGTAGAATTCGTAGAGAATGGCTAGTTCATGAGGGCTGCATTGCAGTACCTTCTCATACACATATCTCAAGGGTATCGTGTTTGTCATGACAGCTTGCCCATCCCAGGAGCACTGCTTGAGGTCTACCCATCTTGGGCCGTGGCCAGAAAATGGCGAGATAGCAATGCCGTTGATGTCTTGTATGAACGACCTGTTTGACGTGAATGACAAAGGGTCAGGAATTAGTCGAAGAATGTAATCGTTAATGTTTGGTAAGAGCCTTACCGGCAAATGTCTCGCGCAGACTCAGGCTCCTCCGATGCAACACATGCAGCCTCCATCTCACAGTAAAGCCGCGTCAACTCACGGCATCTCTGGGACGATAGACCATCTGGGTTAGCCTCCTGTATATAACTAAGAATATCCAACAAGAAGCCGAGATCGTCATTCTTGGACACTCCGAGATCTCGATACAGAAACTCCCACTTCCTCGACAAGTCTTCTGTGGACGGCGGCGGTGTGCCAAAGTCAAGAAACGGAAAGGGCTCATTAGGCTTCATGAACTCTGAGCATCGTCTCTGCAGATGCTTAAAGGGCATGTATGTCTCCCACAACGGCCTCAGATCTCCGGTCGTGCAGGGCACAGAGACGCTTCTAACCTTGGTCACCAGCTCAGGCCTCTCAAAGACAGTCTTGCGTTGGGTGTTCCAGACATGGGCCAGAAGTCCAAGCACAATTCCAGGTTGTCGCCACGCTATTTGAGCAAACTCGTCAGAGAGATCGTCTCCTGGTTGGTTGGCGAGCCGTATCTGCTCATGTATCCCCAAACAGTCGCACAACCACCGCTTCCATGACGGATAGTTATGTACCCTAAAGTGAGCATCAATGGGAACAAGAGGTGGGTTCTCTAGCAGTACAGCGTTCAAAAAGTATGTACTGCATGTTAGGCCTCCAGAATCCGCGGCCTCCTTGTGGCTCAGGAGCTGTTCGGGGCTAAAGGAGGCCCGCCCTGGCAGATAGACGACCTCCTCACGGGGCCTCCTGAAACGTAGCTTCTGATCGATGACACACACATGGCGCAACTCATCGTCCAGGCGGCGGTATTCATGTGTGAGATAAAGAAAATGAAGATGCTCTTTGCAAGCCGTGAGAGTAAGCCCCCCGGGAGTGGCATGCTTCTGTCTGATGAGTGATCGGACCACGTGGACAGGGGCTTCTTGTACACCGAGCATATCCAACGTCTGTTTGTACCCTCCATGATCGAAAACGGATTCATGCACAACTCGGATTGCTATATCGCTCGGGATATGAGCGCCAGCTGAAGTCGGCCAATAGATAGGCCCAGCTGCCAGTGATGTAAGAGAACCGTCTCGTAAGGGAACAATGTCAAGCTGTCTCGCAATCTCTAAATTTGACTTGGCTGTCGAGACGAGGTCTGATATATCTGTGGCGTCCTCCGTGCCGTCTCTGCTTCTTTCTTCTGCCATTGCTTGCTTCGTTGGCGAATGTGATCAGGGTGTGAGATGATGTGTCGTCGACGACGGCAGCAGAATAAGTGATTGATATTTGTCCAACGGACAAAGAGAACGCGAAAAGACATTTCATAAGCGATCGGCAAAGGAAAAGAAAGCTCCAGGTATTGGGTAGTCTTATGTAGATTAGCTTCTCGCATCGCATCTTGTAGTTTGGAATGGTCTCGTCAAAGTGATTCTGGAATCGGCGAGTCAGCCCATGCTGTCGGATAAGCATACGACCAACACTGAATCTAGATCGCCCGATGCTGGGGGCCAATCGGTGCCTTTCCAAAAGTGCTTTGGCCGGACAGAATGGTCAGTAAGCATGATGTGAGATCACGACGCTGCGATCCTTGCAACTGTTCCAGTTCGAGGCCATGAATACATGTATATCTGGTTTGGGACAAGTACATGTAATTAATCCCAATTCTGAATCGCAATACAACCTCAGCCGTGTCTCCTGCCGGCCTGTGCTACTTCCAACCGCCGCGTGAGACCGCAGCAACTGACTACTGCGTGGGCATCTTGCTGATGGATAGCAAATACTGGAAGAAAGAAGAGTAACACGACAGCGAGAGTGGGTAACTGCAGGTTCATAGCGCACCCGCGGAGATACCAAGGTCGAATGTAGCTTGAGGTGGTACTGTGCTATGTGTCCGACATGCGCTTAAACATGAGATTCTGCACGAAGACCTTTTACGCTGGGACGTTGACCCTTCTCCAGCAGGATATAACCATCTATGGCGGAGTGTATGTCACTCATTGAAAAAGATGTAATAGAGCGTGACTCTCCTCAAGCGGAACCAGCCGAATTGCCCTTTGCAGTAATGTACGTACCGCCTCGCTTGTAACAGCCATCATAGCACCCAAATGATTGTTCGAATCCGGCAGTTTGGCATAAGGCTGTCAAGGAAGGTGTCTGGTCCCACCGTCAGCATTCGGCTGGGGTTGGCACTTATAATAGAACGAACCATCAGGTATCTAAACGCTGTGCAGCGGTTCGTCCGAAGGCAGAGGATTCGGGCCTCGTGCTAGATTATATGCATGTTTCATGCCATCATCCCAAAGCAGTAAGGGATGCGGAACTGCAACTAAGTTAAAATCCGTAATAAGCATGCTCTTTACAGCCCGGCAGCCGGCCAAAGTCCTCTTCAAGTGACAACGGCAGGACTCGTGATGCGCCCTGTTCACGGGTATAGCATCAATCTGCATATATCATGTTCAAAAAAGCAGTTGGCCCCTTGAAAACCTCGGTCTTGTAATAGATGGCCTCCAAGAATAGCCGGCAGGATCCTACCGTCGTCCTGGCAGTATGCAAGACGCCTCAAGTAGGTAGGTACTATTATATCACCAGCCTGATTGGGAACGGCAACTTGGAAAGGCTGCCCAATCCAGTAATCCCAGGTATTCGTGTACTTCGCCCTAATGGTGTCCATTAGTAGCATTCATCGACCGTTCGTTCATTGGTGAGATCTGAAGACCAAAAATGGCACTCTCTACTGCGCATTGCAATATATATCAATGAGAAGAGAGGTCCATCATTCTCCAATGCTTGACTGAGCCGGCCAGAGTGTGATGCGATCATATACGCCAAAAGCCGACCTTCCGCCGAACATCGCCGAACAGAATCGATTGGGTCTGGACAAGACCTGCAGTGATCTTTTCGTCGTTCCTAGTTCATTCCACCACCTCTGTCGTCCGCGTTTCCAAGTGACACAAAAGCCGCACTCGGTATCACACCAAACAGCTTGCACAACGCTGCGCGCAAACGTACCGATTGGGGAGCGTTGATAACACTGCAAAGGAGTGCAACGAGGAACAGCTTACGGAGAACAATAACGCACCTGAGTCTGCAAACACTTACTGTATGTACGTGGTGCATACGGACCCATGCGGCTAAGCAGAAGGCGCCGGATAAGTCCAATAGCCTGCCGACGGCTGAAAAGAGCAGAAGATGGATCCGGACGCATCGAGTATCTGCTGGCGAGCTGGCCGCATTCCATCGCCGATGAGCTCAAGAACAGACATGTGAGATAAGTAGGTATGTATGTAGCAAGCAGCTAAAGATTAGATAAGCGACAATCAGACTCGTTCAAAAGACGACAAAGAGCCATTGGACAATTGAGATGAAACATCAGACGAAAAGAAGTCCCGTGATTCGCTGGCTGTCCCTGCTTAAGCCCTGAGCGCAGACCATCTGAGACAAGCACGAACATGTCTTGGACGCTTGCGATGGATTTTCGAGGATTGTCCCAGGCGAGACGACTGTGAAAGCGATGAGCGGGCCGATATTCCGCCTGTCTGTGACTGGACCGCATGCCGATTTTTTCTGCGCCAGACCGACATCGGCTCGGTACCTGAAGTACTGCAATCGAGCTGTGGGTATCCGTGGCGGGCTGCGCTGCCATTTTAGGAGGCGCACGTGCGAGAGGTACTCTGGGGAGGCAAAAGAGTACTTGTGGCCACGTACCAGCGGATCCGGTGCGTCATCGCCCAGATTTTTTTTTTTTTAGATGCCAGGATTGAATGCAAAAGAAGGGAAAATGTGAGAAGACAGATGCACTCGGTTGAGGGGGAAATTGGAAGAAAACTGAGACAATATTGGATTGAATAGCTAGATCTAGTATCCAGATATAATACCCTCAATGGCCTGTTAGGTATCTGCTCAAGTGCTAGAAGTCAGCCGCAGACTAAGTTTTTCTCGTGGCTCAAGACTCTGGCGACTGGCATCAGAACTTGTGGTGACAACCTGCGCCATCCCCGGCCTCTCCAGCTTTTGCAACGGCGCCGCTTGGCCAATTGAGAGGCAAGCAGCGACTGTTAGTCATTTCTGCACCCATCTAACAAGACGACGGACAACGGAGAGCATCTTGGCAGCGTTCTGCTGTCCAATGAGTCATTGCCTCCAGTCGAGACGACGGATTGACCTTTGCAGTCGCCAACCTGATACCCCACACCCACACCTGCCATCGCCGACATAAAAATTCTCTGGCGCCGTCGCCGTTCTCCATTCTTTTTCCGCTCCAGATTCAGATCGAAGAAAAGCAACGATTTTGCATTCTTCATCAACACCTCGACATACGCAGGCACACACATACACACACACATACACGTACACATACACATACCGTCACCATGTGTTCCGACCACGCGCCCGCAGTCGAGATCCCTGCCGTCAACGGCACCAACGGCGTCACCAACGGCCGCCGCCAGCCCAAGCTGCCGTACCAGCAGCACCACAGCGACGAGCGATCCAACACCGGCCGCTTCCAGATCATCGAGAGCACCCTCCGAGAGGGCGAGCAGTTTGCCAATGCCTTTTACGACACAGGTACGGCCTCGAAGCCCCAGATGACGAGATATTCGGGAACCAATGACTGACTTGCTGGCTGCTACAGAGACCAAGATCAAGATGTAAGCCGAAACGGGCACCATCTCCTCCATCCTGCTATATATATCCCTTCGACGATACTCATACTTCTCGCAGCGCCACTGCCCTCTCCGACTTTGGTGTCGAATACATCGAATTGACCTCCCCCGTCGCTTCTCCTCAGTCTCGCGCCGACTGCGAGGCCATCTGCAAGCTCGGCCTCAAGGCCAAGATCCTGACCCGTTGGTCCCTCCTCTTCTCGTTCCCTTTTAGACGGCCACTGCTAACGATGTTTTCCCTCTAGACGTGCGATGCACGGTAAGAACTACGACCTGGACACAACACTCGATCCTCGACAGAACTAACTCTGAATTGCGCAGATGGAGGATGCCAAGGTTGCTGTCGCGACCGGTATGTATACACGAGATCGAGTTGGTAAATGGAACGGTTGAGATGCTGACCAACACAAGGTGTTGACGGTGTCGACGTCGTCATTGGCACATCACAGATCCTCCGCGATCACTCCCACCACAAGTCCATGGCTGAGATCACCGAGACCGCCATCGAGGTCGTCAAGTGGATTAAGAGGTATGCGTCCAGTCAATGCCGGCGAAGCGGCGCGCCCAGAGCGTTGGCCGCATCCCTCATCAAAAAAACGTGAAACTGACCCTTTCCACAGCCAGGGCGTCGAAGTCCGATTCTCCTCCGAAGACTCTTTCCGATCCAACATTGTCGACCTGCTCAGCCTGTACCAAGCCGTCGACGTAAGTCCAGCCTCGCTCGAGATACGAAATGCTTCCTCGCGGCCGTTCTAACCCCATATGCAGAAGGCGGGATGCGACCGAGTCGGTGTTGCGGACACAGTTGGCGTTGCCACCCCTCGTCAGGTTTACAAGCTGGTCCGGACGCTGAGAGACGTCGTCAGCTGCGACATTGAGTGAGTACTCAAGCGGGATGACAATCAGTAAGGGACTTGGACTAACGTCACGTAGGACACACTTCCACAACGACACCATGTGGTGAGTACGATCCGAGACTGCTAACATGACGCGCGAGTTAACAATCCATCAGCGCCGTGGCCAACGCGCACGCCGCCCTGGAGGCCGGTGCCACACGTAAGTGCCAGCATCTGAGGATACCTCGGGGGATGCAATTCTAACGAGTCTCACAGACGTCGACACCTCGGTTCTCGGTATTGGCGAGCGAAACGGCATCACCGTATGTATTGCGATCCCGAACGCCAAGACACTTGACTAACAGTCCTCAGCCTCTGGGTGGTCTCCTGGCCCGCATGATCGTCGAGAGCCCCGACTACGTCAAGTCCCGATATAAGCTGGCCAAGCTCAAGGAGATTGAAGATCTCGTCGCCGACGTTGTCCAGGTCAACGTTCCTTTCAACAACCCCATCACCGGGTAAGTCTTGATGAACCTGTCGTCTGCGCTACTCCGTACTAATGATTGGCCAGTTACTCCGCCTTCTCCCACAAGGCCGGTATTCACAGCAAGGCTATTCTTGCCAAGCCCGAGACATACGAGATCCTCAACCCCAGCGACTGGGGTGTCAAGAGATGCAAGTACCCTCCTGCAGCCAGCGTTCAACGCAAGAAACTAACCAGTTGTAGGGATCCACTTCTCTTCAAGACTTACTGGCTGGAATGCCATTAAGAGCAGAGCTGGCCAGCTGGGTCTGATCATCACCGACGAGCAAGCCAAGCTACTGTACGTTCCCCGGGTACCCTGCCCTATTGACGCGTGTGCATTACTAACTCGCCTCAAGTACACAGAAGATCAAGGCGATGGCCGACGTCCGTCCCCTTGCTATCGACGACACGGATTCCATCATCCGTTCATTCTGCCTTGAGCATCAACCCGAAGACCAACCTGATCAGTAGATGCTGTGTTTCGGAAGACGGAGATGCAGCCCCAAAAACAAGACGAAGAAAAAGAAGAGAGAGACTCCAAGGATTATATAGCACCGACCTTGGGTATTATAGTCATTGAAAAAATAGATTTTACGGTATTACTGACTTGTCATGCTGCTCGCCGTTTGTGCCATAGAGATGCTTATTAGCGGCCCTTGATTCGCGAAGAATGGTGTATCGTACGGCCAACTTTTAGTGATTTGCATAAAGGAGGGAGAGAGTAATATTGGTATTTCGTATATGCTTCCGACTACCTAGTAGGTAACCATCTCTCACCACATCTCGGCACAACCAAACCTCTCCATTCCGACCGAGGCATCAATGACATGTTATACCGTCTTCGCATTGCCTCCCTCTCAACTTCGGAAACAATCCATCCTTTGCCCTACAACAACCGCGACCATCCATCCAGTCAACATTTTCTGCGGAACCGTACTTGCGTCATCGCGCCAAACAGCGTCCCTTTTGACTTGGTGACGGGGTCTCGGCTTCGGCTTCGGATACGCCAGCAACTATCTCAACGCACTTCTATGTGTCACGCCGAGAACGAAAGAGAACTGAGGGCGCCTAGCCAAGGAGATCCCATCTGTTCATCGGAGAAGCTTGTGCGTTGTTTAGTACTCCGTGTTGACAATCGAGTGGTCATTCAGATAAAAGACTGCGTCTTCTCACTCCCTCATAAACGATCATCACCACAACAACAACCACCGCAATCCTTGTAATATCCATCCAGGAACAACTCATACTTGGGCTCAACTCACCATGTCCTCATCCCGTCCTCGCCAACGCATCCGCAACCTCCTCCCCCATCTCCGCCTCGGCAAATGGCCCCCCGGCGCCCTCAACTCCATCACCGACATCCCCAACGTCCTCGTCCACACCCAATCCATCCACAGCCCTCCCGGCAGCGCCACCCCAACGCCCGACATCAACACCGGCGTCACCGTCATCCTCCCCCGGGCAGACTGGTACAAGTACTCCAGCTTCGCCGGCATATTCAGCTTCAACGGCGCCGGAGAACTGACGTCGTCTCACTGGCTAAACGAAACGGGCCTCCTCGCCTCGCCCATCGTCCTCACGACGACGTCGGCTGTGGGGGATGCGTACCGTGGGATCTGGGAGTATACGATCCAGCATCATTCGAACGAGGATAAAGAGCTGGACCTGTTTCTCTTCCCAACCGTTGGCGAGACGTATGATGGCTTTCTCAACGATCAGAGCAGATTCGCCGTCACGCCGCAGCACATCATCGACGGCATCCGCAACGCAACCGCAGATGCCGTGCCCGAGGGCAACACCGGCGGCGGAACGGGCATGATCTGCCACCGCTTCAAGGGCGGCACCGGCTCCAGCAGCCGCATCGTCAAGGGCTTTGACATTTCCGGCAACGAAAAGTCGTACACCGTCGGCGTTCTCGTGCAGGCGAACTACGGCTCAAAGGACAATTTGTGCATCGGCGGCGTCCCCATCGGCCAGATCCTGAAAGAGCAAAGCCAGCAAGAAGAAGAAGAAGAATCCGCAGACAAGCTCAAGCCCGGCGAAAAGGAGCCTCGTAAAGACGGCAGCATCATCGTCGTTGTGGGCACAGACGCTCCTCTGTTGCCCATCCAGCTGCAGCGCCTTGCGAAGCGTGCCACGGTCGGGTTGGCCAAGGTCGGTGGCTACGGGAGCAACACCTCGGGCGACATATTCCTGGCCTTTTCCAACGCGAATGAGATTCCCTTTCAGGAGGTGTCCATGGCGGCGGCGGCGGCGGGAGCGCGGCCTAGGCAGCCGCTTGTGCCGCAGGTGATGGGCGTGCAGATGGCGGATAATGATACAGTGGATGGGCTGTTTGAGGCTGCGGCTGATGCTACCGAGGAGGCGATTTACAATGCGCTCTGCATGGCGGAGACGATGGTTGGTTTTAAGGGGAGGAGGGTTGAGGCTTTGGATTTGGGACTCGTTAAGGATGTTGTTGGGAGGAGACTGTAATGTGCCGGCTTTAGGAGCCTGTTTGGTGGTTGATATTGTTACGCTTGCTCTTCCTGGGTTCCATGTCAGGGTATATTGACGTGCAAATAAGCACACCTTTCTGCCATGACGAATGACATTTCTTCAGATACCTCGTCTAGCGGCAATGGGGCACCAGATAGGTATATGAGGTTCTATCCAAAAGGGGCTGTAAACACGTGCAAACGTATGTTTTCACAACGAGACGTCAAATCAAACACATGAGGTTACCCTATGAACGCTTCAAACTCTTTCTCCTAAAAGTCTCCGTCAAGTGTCTCGCTATTCTCAACGAGGTTACTCAAAGTCAAAGCCTCGTGGCAATTTTGCCAGATACAGAAATCACTGGATAGGTAGGCGGCCATCATCTTTGATGGTCTGTAGCGCGTAGGCTTACTTTCTTGTCATGGAGTTCTCTAAGCATCACAGCCGGGAGTTGACAAGATTCACCAAGACGTTTGCATTTTGTGTTTTGATAGCAAGTGCAATCAGGTACAGCGTTCATTTTCCAGTGTCAGATGATAGATATATTCTGTTCATCCCAAACAACGACAAACGGCAGACTGTCTATAAAGTTTAGTGCTTCACTCTGGTAACCAACCCTTCAAGCATCGTCGTGGCGCTTCTCAGTCTCTGGACTTGGTGTCTAAACCATATTCACCCACCGCTGAACAAGCTTTGAGGCGTGTTCTTTCCGTATATCGTGGCGTTTGTTGTCTACGTTTGTCTCTTCCCGTCGAACTGCCATTGTGTATATATGTATGAGGAATCCGCGGCAATGTCTGCGTCGTGTGTTCTTCAACTCTCTCTTCCAGACCATCACGATACATACCAATCCATCTCGAAGCTCACTGAAAGATCACGTTCACATCCACAGATCTATACACCCACCCACCATCATGACTTCCTCACACGCCCTCATCCGCCTGATCGTCGGCACATCCAGCCGCGCCTCATGGAACGCCCACTCGCCAATCCTCCAGCTCCCGCCAGAGATGATCCTCTGCATTGCCGATCACCTAGACCTGCAGGACCTCTTCATCCTCTCCCAGGTCTGCCGCGCCTTTCGGCACCTCGTGCACCGAGACTGGAACGGGGAACTCTTCCGGCTCCGGCCACGGGACCAGTATCGGTTTTGGGTCGGGCTGGCTCTTATCAGGCCGGCGTTTTGGGCGTGCGGGAGATGCTGCAGCATGCATCGTGTTGTCGACGGCCCCGATAGTGATACTAGGCCGATTGCCTGGAACCCCTCGATTCTGGGATGGAGAAGGCTTCCCTGCGGTGCTCACTACAGAGAGCGAGGGGCCTCGCAAGTAGTAACGAGTCGCCGTTCGACGAGAGGGTTTCCGGCCTTGATGATGCTTCGTCGCTCACCTGGTTCCACGCCCACAGACCAGTCATCCGCCTCTTGATGCAATCGTCGACAGCCGCATCTCGCATGTGAAGAGGCTTGGACTCTGCGGCAGTTAAGGGGCGAGATAGGAGGAAGCGGATTCTCGACATTGTCCACTCTGAGGACGCAACTGAGTCAGTCTCAAAGACCCCTAGACACAGGACGTCGATCACTTCTACCCAAGGTGCCCAACACAAGACGAAGCACTGGCCTCTACGTATCAGGGGGTCAACCTCGAGTAATCAGCCTTGCACGACATTTAGCAGCAAGGAGCATCCGTGATCTACCCAAGGTGCTTGACACACGATGAAGCACTGGCCTCAATCAGGAGGTCAAACTAGAATAATCAGCCCGGATCAACATTGGAAACAAGGAGCATCCATGATTCCTGGTGGGAGATCACATGTATACGAGTAGAGAGAAAGAGGAAGACTGGGTGGCATTGAGGACCCAATTTTGATTCATACCATGACAGAATCTCAAGGCTGCGATTGGAGGATGGCTTCGATCTGATTAGGGCCAGCCAGGGGAATGTCATCCCATGACAGAAAACGACTTTTCGGAAAGAAAACCCCTTACAATGTCCTTTGGAGACGTCGCTGGGCGAAACCCTCAAAAGGAGGCTGAGCTCCCGAAGCTACGGACCGGCCGTGAGCATCGGCTTCATGCCGCAGAACGGCCACGTCCCGGTTCCTGCACCGTGCAGTCTGGAGATTCATGCGCGGCTCTCGGACGACTGTCTAGTCTAGTAGTTGCTTCGGAGGCAAGTCCTAGATAACCTGCTAAATAAGACTCCAGGCAGCCCTTTCGCAGGCCCAAATGGCGGTGCGAAGCAGATGGGGTTGCGCTAGTAACGGGTTTCTCCTTATTGGTCGAGGAGGTTGAGTAGCGAGCATCTGACGGAAATTGGTTTGCTGGTTGATTTCATGGTGTTCTCTATCTACCTTAGTTTTCAGTGTCCAGAGTCATTTGAAAAAAACAAGCTTTGATCTGCATTGATTCCGGCACTTGCGAGTGGACTTGAATGACCTATATGGTGAACAATGTAGGACATGATAGAGTTCTGATTGTTCGTGAGACGGAATGTGGGCGATCCTTGTAGGACTGTAAAGAGTGAGCTGCACACACTGTAAAGGGTTACGGTAACCGATGGCGATGCTCCCATGGCAGGGATGTGTTGGACAGGGTGGCAACCAAGATTGAATCTCCAATGCAACACCACAAGGAAGGATTTGTTTGTCGAAACGAAACATGTATCTCGGTGCCAACAGACGTTCAATCAATCGCTGGTTTGTCAATTAATATATCAGACATGAAGGATTTAACCTTAATCCATCCATAAGACAAATCGCCTTGGCATCTTTGCATCTGCCGGGTCCTTTCTATCGAGCGCGCGCGGATGTGCTCCGGTCTGGCTGTCATTGAAATCTCCTCAGCACACGAGTCCCCTAGAGCGATAACTGTTTTCAATTGCTCCAGCACAAGTTGCCCTCAGCGAAGCGTGCAAATCGCGCGGTTTTCAAACGACTGATTGACATCATGTTGCGGAGTAGAAGCGCTAACTTCCAAGGCCGACTCGCTGCTATTACCAGACCTCAGGTTTTTCACATCAATTCAAAAGCAAAGCTTGGGGGACAATCACCGTAGAGAGAGAGCTTCGCGGAATAGTAGTAAATAAACAAGCCAGCTCGCTTGCCTCGCTGTCTAAAAACTGTGTATATATGCTAAGGATTCATGACTCTTAAAAGACATCAAATCATTCCCACAACTCATTTCGCAGCCTCCTCCAGAAGACGCTTCAGGACATCATCATCGCTGGGGTTGCCCTGGCCCAGGATGGTCTCGTAGGCAGGGTACAGAACGGTCTTCTCAATCTCCTTGTACTTGCCATCCGCGACGTAGACGACGTTGCCTTGCCGGGAGGCGTCGTTCATGAGGTAGGCGGCAGCGCGCGCAACCACGACGGCGGGCTGCGGGACGTGCGAGATGCCCTTCATCAGGTCCTCGAGGCCGGGCAGGACGTTGCTCGTCGTCCAGGAGGGCGTCAGGGTGTTGATGCGGATGGGAAGCCCCGCGATTTCTGCAAGACGCGCGAGACCCCTGCCGAATCCCAGAACGCCGTGCTTGGCCGTGGCTGCATGAACCGTAAGCAAACAGGGGAACATTTTGATTGTGCGGGAAAATACAGTGCTTATGCTGTTCGAGATTTTCAACAAACTTACAGTAATCGACAGCGCGGAGAGGCTGCAGTCCAGTGCTGGAGCCCATGAGGACGATGCTGCCGCCCTCGGGCTGCTCCTTCATGTAGTGAAGGGCCAGGCAGGCGGTGTTGATGAGGCCCCTCAGGCCAATGTCGAGCAGCTCGTGGGACGGCTCCTTGAGCTCACCCTGGTCGTCCGTCTCCAGGGCCAGGTAGTTGGCGCGGGGGCCGATGCCAGCGTTGGCAAAGACGCTGTCGATGCGGCCATGGTGCTCCTTGGCCTTCTTGAAGAGCGCGCGCAGGTCCTCCCACTTGGAGACGTCCGTCTTGACGAACAGCAGGCCGGGCGCCTCGGACGGAGGCGGGTTGATGTCGCCGCTGACGACGGACGCTCCCAGTGACAGAAGCAGGTCGACCGTAGCGAGGCCGATACCCGACGAGCCGCCTGTGTGGTAACAAAAAAGCAAGGTTTTTCTCGTCAGCTTGCGAGTCTAAAACATATCAAACGATCGATACAGTACGAAACAATCGACGAGACAACAAAGCCCCCCCGCTAAAAAACACGAGAGAAAGAGAGAAGAGCAAAAAAAAGAGCTCAAACTGTGTGTCCCGTACCTGTGAGGACGACAACCTTGCCCTTGAGGCCGCTAAGATCCTCGTCCTTGATGAGAATTTCGGCCATGGTGATGGAGATTAGTGGTACGAGGTATGTGATAGAGATTTAGACGAGGTCGAGAAAGACTGGAAATGGTTTGGTGGGATGCAGGATGCAGGGAGGACGGCAGAGAGGCGGCTAGAAGTATCGAGATGAAGTGATATCGCACGAGTAATAAATCAGGACAAAGGGGCTCGCAGGATGGGGATCTCGGGAAGGGGAACCAAAGCAGGACCACCTCCTCCGTCCTCGCCGCCGCCAGCGAGGAAAAGCCGCTCCTCTCAAGGAGCCCCCTTTACCTGGGGCATCGTGGTGAAACGAGCCTAGCCCGGCATGCTGCCCCATACGTGCGCCGTTGCAGGACTGGCTCTCGCGGCAGCATGAGCCCACATATCGTCTATATTAAAGGTCGGTCTGGCATCATGCACGATGGACCTAGGCCCAAGTTGTTGTGGCGGCCGGGTATGTGGGCAAGGACTGGGGGGGTCAAGCAGGGTCAAGCAGAGCCAAGAGGGCCAAGCAGGGCCCCCCCCAAGTGTCCCTATGGGAGCTTCTCCCGGTTGACCGGTGCGGGAGTTACATTAGAGACGACTCGAACTCGAACTCGGGGCCTGGCACGCGAGTAATGGCAACGAACACCAAGCATGGGTCCCGCCAGGGAAGAAATGACGAGCCGTGTTTTTATTTTCACTACGGTCTCATGGCTGCCGATCGCTTTAGTCTAGAATATGTAAAAGAAATACTATAATTATTTAGCCTGGGCTGATTTTCTCTGCGAGGGAAAATATAATATAGTCTGATTCGTTTACGGCTCTTTGTCAGATATTTAGTCTGGTTCTTCACGACTTTGCTAGTAATCTCATCTCGTTCTCTGCAACTCGTCCGATTACTCTTTTTTTTTATTTTGTGTTTCCTCACCCATCTCTCACAGATCCGACAGCTGCCCAACTCCTGCCCATCATGGTCAAGCCGCGGGGGGACGGCGAGTCGCTCCTCTACGCCTCGTCAATCCTCATCGGCCTGTCTTGGGTTACATTCGCAGCCCGAGTATGGGTGCGGTTCTGGCGAAAGTCCGCCGGATGGGACGACATCCTGATGTTCGCGGGCATTGTACGTCACATGTAGCATTGCTTACCCATATGCTGCCCCCCTCCCCTCCTCCTCTCTCCGCTGCCCCTCCGAAGCACAGACATCTCTAATGCTTCCCAGCTGCTCTTTACGGTGACGGCCAGTCTGTGCATAGTCTGCAGCTACCTCGGCTCCGGCCAGCTCGCCGAAGCCCTGCAGCCCGCTGAGATCATGAAGGGAACCAAGGTGCGTCTTTGGCTACTATATGCGCTCTCCAAATGCGAGTCGTCTTCACCGCAAAAGGTGGTTGCTGACTCTCGCCCCCCAACCCCAACAGCTCTTCTTCATTGCCGAATACTTCTACTCCTCCGGCACCGTCTTCATCAAGTCCAGCATTGCCGTTACGCTGCTGCGAATCGCCGACGCCCGCCGCCGTTACAAATGGACCATCTGGGCCGTCATCATCTCCACCATCATCTCCTGCATCGTCTTCATTTCGGGCATCTCCAACATCTGCCACCCCATCACTACGCTATGGGGTGAGACCACCACCGGCACATGCAACCTCCAGCTCAACAGCGACGTCAGCTTCTTCTTCTCCGCCATTGAGATCTTGACCGACTGGACGCTAGCTGTCCTGCCTGCAGCCCTGCTGTGGGGCGTCCAGATGAAGCCCAAGGTCAAGTTCTCGGTGGCCTTGATCCTCGGAATGGGTGCTTTGTACGTTCATGCGATACTCCTCCTTTCTCTCTCTTTCTCCCCTCTTTTCCCCCCTCTCTCCTCTCCCCCTCCCTCTCCTATAACCGAGGTAGGAAACCCACTGACTCCTGAATCAGTGCGAGTTGCGCAACAATCGTACGACTCCGCTTCCTGACTCTCTACGACAACCCCGCCGAGTTCATGTTTGGCACCGGCAAGATTGGTCTGTGGTCCATCATCGAGGAGGGCATCGGTATCATCGCCGGCTCGCTGCACGCCCTCCGCCCTCTCCTCTCCCTGCCCTTTTTCGGCGGCGGCAGCTCCGGCGGCAACACCGACAACTCTGCCGGGCACAACAAGTACTCGCCCAGGAGTGGACACCGCGGTCCCGCGCAGCACACGGACATTGGACTCGACACTTTTCACCAGCTCAACGACGGGGATGCCGACGGGGACGGAGACAGCTCCAAGCACATCCTGAGGGAGACCAAGGTCACAATGGTGAGCACTGAACGGACCGCTTCTCCGGGGGAGTACGGCAGGTCTCAGGTCCTGGGATGGAAGCGAGAACAAGTTTAAACGGGTTGATTTTGGGAACTGATACCTTTTTTTTTTCCTGGCAGGATGGCGCATGATCGACAGATGCCCACGGGCAGGATCCCGTACCTGCCGTAGCCTGGGAACAAGTATATATATATTTTAATATAGATTAAGCGCTCCGCCTTATGATGGAAAAAAGAGTTGTCGTGGATACAGAAGTCTGTAAGCACGACGTGGATTATACCCTACGTACACTGAAGAAAGATTTTCGCTTTACAAGGATAGTCTTGGTCTTCTCACGGGCTTTTCCTTCACCATTTGTTAACTTTGTTCTACGCTTGTATCTTACTGCTCATGGCCGCCTTGGACTGTCACGGTCATCCCCGATACGATACCACTCCGTTGAGTTTTGTAACACCTGCTCTAGACACAGGTGCTCTTCCTTTATTTCTTCCATAGACTATATAACAGAAGCCCCCTGTTTTGCCTTTGATATTTCCACGGCACATCGTCATCAACGTAGACCTTGGATTTGACACAAAGCCCATCTTCCATGTCCGAGTCAAGGTGCCTGTCCGCCTGGTCATGGCTACGTGGCCGTTTGCTGGGCTGGCGTACGTCCTCAAAAACCAGCAACGTATACTCTCGCCAGTGGTTTCCGATCCTTTCGAAGCCAAAGGCAACGCGTGGTTTTCTCATAGTCCTCTTTTGATATTGTTCTCTGGTGGCGTCTCGATACACAATGACTATTATAAGGAGCAAAGCACATGTATCTCACAGATCGTCGCTCAAAGCCTTCAGAATGTCTCTTGCCTCGTTTCTCACGCTCTCAACAATCTCTCCAGCACCTTGCACGCTCCTCACAAGACCTACGCCGGCACCCACATACGTTGCCAGTCTCCCCTCCGGACCCCAACCGGCATCACCACTCTTGGCCGCCTCGTCATGCAGCACCTGCAGCTTCTCAAAGGGGACACCGGCTTCATGATCGATCCAGCTGCGATTAATCAGAGTCCGAGGGGAGAACTGCTCCGGCCAGCCAAACGTGCCGCGCAAATGGTTGTACAGCTGGGTCCGCAGAGTGTTTTTCGCGCCATCAGACGCCCGAACTACTTCGTCCTGGTACCCCTTGGCGATGCGAGCCTCCGACGAAGCAAGAAATCGAGTTCCCATGGCCACACCGGCGGCACCCAGGGCCAACGCGGCTGCAGCTCCTCGACCATCGATGATTCCCCCTGCTGCAACGACGGGAATCCCCGACTCTTTGACTGCATCGGCCACTTCTGGGAAGAGAACAATGGTCCCGGTGGTGTCCCTGACCATGCCGTGCCCGCCCGCTTCCGTGCCCTGAACGACCAAAACATCCGGAGGCGTCGAGCTGTTGACAGCGGCAACCGCATCGCTCAGCGTGCCGACCTGGATCCAGATCTGCGTCTCCCGAGACGCTCCCCGAAGAGAAACCGTCCACTCATCCAGCTCCGACTGGCCATTCCTCGGAGCAAACAGCCACACCGCACACGGCCTGTGCTTCTCAACATCAGACGTTGCCGTCTTCAAGTCTCCGTTCCAGACCTGATAGCCGACGCCAACGGGCAGCAGCAGCAGGGGGTGGCGCAAACTAGTCGAGGCAGCGACCAACTCCCGCGCCTTGTCGAGATCAGCCGACAGTCCGTCCGGCTTTGCCTGGGGTCCAATAAATCCCAAACCGCCGGCCGCCGAGACGGCGACAGCGAGTTGTGGGCCGGCCATTATGCGCATCGGGGCGCCGACGATGAAGGGCTTCTTGGCCCATGGGTAGGGACGCGCCAGCAGGCGTCTTAGCTCGGCCGTTCTTGGAGAGGCCATTGTTTTGATTGCAGTTCCGAGGCACAAAAAGAACGAAAAGGGCCGAGGCTCTTCTACGGACTGGTTGTTGAGTCTTCGGTTTAGTAGTCTTGAGACTACCTAATAAGGAGGCATAAGGAGATCTGTGCGACACTAGTAGGTAAGGAGTCAGTCTTTGCAACGCCTCAACCTGAGATACCCATCGTCGTTCTGAGCTGTGATGCAGATGGCGTCATTGCAGAACTTTAGGTCGCTTTTTGCCCGCCACCATCATGTTCGAAGTCAAGGGAGCGTCCACACTAACAGACACTTTGTGAAGCCATTGAGCAACAGTCCCCCTTAGCGCAGCTCTATCAGGGACGCTGCAGAAAAGCCACAAAAAACTGCCGATGACATACCAAAAGCTTTGACAGGTTTCACAATGGTTTCTTTTGCGGGGTCAGGAGAAGCAGAGACGCGCAATTGGAAACCCTGACAGGCGGAATTGGTTGCTGCTTTAGATGTTTGACAGTTGTAGAGGGGGGATCAGGGCAGAGAGAGAGGGCATCGCCAGCTTTATGAAAGCCATTTCAGGCATCTGGGACCGAGGCTATTACAAGCATTCCGTTTCGTTTTCTTCTGCTTCTTTTTGGTAAAGATGGCCGCACAGTTGATTTCAAATTCCGCGGAGATGCTCTCACGGTGCTGGCTCTGCGAGGAGCCAAACATGTGTCATTGGCGGGGAGGGCAGTCGAGCTGAATAATGGCACCTCTGTGGCGCACGCAGCTTTCTCCGTGGCTGAATGGCAGAGAAATCATACTGAAGTACCTATGCCAATGAGATCAAAGACGGAGAGTGGGAAGATGTGGCATCTGGAATAGAATAAATGAATCTCTCGTCTGCCTAGAGGAGTATCTAGGTAACATGATCAAAACTAAAAGAACATCATCAGAAACAATTGGCACATTATCACACCTCCTCTGCCTATACCACGTCACATTCACTCTCAAGACTTATACAAAGACTCTCAACTCAATTACTCGTTGGCCAACACTTATAAGCGGAAATGTCCACTCGGTCTGACAACGCCATCGTCATCATCGGCTCAGGGCCCGGAATTGGCACAAACACAGCTGCCGTCTTTGCCGCCAACAAGTTCAACAAGGTCGCCCTCGTCGCCCGGAATCCCGTCCAGCTCGACAAGGACGCAGAAAGCGTCAAAGCAGCTGTCGACGGCAACATCACCGTAAAGACATACTCGACCGACGTAATCGACCCAGCCCAGTTCACCGGTACCCTCAAGCAAATCAGCCAAGACCTCGGCACCGTCGAAGTCATCCTCTACAACGCCGCCATCGTATCACAATCACGCCACCTCCAAGTCACAGACGACGAACTCATCCGCGACTTCAAGATCTCCACCATTGCGCTCAACAATGTTTCCAAGTGGGCCATGCCGCAGTTCGTCGTCCTGGCAGAGAAGGATGCATCAGCGCAGCCTACGCTGATTGTGACGAGCTCACATTTACCAGAAGCGCCTGAGACGGATATCGTTTCGCTGTCCGTGTCCAAGGCTGCGCAGAAGAACTTTACGAGGTCGCTGAGGATGGAGTTTGAGCCCAAGGGGGTGCATGTTGCGCTATTGACTGTAGCTGGGTATGTGTTTGATCATAACCAGTTTTTGAATGCAAAATATATTGCGATGCAGGCGTGGGAGCTTTACGCGCAGCCGAAGGGGGGCTGGACTGAGGATGTTCGGATTGAAGAGCCATGGTCAGTGGGTAGGGGAGAGTGACGGAGGAGGTGATAGTTGGAATATATTGCAAGCCACTGGTTTTCGAGGTGACAATACCTCTGATGCATATGGATTTAAATTAGCCATCTTTGCACTCAACTGTTCAATTTATTTGTCAACCCATGTCAACCTGGGACGTCAAGCATCTCGGTTCAGCTCAGGCGAAGATGGATCTGGCAGGCGAGAATCATCAAGATCGATCTGCTTACAGCTGACAGGGTCACCACCATCACAAACGCGGGGTGTTACAATGCTGGATATTGACTTTCCTTTCTGGGTATTTGGTTCGTGTGGCCGGGCTGCAAATCAAATAACGAGACGCAAGTCCAGCGCCAAAGGGCCATCAGTACCTAGAGGAAGAATCAAATGCTTCTTCACTCCAACACAAACTATAGGCCCTGAAGGCGCTGCTTGAGGCACAAAGATGATATTTATCGTGCAGAAACAACCCCTTGCCTCACGATATTGTCCGAGACTCCCGACCTGGAAGAAGCTCAATATGTCAACGCCATCTTTCTCTCACCTCCACCTGTCAAGTCCATAGTCACCGGGCGCAGCCGTATATAGACACGTCTAGCCTCAAGGCCAGTCCCGTAGTGGCAGCGCCATCACTAGAGCCAACGTCAATGGTAGATAGGGAAAGACATGAGGCGTTTCTGCTTTTAAAGTTGCCGAGACGTTCAGCTGAGCAGCCTTGGCAACCCACAAAGCGTGATCGCCGGAGGATAGTCTAATTCACGCCGTCTTCAGATGTGCCGAAGCGGCATTGCTTAGACTCGTTCTATAAGCATACAATGGTTATGTTACGGGATTGTCAAATGTCAGATTTACAATGGCTGAGTCCAATTTCTTAAGTAGAAAGGCAACTCCCTGCTCTCACCCAAGACCAAGCAATACTCAACGAGTCTAAATCAGGGAATGTGTATGCTTACATATCTATATTTATACGATACCGCAACCGAAATCGGGTGTAATCATTCAGTACAGATCAAAACTCCGCAGCCGCTGGCAGTCAGATATTGTCGTCCTCCGAAATCTCATCATGACAACGAAAAGAAACACAAAGACAAACAGATAGACAAACAGGATAGTGGTCAAAGTTTGCAGTCGCTAAAGCACGTCATCGAATCTTCCATATCGAACAACTCCCCGTCAAAACTGTCCCAAACGTTCTCACCTCGCAGCTTGTTCAGGTAACCTCTGGCAGACCTTGATGATTGGTCTGAAGTACCACGCTATCAAGCTGAGAGGCGCGATTCTGAGGGTTCGATCCCGGTTCCGCCTCCATCTGCTTCGGCCTCGCTATTCCATCTTCGTAGTACATGTAGTCAGGAGGCGGCTCTGCATCTTCCGGGAGCTCAATGACGACCGGCTCCGCAATAGATGCCGACTGCTGGTGAGAGTCGTGCTCGAAGCGCGGAGCTCGATCGCAGCACTCGTTATACGCAGGAGCTGCGGCACCAAAGCCGACGGTCGTCTCAAAGGCGCTCTGGCGGATTTGTTGCAGGGCTTGTCGCTCGTCTTCCAGTGCCCTTGCAGTCCTTCGGATTGACCCTCTCCGGGACTCGCTGACCTTTTTCATGGCTTCGACGTACTTCTTCTGCGCATCGAGTGCCTTTGTAAGCGTGGCTCCGAGCCGCTCTATAAGCTCGCTGTTTGCCGATTTGCTGTGGTAGCGCTCCTGTGCGACTACTCTAGCAGCTATGAAGAGTCCGTCGAGAGTCTTCTTGGCTTGCGTCAATTCGGGTCCAGGAGTTGCCTGAATGGCCTCAACAGCTTCGTCGCTGAGTTCTAGACCGCGGTTGATGTATGCGACGCAGCGTTTGAGGATCGTCTGAACGCCTCGCTGCGAAAAGATGTCTGAATGGTTGTCGAAGCTTGCACGTTGCTTCTCGAACAAGCTTCGCTCGATGGCTACTTTGACTGCCTGAGCGGCCTTTACGCCTCGGACGGCCGCCTTGAGTGCCTCGGTTCTCTCCTGAAGCGCCAGCTTGGCCACTTTGTGTGCCTCCTCCTGCTCGTCTTCGTCCGCAAAGCCCGCCGTTGGTCCGTCGAATATTCTTGAGTAGAGGGCATCAATCTCCTTGTGCGCGGCGCCGTGTCGTCCCAGCAATGCTTGCAGCTCCTTCATCTCGATAACCAGCGAGGCCTTATCAGCCTTTAGTTCGTTCAGCTTGGCCTCGACTCTGTGCCGCTTCTCAAGCACCTCGTGATACGCCTTTTCTTCCCGCATCGCCTTTTCATCGAAGACGCCCTTCTTCTTCAGCACGGTATAGACGAGTTTCTTGCCTATCGAATCCCGATAGCTCTTGTGCTGCTTGAGCTGCTGGTTTGCCGTCGCAATGGCCGCCTGCACCTCGGGCTCGAGATCCGCAAGCCGCTTGTCGACATGCTCAATCTTGACCTGGTTGTTGTTGAACAGCCCCGGCGCGTGGGCCGTGGCCTCGAGCTCGCCCAGGAGCTGTGTGTTACGCGATGCTGCTTCCTCAATGACCTGTCGAACTTTGCGCTCCGCGACTGGGTCGGACGGCGTATGGTTGTGTCGACGAGCCGGCATGTTGGTGACTGGTTCAGGGGGGAGAAAGTCTGCAGCTGCAGCTTTGCGGTCGACCATGGAGAAGGCCATCGGATCTATGGCGGTGACGTTATCGGCCTTTTACGCGTCTACTTTGCTTTGCAATGGTGGTTATAATGATTGAAAGGGATGGTTGACACACTGTTCGCAATATGGTAACATCTCGGGCAGCATCATGGGTTCCGGCGTCGTGGGACAGGGTCTTATTTACACCATTATCAATGCCTTGGTAAGACGGGGCATTGAAGCCAAGCTGGCCAGTTATTCAAGCCGTTTGAGGGATCATGTCCAGCTGCTCTCGTCATGCCACAGCAAAACTACCAAAGATTTGTCATTATCCCTGAGAACATTACGGCCAAGCGAGGAGCCGTCAGCACTTAAACCAGATCCCGACCCCTTGCGCCCAGTTCACAGCCTTGCTGCCAGCTGCGCCACAACTGGAATCAGTAGAAGCATGACCTTTTATTTGTACCTGACTGGTACTATAGATGATCTCAAATCGTTCAACACTATCGAGCTCACTGCCACTCTGCCGCCAAGCCACAGTTTCAATCCCGTCTTGTTCCCCATAAGCTGCCACTTACACCCAGCACTTAACGGTGAAACTTGCCAACAATCACCACATCATATCCCGTACCTGAACCAAAGTAGATCTATGTAATGACGTGAGCAGTTCAATAGCTCGAGCCTTAGAAGCTGGGCAATCAGGCGTCTTCGCCCGACGAATGCTAGTCAACACCACCCACTCGCCAGATTTGGCTATTGGTGCATAAGTGTGGCACATCTCCCGTCTCCCATTCCCCAAAGTCGACAAAGTTCAGCGTCCAGACACCCACTCGAGATGCTTCTCCTCGGGCGTCGCTTCGCAGTCTCGGCCGTATGAAGCTCGTCTGCTGGTGCAAGTCGGGCACAGGTCGGAGACCGCGAATTGCGCAAGGCGAATGGTCGATGGCTTATTTCCTTAGTCTTCTGAGGGCAAAGAAGATGCGAATGCTACCTTGGCCATCGGTTGGATTCAGGGAGATGTCACTATAAAGCCGTGTTCGATCCGTGCATGGCGGCGGGTTGCCATTGAGCAGTCAAGAGCATTTCTCGGAGCCATAACCTGAGGAGTCAGAGCAAGCCATCGATTTTGGTCCCAGAGTAGAGCAAATTGCATCAGTCCATCTTGAGTGTCCCCAACACAGTCGCGAACCTCCACAATGGCTATTGAGTCTATTCCCACCCTTCACTACCTCGACATTGGTCGATTGGGTCGCGGCGAAGTTGTCCGGTAAGCCTCACGCGGCCACAAGCAGCTCACCCTCTTCGACTTCGTTCCGCCAGTTTCCAACTATGAACAATTATACTGACTTCAGCCATTCACCAGCCTGTTCCTGAGAGATGCCGGCATCGAGTTCAACGACGTTCGACATCCCTACGACGACACATGGCCCGCGACGAGCGCGAAGCTGAAGGAGCAAGGCATCACTCGAACTGGCAAGGTGCCTGCGCTCTTGATCAATGGCCTTGTTCTGAACCAGGTCAGTTACACAACCGTTGCAATCAGTATAAAGACTGGCTAATGAAGGCTACTATAGCACATCTCGATCTTGAGGTATCTGGCTAGAGACCTCGGGAGCTACGACGGCGAGACAAACTATGAAAAGTTTCAAGTTGACGCCGTCGCCGATGTTTACAATGACTGGAGGGTAAGTCAATCCGATACCTTGTCCTAAGCACCCCTTCGTTCAGTAGAGAACTCTAACGAGAGACATACAGACTCAATGGGTGGCAAGCCTCAAGGGCGTCACAGACGAGTACAGGAACAAGATTGTGCCCGAATACTACAACGTCATCGCGCAGTATTATTCTGCCAACAACGGCCCGTATCTCCTTGGTGATAGGATCACCTACGCCGACTTTGCTGTCTATCAGTCTATCGACAATGACGAGCGAACCGGCACTTTGCCTGTGAGTGCTTCTTGCATACCTATGAAGTAGCGTCTACCGATGACATTTGGGACCTACTGACTCACGATAGGCTGAGCTGCCTGAGGCGGTGCAAAAGTTCCGTGAGGCATTCGAGAGTCGTCCGAATATCTCGGCTTACATCGAGGCGAGCCGCCCGAAGAAGGCGTGAAAGAATGTTCACGATGTTAATCCTTTCACATGATTTCAGTACATGTATTGTAAGCCACGCCTAGCTTAATGTATACAGACACGATACAAATTTGATGAGATCGATGATGGCCTTGTTCTTGTGAAAATAGTGAGCGCATACGTACTGATAGTTAGGATATGGCATTGACTTGAAGTCCTCATCTCAGATTAATCATTGGAAGGATCGAACAAGAATCAGGGACATACGCACAGGCTGACTTTATGTGAAGGGGGTCTGAGGCAGAGTCCTCGGTGATGAGTTGAGAGGAGATGAAGAAGCCCGAGATCAACACCGAGGCAAATCCCATATAGCAAAGCGACCCAGACAAGGCAATTGCAGTGTTATACCAAGTTCGTCATTTAGTTATTTGACTTCCTGTTGTAAAGTCGAGCTTGCATTGTGAAGACAACAGAGATCAAGCACCCGTCTACTACCGCCCGTCGAGTCCAGGGCACGAGACCTAACCTGTAATAACCGGAGTGAGGTGTTCTTGGCTGTCACTATCCGAAGCCACTTGCAGGTGTGATCAAGATAAGCTTTGCCTCAGCTTCGTTACCAGATTTTCTTTCTGCAGAGTTGACCTTCTATATACCTTAATTATCACCCCATCGTACCTATATATCTCACCGAGGCTCTTCCAACGACTATTATTAAGGCTGTATACGGGGGCTCTTTGGGCCATGCGATCTGACTTGACTGCAACGTTGCGAGCCACGAGAAATCAAACAGCCCTCATGGAAATCCATGTAATTACGTACTCAATTCAAGGATCCAGCTCGTAAGGAACAATTCGCTCAAACATTCTACTTGAGGCATCAAGGCAGGCTCCTCCCATGCCACACTGCAAGGACATACCTTACATCCCGCGGTATACGAACAATACGGTGCTTACTGTAATGCCGGTACTTCCTACGAATCACCTTCATTTCAGGAACAAGATCGTCGCTTCATCTGCCGGCGTCTCAAAGCCTCTTGAGTGAGCGAGGATAACCCGGCCGGCACTTCGAGGCCTCCACGTCGGAGTTGCTTCAACCTGCCGGGTGGTCTGTTGGTGGAGGAGGACGAGAGATGCATGAACACACGGTAATTAAGTAATAATTCTGACTAAGAAAGACTTCATCTGCTAACTTGTACTGTACTTGCAAGAAAAGATGTGCAGAGAGATTCATGGCACGCACATGGCAAATCTGCAGCCGAAGAGCATTATGCCAGATTGCCTTGCGAGCCCGCTTCATGCGTTGCGGAGCGAAAAACATGTGGCAGATCGGATGAGATGCAGATGGGAAGGGAAAGGGAAAGGAAAAGGCCCAGCGCATGAAAAAGCTAAGCCTTAGGCACAGATTTAGCCTCATCACGACCCTCTCCGAGCATGACGAGGAGGAGTGAGATTCCACGATTCTGTCACATACATACATCGGATGCCACGAGGTTATGGAGGTGCCGCGTTCATGCCGCGTTGCCCACTCCTCCGCATGACGAAGGGGATCCCGGAAACTGGTCTTCCTTTCTTCTCCGGTCCCCCATTCTCGGGATCAGGTCATGAGGTAGGGAGAGCCCCCCACAACCCGAGCATGGAGGCTGGCGAGCTCTGCTTATTCCTATGATTTTAGCGGTTTCATCCCGCTCATTCTTCCTTGGCATAAAGCGTCCAGTCAGGCACCCTTCCAAGGCACTGCCCGTTGCTGATCCATCAAGCGAAGGGAAACGGCAACTGTTCATGCAAATCCTTCCAGAAGTCTTGGAGCTGAAGGGCTGACAACCAGGTTTGAGCCCAGCCGAAACCGTCTGAGCTGCCGGAAGCGTCGAAACGAAGCAGAGCTTGGACGAAAAGACACATAGAAACAAGAAAGGAAGCAAAAAGGCGCTTCTAGCCCCTTTGTACCCTTGGCTCCTCATGGTTATCGACAGCGTAGACGACAGCCTCAAGACGCTCGCTAGAGAGACATGATCAAGATGCCCCAGGTCGCTCGCTACACAGACTGGTCAAAGTATGCCGATCACGGGCTCGCCGCTGGAATTCGCAGAAGAACCCCATACCTTCTATCTCCAGTTCCTTTCAACTAGACTCGTTATATCCTTTTCTCGTAAACTTGCTCATAGAGTCTAGCGAAGCGCAGGACTGTGGAGATGGTAGACACACAGACGTCTCGCTACAACCACCTTCTTAAGGAAGAGGCAGGCAGAGTAGCAGCAGTAGTGTAATACTCCATATTTCTCGCGGTCCAGCCCCTTTCCAAAGAATGTCACCAAGAAGCGAAAGAACCAAGGTCTCCGCTCATATGATGGCAGGCCCTGCTTTGAAGATATTTCATACATGGGCATACAGTACATACATACCCGTACTCGCACATGAACGGCCCATGTCTTGTGCAGGGGGCCACAGGGGTCGTTGATTAGGTCCCTTTTTTTCTCTCCAAAATATTCCCTGTCAAAGGACCCCTGCCCCAGTACCTAGACCGGCTTTTCTTTCCCATGGGAATAAGAAACCGCTTCTTGAGCCGTTGGAACCTACCCCTGTCAAGGCAAGAGAGAGAAGAAAAAACGGCCAATGGCACATCCACTTAGAGGCTCGCCACCCATGTAACTGACCCAGGCAGACAACAGGCAATCTGAGGTAGCATCACACTACGGCATCCCGACTGCCGCGGCTTACTCTAGACTCGTCGGCAGCAATTCTGGCCTCATTTGTGCATATCGACATGGGTTAGCCTGTTGAAGAGACTGCTGGGAACGGAAGAGAGGGATTTATACGCGCGTACAGTAGGTAGCTTTGCAGCGTCACATCCATCACTGGAACCGCGAATGGGATGACATACCGGGAGGAATCGCATGATGGGCGCGCGAACAATCGGATAGTCCTAGGAATGGGAAAGAGGACTTTCAGGCAAAAACTGCGCAACGATGGTATTCCCTACAACTAACTACCTAAAGAGGATATGTATGTATAAATAGCAAAAAATGGTATTAAACAAAGACAACATGAATCGGTTATATCGTAAGTTCGTTCGTTCCACGTTACAGTGCAGCCAACAACGCCTTGCCCAGCAGGCACGGGAGAATCAGAGTAAAAGAGACTGGAAAGAGAGACGAAGAAAGGGGGTAAAAAAGAGGAAGAAAAAAAAAAGGTCATGCCTAGACCGACAACAAGTCACCGAGGACCCTCTTTCTCGTCGTCAAATGCAAAAGAAAATGCAGAAACGCCATGGAATGCAATACTTGGCCGTTTCCATCATCAGTTCATATCCCCTTTTCCCCTTTGGGCTCGTTTTCGTTCATGAAGCGGCGTTGATTCGGTCAAAGAGCTCTCCAATCTTGTACTCGAATGGAGCCAGGGGATGCTCCTCGCCCAGGCCCATGTCACTCATCTTGTATCGGGGGTTTGTCGTGTGCATGGCCATGTAGCCCCGGACGCTGTCTTGCCAGGACTGTTCGTAAACACCCCTGCCCTTGAGGATCTGTTCCACCCGCTTTGCGGCGTCTATCGTTTCTTTGTTGACCTCATGGAGGACCTCCATGATGGGCTTGCCGGTGGCGTTGGCGCGGTTATGGAGGTAGTTTCTGGTGTCACCGCCCACTTCCTCCTTGTAAAATCTGAGGATTCGGTTAGTCACGGGGATTCCGGAAGGCCATGGCTTTGCAAATGATTACTCACGAAAGGACGTCATTCGAAATGTCAATGAACCGGGCCATGTCGGGGATCGCCTCGAGGTAAGCTGAGGCGTCGGGATACTGCGCCTTGGGGTAGCAGAAGACGGCATACGCCACGTTCATCCCAGACATGTCCCTGTAAAAGTCCGGGAACTTGAAGCCGGCTCGCGTGACCTCCAAGTTCTGGAAGCCGTCGTGGCGCTCCAGCAGGTTGCTGGTCAGGAACTTGAGGACGGAGATGTGCAGCATGTTGGACATGACGGTGTCGAAGTGGTCATCTGCCTCACGGAGCAGGATGGCGATGCCCTCGAGCAGGTTGTTCGCCTGAGGCTCTCCCCGGAAGAAGCGCGCGTGGAACTCCAGGGCTTCTTTGAGCATCTCTCTGCCGGCAACGTTGCCCTGGCCTACAATGTCGTCGTACTGGACGACGAGCCACGTGAACAGGCCGACATACCCCTGAACTTGCACGGGATGGTTGGGGTGAGCGAGCTGTACATCGAATCGTGTGTTAGCTAATTACACCTATGGCTTTGAGACAACTTATGGCACGCTAGTCCAACCACATGGCAGGCAAGAGTCATGAATCAAGAGGACTCCCGAAGCAAGGGAGAAACGTTTGAGCCACTCAGACGGAGGAAGCATTCTAGAAAAGGCAAAGGTAAAGGATGTTGTGAAACTCACCAGTCCCTCAGCGTAGCCAAGACGGAACCCCTTTGCAGAAAGGGCGTTGTTGAGCGGCACGTCAAACTCGATGGCTCGCTTGTGCATATAGGCGAGCAAGCCCTCGACCGCCTCAGCCTTCAGCTTGGGCGCCCCAGGATAGTGAAGCTGGTTGAGCATATCAGCGCAGATGGGTCCCACCTGGGCGGCCAGCTTCTCCGGCTCCTGGGGCAGATCATTCTTCTGCCGTGACCGGCGAGTAATCTTCTTGGGGAGGAACCGCTTCAGCGAGTTGACAACCCGGCGGCACGCGGAGGCGGCGGCGGTGTGGCACGAGGCATCGTTGCTTTGGCTTTTCCTGGAGAAGACGGCCATCTTTGTTTCGTATATCCGTATAAGCGCGGGTGGCTGACGAGAGTAGTGAGACACTGGTGGTATTGTGGGAACGATTACAGCAGAGATCTGATATGAGATGGCCCCAAAGAAGTAAAGCAAAGTTTCAAGGATGGCAGCAAGAACAAAGCAAAGAAGCACGACTCTCTCTCTTGAGCTGATGCTGAGGATAGACTCAAGACTAGAGACGATTTGAAACGCACCAGACGGGGGGAAACCTTGGATCTTTATTCATAGCGTCCGCTCTCGAGTCCATGGGCTCCGTTGGCTCCTCGAACTGCTCCGGGGTAGTACATGATACGTGATCAGTTGCTGAACATGAGGTGAAAGAGTCAGTCAGCCAGGCGGATTTCCGAATCGAGCCCCCATGGCCGCAAAAAAGTCAAGGGGATATGCCCTCGTTCGCGTAGAATTGTGGATTGGGAAGGTATACTAGCTTATGTTGTTGGTTGTTAGTTGTTGTTGTTGCCGTACGTTGTATCACTCTTCTGTCGTATGTAATCTATTAGTAGTATCACTTTTTTCTCCAGCAGGCCGGGTAGTAACATGACAAACGCGCCGGATTTGTGCTCATCGTATCTGGGGCCTGGCCTCTCGTTTGGGGTGTGATTGTCCCAGATGCTCGGCGGAACCCACGTTCCCAGTTCTACCAAAGAGTGCCGAGCCGTATATACGGGGCATCTATCTGCCCACTTTGCCCACTTAGGTGCGTTGGTCTGCAGTGGGTGAACGGACACAGCGAAGGCAAAGACACTCTGTCTATCAGAAGAGCTTGGATACCGCTTCCGTGGGCCGTATCAAGCCTATCAAGCCTATCCAGGAGAGAGATGACTTCATTCTCCAGCGGCTATTTTGATCTAGTGAGTTGTCATGTGAACCCTTAGAGCTGTGCTCCAGACCAGAAAAAAAAAGCGGCCAAAGGGGAGTTCTTCACCGCGCTTCCTCCGGGAGATGCCGGCCGCCGAGGTCTGTGTCACCGAGAGAAATGGAGACGACCAACGTCGTATTGCTGCAACCACGTTCCACGTCTGCTTATCATGATTTGAGGCTGTTGGTCAGACTGTTAATTTATTTGTGCGCTCTCATGTCTCCTCCCTCACTTCGGCCATGCGTGCCAATCGGGAAGCCAATTGTGGGGGATGAACTCGGATGACCAGGGCGCCATGAGGCAGATATCGTTGCTTTCTCTGGCTTCTCTGACTCTTCCCCTACCACTCTCGGCCAAGTAATTGGCCGCTGATGCTACGGTATACGGACAATTAGCCAGCAGTATCTGTGAGCAGTTTGAAAGGAGGTCCCCGCTGTCCCTGAGGCACGGGCTAGGCATATTCGTACAGACCGTCAACTCACGCCCATGAACCTCTTCTGTTCTCGCACCGCTCTGTCCGCCTGTTCATGGGGCTTACGTGTACGCCCTGGGCAAGGATTCTCAAGCTATGCCGGCGTAGCTCATGTTGCTAACCTCGTTGATGCTCGCACGAAGCCCGTGTCCGCCGTCATGACGCTGGGAAAGACTGGAAAACGCGGCAGTGAAGGCGTCAGAACACGATGCTCGTCTGTAGTGCTAGTCCTCTTCCTGCCCTCATCAGAAAGGATCTTCAGCCCCAGGACACTAGTACAAGTATCCGCTTGTTCAACTGCCTCTCTCCATAATTCTCGTTGTGGGACGAACAGGTTCCCCTTCACGATCTTAGCTCTCATGTCTGTCCGGAATACATACACAACATACGTACATGCTTGTGGCTTTTTGCCCATTAATCTGGCATGAGCTTGGTCCTGGGACTGCTCCGTATCAATGCATTGAATCTGATCTGTAGAAGCAAGGAATGTCTTGTATGAGCATACGTCATCCGAAGCGAGAATGGCCTTAATCTCGAGATATCCTGCCCTCATCGGAAGGCTCATATCGACTACAAGTAATGCCTAGCACGTCCAAGGCGTGCTCGATGCGACGGCGCGCGTTATCTCGCCAGACTCAGCACGTGTTCACTCTACCGCTCAACCTTTCCTCATGTTAGTTAGCCCTCAAGCAGGAATCGCCACTACCAAGTCCATTTACCTGTTTTCTGGCTTCTAAGGGCTGAAGAGACAGGGCCTCGGGCCTGCTAGTACTGGCAAAACTACTCGTACATACATGGCAAGTCTCTCCTCCTTCTCCATCATACTGATTCATCGTACCTTGGAAGTCGGCTCAAGAGGCAAAAGTGCTTGCTCCCCCCCTCCGACGTCCGAACTAGCTTGTCCCAAAGTACGCCGGCTTGACCTGTCAATTGACGCTGGTGGAGGTCCCGCGAGCTGTTACACCAAGCCCAAGCGCGCCAAGCTCGCCTGGCAATTGGGGCTGTCCGGGGTTCCGCAGACAGGGGGGGCCAGTTGACAGGGGACCGGGGGAGACTTGGTCCTTGCTCTTGGGTGGCCTGTAGAGGGAAATGACACGCTCGTGACACCTCCGGCAACGGCCCAGGGGGCTGGTATTTGCCGCTGCAAGAGGGATTGGGTCATACCACGGGAGAGGCGGCGGCGGCACTGGGGCACTCGTCCTCTGGCTCGCATGTAGAAGAAGTGTACCTGGCTGTGTGTTCGTGTGCGTGTAGTGCCTACATACTGGTAAGGTACGGTGAGGATACTCGTACAGGACTTTGTCTGTTCGGCTGTCAACGCCAATGGGAGCGAGGGCAAACCCTCCCCCTGTCAAAGTCTCCTCTCCCCGCTTTGGGGCGTGCAGACAGACATGCGCCAGATAGGAGCTGTCCAGGGTGCTTTGTGTGCCTTTTTCCGTCTTGTTGGTTCTCTGGTTTCCATTTCTTCGCTTCCGTCTTCCATGCATGTTGTCAGGGGTGCATGAGAGGGTAGCGAGAGAGGGTGAGAGAGACAGAGGCATGCCATTGACAGCGCGTCTCGCAAGCAGGAAATACGGCAGCTTCTGCACATACAAATATGGGCTCTAGGGCTGGCCGACGACTCGCGGGCACTCGGACGCCCATGGAACGGTGAGCAGAGCGCCTGTAGTATGTACTTTGCAGCACGGAAGAGTTGTCATTACCAAGCTTTTACATACCATGCCTTGACAGGGAGTTGCAAAAGGCAGCCGCGCAAAAGCCGCGCCGCAAATTGATGAGAGGCTACTAGTCCAATCCGCCGAAGTGGAGGGCCTCAAAAGTGAGGGCTTCGCCTTGCTAGCTAGACGATGGAATGCCAGGGTTTTGGCGAGCGAAACTGACAAGTCTCTTGGGGCCAAGAGGGCGGCGAAGGAGGCAGAGAGACAGAGAGAGAGGCGGAGAGAAGCGAGCACACGCAAGTAGGGCGAAGGAAAAAGCAAAGAACAATGGGAGCGAATCCTTCTCATCTCTCGCTCGTCAGAAGGAGACGCACTAGTTATCACTAGACACAACTAACCAGCCGGTTTTCAGACGTCGTTGCATGTGCGAGATGCAAGGATTTGCTGCTGAATAGCTGCTATTGAGCTGATACACGCCAGTATTTGCTTTTTGTGAGCACACATACAAAGCCAGTGCTTCAGCTGGCAAGGATACGCGAATATCCCAAGCATCTGGCGAGCCCGGAGGGGAGCTCCGTAGTCAATGGACCACTCAGACGGGCCGTCCATGGCGTCCTAGCATTGAGCCGTGGGCCAACACAGCAGAGAGCCTGTCCTGAGACTGCGGCGCCGCTCACATGTCATATTTCGTGTTACGTACGTAATGTGCTGTGTCCGCAACAACGTAGTATTGCCCCTTGCATATAAACCGACTTTCAGGCACACGCTGCCAGTGCTTGCTTGACAAGACCAGACGTCTGCTTTACGGAGTCTCATTTCAATGCCATCATACTGGAGCAAGTCGTTATCACAATTACTGCAAGCTACGAGTTTCCAACACTGTAATCATAGGCATCGTTCAGTCTGCGTATTTGCGTGTGCCCCGTGTGCCGGGTAATACCAACTATTCAGTAGAATGCAGTACAGGTAGGGCCCCCCCCCTTTACCAACCGGGTAGTGGGCAATGGGCTCACGTTTGAGGCGGCCGCAGCCTAGAGAAGCCCAGCTTGGGTAGATTTGGATGAGCGGTCCGTCCCTTGGCTAATGATTTTAGACGGGTTCCTCAAGGTAAGATTGTCGACACGTGTGACAAAGTCCCGGCCGGGCATCTCCATGCCTCGCGCCGGCCCTGCCCATAGTCCCCTCCTCCTCAATCCTCCCCCCATCTCGCTCGGCACCCCCCCTGGTCGGAAGACGGCTCGAGGAAAAGGGCGGCATTTGCGAATATGACAGCCGACGGCGCGGTGCCCTGCCCTGTGCTGTGCCTCTCACATTTTTCGGACACTCTTGGTATAAACGCCGGGCGTCCTGCTCTCTGCGTTGGGTGCGAGCTGATGCGTCCTGCAGTTCCTGATTCCGTACCTGTCACCACCCCTGCCGCTTCCCACCCAAAAGAGGCGAGAGACGAGAGGAAAGTCGAACGATTGAGCGAGAGAGCCGCCGAGAGAGACAGACCGCGGGTGACAAACGATTTCCAGACTTGTCGTCTTTCTCTCGAGAAAGTGGTTCCTCGCGGCATTTTTCTTTTCGTCACGGCCCCCGGGAGCCCAGTTTCGGTCATACGACTCTGCATATTGCCCTCCTTTGACTCTTTTTGTTGCTTCCCTACCTAATCTGACATACTGAGCTCTCCTCCACACACACTCATTCTCCCGGGTCCCCCCCCCTTTTTCACCCCCCCAATATGAGCATTCCGTATCGGCGCCTCGACTCGTCGAAGCGCGAGGTGCGCCTGCTGGAGATCCAGTCGGCTCGCAACCTCAATGACCCGGTCGAGTGCAGGCTGGTGACGGTCCGGCTGACGGACGAGCCCGAGTTCATCGCGCTGTCGTCGCTGTATGGCGACGCCAACGAGATGGAGCGCATCTACATCTCGGGCCAGCCCGTCAGCATCACGACGCACCTGGCGGCGGCCATCAAGAACATCCGCGCCGTCTTCTACCCGACCATCTCACGGCGGTTCCAGCGCACTCCGGCCCGGCGCCCGCACGGCGCGCCGCGATGGCTGCGCCAGCTCTTTGGCGTGAGCGGCACGCAGCGCGGCGAGCTCGAGGCGCGCGCCCTGCGTGTCTGGGTCGACCTCGTGTGCATCAACCAGGTCGACGAGGTCGAGCGCCAGCGCCAGACGCTCGACATGCGCCTCATCTACAAGTCGGCCGAGCTGGTCATCGGCTGGCTGGGCGACAAGGCCGAGCACACCGACGTGGCCATGATGACGCTGGCCGAGATCGAGGACGCCATGCCCGCCCGCTGGGGCGACCCGGGTGACCGCGAGGAGCACCCCGAGGACTACTCGCCCACGCACCGCTGGGCCCAGGCCATCACGCACATCTGGGCGCCCGGCCCGGGCGGCGAGATCCCCTTCATGATGCCGCACTGGGTCGGCTGCAACGACTTCATGACGCGCCAGTACTTCCAGCGCCGCTGGATCCTCGAGGAGATTGCCCTGGCGCGCTTCCCGACGTTCCTCATCGGCGACGTTATTGTGCCGTGGAAGCAGGTGCTTCGCCTCAACAGAATGATGGAAGAGTTCAAGTACCATCCCTCGACTGTGTTTCCAAAGGTACGGACGTCAGAGCCTTTACTCCTCACTTTAACACCTCCTAGGTATGCGACAAAACATGCTGACTCTCTCTTATAGGAGCTCAGCGCCATGATTGCCGAACTGCCCCTGGAGACGGCCCACAAGCTCCTGGACGAGTTTGCCAAGAGGGAGGCCCTCGAGGAGGCTCGCATTCTCAAGGAGACGGGCAAGAGCAGGGCCACGTCGTCTACGCGATCTAATGATTAAGCTCTCTCTCTCTCTCTCTCTCTCTGTCTTGTCGCTCACGGATGGAGCAACACTTACACTCATTGTTTTTCTACATTCACTCACTCTCATACACTCACACACAAAAGGGACACACACACGGCAGTATTTTGTGGTGAACGGGAAACGGCGGCGTCAAGCGGGTCAATTCAACAAAGTTGGCATTTCACGGGTTTGGTGTGAAAGGGCATGACGGGATTATACAAGGTTGACTTAAAGCGCGATGAGGATACCCCCATAAAGACTTTTATTTGGTTCATTCATTTTTCATTTGTTCTTTGACTTTAAACCCTGATAATGTTTCTGTCTTGCACTTGGCTTATTCTTGCTGCGTCATTTCGCTTCAATATTTCTCTTCTTTTTGTGAGACCTCGCAGTCATCTTTGTGAAATTGTTGTTTTATTTTCATCTCGGGAGGCTGGGCAGCTATATGGTGTGCCTTGAGATGTTTTCCTTCTGTTGACTTTCTTCAATGAGCCTGGAACCACATTATAGAGCGATACCTGTGATACTGAATACTTAAGAGATACCTACTTGATCCTACAAGGCTCATGCAAAGATGATGGTGTGGAGTTCAAGTGCCGAGAGGTAGCATCAGTCCTACATCAGACAGCCACAGCAGAGACGGTCCCAACATACCGAGCGTTGCATCTGGTGCGAGCGGAGATGGTGTAAAATGATTTGCAGCAGGGCAATGATACCTCCCGTATTTGGAATGTGTCACTGCCGGCAGCATCACGGACTACCCGGTATTCTCGACATTTCGAAGCGGGCTATTCTAGGTATGCCGGTATAATGATTCCCATCAGCAACCGTATCGCCATGCTGGAAATCAGATTAATTGTCATCATTACCATTTCCGTCACTGTCCCCTCAAAGTCGATTGTGCGTATCTGATAAACAGCATTATCATCACATCGTGACAACTTGTACCAACTCGAAATCTATCCCCTCAGCTCAGAACGTCAATCAAGGCCCAGCTTGCTCTCGTAAGACTTCGTATTAACTCAGATCACTTAGGCCGTGATCTAGAACGGCTGGTTATTTAGCCTGACTGGTAATTTAAGTATATCTGGCTAGTAAATTAGGTAGATACGTTACCTCTTATACTAGCGGATCCCTAGTCCTAGACGCTTAGCTAAAACTATTAGTATGCCTCTTACTGCCTTCGCAAGGCTTTAGCATAAAGATATTATAACCCTATAAGGCTAATGCTTAAATATACCTCTTTTTATATAAAAAATGCACCTATTTTTAAGTTATAATAAGCTAAATATCTGTAAATATATTATAGGCTAACTTATAATAACCCCCCCTTTAATAAATAAATAACTAGATACTACTATACCTTAGTTATTTTATTAAGGTAAAGGTTACTAGCGACCTAAATTTAAATAAAAGCTTAGTACTTTAAGATATATAAAAAAAGATTTTAAAAAGTATAAAAATATACTGCTTAAAGCATATTTAAGAATTAAAGATATTAAAAAATAAATACTAAGATTTAAAAAAGTTCTAGTAAGCGTTTAAGGAGGCTAAGGCCTTATTAAGTATAATATATAATCCTAATACTAGCTAACTCTTAATAAGTAAGTAGAATAAAAATATAATAATTATAAGGTATTATTTATATAGCTATAAAGTTATTTAAGATAGCCTTCTTATTAATAAGTATATAATAATTAATAGTTAGAAGATAATTTTTATTAGTAACCTTCCTGCTGCTTAAAATATTTAAGAACTTAGTAACTTTAATAGCCTTATTAAGGCTAGCTAAAATAGTAACCTAGAAGGTATTAGTATTTTAAAGCTATTTAGTTAAGAAGATAATAATATGCCTTTAATATTAAATAAAAATAATAATATTAATAGTGTAAATAATAATTTACTAGCTATAGACCTTATTAATAATAATAATACATTATAAATAGCACTGCTAGCTATATAGCAGCTATTATTATTATTAATACTAGTGCTAGCGCTTTTTTTATTACTAGCGCTGTTATTTATAGCTAGAAGTATAGCAGTAAGAAGGAGGAAGCTTATAAAAAGAGATAATAAAGTTAGTAAGTTAAATAGGCTTACAGCTGCTTTAGCAGCCTAGAATTTAAGGCCTTATAAGCATATTATTATTATATACCTAGCAGTTAGCCTAGAAATAATTAAAAATGCCTTTAAAAATACATACACTTTTATAAATAATTATAGTATAAAATTTACACTTAAAGTAATATAATAAATAGCCTATAATTTAATAAAAATATTAATATAAAATTCATTACTATTAAAAGAGGTAAAAGATATATTTTTAGTAAAAAACTTTAAGTTAGATTCTTAATATTTTTATAAATAGATTTAAAGCATAAACTTAATATATAAGGCTATCTTTTTTTTAAAAAAAGCAGTGCTGTATTTACCTTATTTTATATAAAATTTCCCTTTAAAAGCTATTATTATTACCCTTAATATTAATATTATCTTCTTCTTTATTACCACTACTATTAATATAATCCTAATATGCTGCCTAAGCATTTTTTATAATAAGATTTTACTGCTAAATACTATTTAATAGTAGTAAAATAGAATCTGCATGCTAGCAGGCTTAAGTAAGGCAAAGTTATTCTCTTTTTATTAACTTAGATTTATTAAGCTAATGCTAGTTACTAGGAAGTATACTGCTAAGTTTAATAAAGTTAAAAAGCCTAGTAACTGCATAAATAATTAAGATTTGCATTATAAACTTATACTTAGCAGTGTTATAGTAAATAATCTTTTATTTATACTTATACTAGCTAAAGACTTACTTAACCTTAGTTTAAAGTTAGGAATACTATAAGTTATAAAGTTCCTTTACTATTATAGGTTTTTTACTAGTATCTCCCTAGTTATTAAAATAATAATAAGTTTAGCTATAAGATATTATTATCCTAGATTTTAAAGTAAAGCTAGTATTACTAAAATAGTATTTACTAACTAAAATTATAAAGAATCTTATTATTACCTGCAGTAAAAGTAATAAATTTAAAAGAGAACCTTTAGTATTAGTAAGTATATAGTAAAATAAGCTATTAAAGGTAATATAGGTAAGTATATTTTAAGCTATATTATTCTTTTAAAACTAGAATCTTTACTAACTAGTAAGAGGAATATGCGCTAGGATTAAGGTGCTGTTAATTATACCTATTATGCTATTAAAGCCTTTATTCTTCCTTTTAAGCTTAATAACTAGGGAGATATATAATAAATTTAATAACTAAATAAAAGCTATATATAAACGCTATATAAAATAGATTAGGTTATAAAATAACTATAATACACTTAATTATAATATATAAAAGCAGGAGGCAGCATTCTTTTACAGCTTATTAAATATATAGATTTAAAGGAACACTATAACCTTATATTTAAGAGGTTACTACTAACTTTTATTAATCCCTATATTAATATAAAGCTAATTATAGAGGCTAAAAAATACACCCTTTTTTATATAAAATAGTTTATAAAATATTATTTTAAGGAGCTTAAGGAGTTTTTTATAATAAAGCTGTAAGTTTAATAAGGTAGGAAGCTAGCTTCCTTTTACTAAATAGGCTGCTTAATACTCCTTAACTTTTATAAAGATATATGCCTATATAGTAATAGCTATATTAATATTATTATTATTATTATTATTATTATTATAAATAATATCTTTTAGTAGCTACTAGGCTATAGTAAGCAGTAAGTTATTTAAAGTTATTATAGCTAATAAATAAGTTAGTACTAACTAATTAAACTAAATAGCTTTAGCTAGCTTATTAGAAATTAGTTAATACTAGCAGAATTCCCTTATTTAACTAGTAACTATACCTATTACAGGCATTTTAGCAGCCCCTGCAAGCGCGATATATTATAAACTAGGGTTGCAGCTGGTTTGCTTCCTAGGAACTAAAGTTATGTAATTTACTATACTAAAAAGGGTACAGTGGTTCTTTTTATGCTGACTGGTTAGCTGGCTGGTTTTAAACCAGCCGTTCTGGATCACGGCCTTACTACTACAGACGTCATCTGCCTTTCTCCGCAATTCCTTTCTTCTAGAATGACTGGACACACTGGATCCCGGATCCCCTCACGACGCACAGCCATCGCTAAAGCAAAACGAAGCGGTGAAAAGCACGTTTTCTTGGATCCCTCTGCTGGTACCGAGCAAGATAGGAGAAAGATGATCGCGTGGGAAACTAGTGCTTCTTAGCAGCAGACATTGTCCCAAGGGGGGGGCGTCCCTCTATCCAAAGTACCTGCATGTGTCTTGTCCAAGTACTACCACGCGAGGGGAGCCATCGTGAACCGGAACCCCTGCATGCCCGTTCCATCCAGAAAAGCACTTACGCCGGCTAATGGGCACAGATGGAGTTGGTCCACTACGCGGAAGTGATCCGCTTGTCTGTGTGTGCGCCTGTGTGTCTAGGAGGAGCTCACCGACACTTTTGCCAGTATAAAAGACCGTATCAATGGCCGCTTGCAGCAAAAACCTCTGTCTGCTGTTAGTTCGTGGCAAAATGCACCAGTGGCCACAACGCGGCGACGTGCATATCCGGCTGTTGCGCGATGCTCTTCATTCAGACTTGTAGGTGAGTAGGTAGACTAGTCTAGTAAGATGCAAGTTCAGGGGCACCACGGAGGCGGAGGACGAAGAAGATGTAGGAAAAAAAAAAAGAAGAAGAAAAGACACGCCCGAGTGGAGAGAAGTGAGAGGCAAGAGTCTAAGACCTCATACCGCAAGTCTGATGCAGGATTGCGCGCTTGATACAACTAACTGCTGGATCTGCATCCCGCGTTTCCGGTCCTCTGTCTGCCTGTTACTGTTCATCCGGGTTGCTGAACGCCAGATTCCACTCAATAGTCTTGTTGGCTGCGGGCAATGGCCAGAGTCGAACGATATGTGCATGAGTGAGATTGCAGTACTGTAAAGCAGAGTGCGTGCGATGCCTGCATGTCACCTCATGTGGGTGACATTCAACACCGTTTGAAACATGAAATGGCTGTTGGACGTTGTCAGTGAGGGTCTGTGCCGTTTACTCATGCAAGTGAACCAAAGAAGCAGCTCGGATACTGATAATGTGGTATTAGTAAAAAGTTGGCAATTGAGAGGATCACGTGGAAGTCTTGTTGTCTCTTGTCTCGCTTTCTCTGCATCTCAAGAGCTCGGGTTCTGTTGAGTGAGTTCGGAAAGAGACAGCCGATACATAGGTAGCTCTCTGGCCTGTGACCTGCTGGTTGAGAGGAATATGGAGGAGTTCCGTGAGAACCAAGCGAAGTATGTACAACCTGTTATCGATAACGCAAGAATGCATTGTGGTGTTTCATGTAAGCGGCCAAGGACGAATTTGCCTGTAATAGCATCAGGCTTCTATTCGTATTCCTGTTGCCAAGAACTGAACGGGACAGAAAGAGTCTGTGACTGTCATTGGCGGGTAGCGCATTCGATCATATGAGCACAAGGCCGTGAACGCTCGTGAAAGCTATCAGGAAGTGTGTTGTGGCGATTTATTGGGTTGTTGTGCCCTCATCACTTACATCGTGATCAGTGGACGGCATTTTCAGACTATCCCGGCAAAACAGGCACCTCACGGACTGCTGCGCCACAACCAGTGCGACTGAGGAAGGCGAGACACTTCCCTCAGTCAACAGATTGACCATCCTGATCATAGCTTACACCCAATGCTTCATTGGCATTAACCCTTGACGCCGCTCAAAATGTAGACTGACAAGATACATCCCTATTATAAGCCAGACCTCCAAACCAAGTGCGAAGAGAAAGTACCACTGCTCAGAGCCCCCCCAAATCTGAGACATGCATCTTCTCGGGACTCGCACAAGCACAAGAGCCCGGCAGCGGAATCCGCAGCCTGAAACCCGTTCAACCGGAAGCCTCACGAGTCCCGTCGTCTCCAGCCGGCTCCCGTCCAATCTCGATGCCAATATTTGAGCTTAAATGGAAAAAATCCCCGGATCGCCGCCCATCCGCATCAGCTGAGGCCGGCGCAGCCTCTCGGCCCCGCCGTATTCGTAATCGGAATATGTGCCAACACCTCCATATAATGAACGCAGCACCAGACAGAGAAGAAGTATGTAGCACGACACGATTTAAAAATGCAGCTCTGCAGCCAATGAGTAAAAGAGCAGCATCAAGGAATCGTACAATCACCAGCCAGAGACGCCTGAGAACACCTTGATCAGTGCATCTAGCCTCTCGCAAAAGGATGGCCCCGACAAACACCAAGCCCAAGTACGAGTTTGGCGGCCCGTGAGTTCACCAACAGCGTCAGAAACGCGTCTCAACTTGAAAGCCGCTTCCCCTTCCCTAATGCGTCACACAGGCTAGGCACCGCAGCTATCGTCTTTGGCCTGCCCGTGCTGCTCTACTTCTTCTACTTTACCTGCAACGACGTCACCGGATGTCCTGCGCCGGCCCTCCTCGAGCCTCGCTCGCTCTCACTGGCAGGGTTGAAGAGTCAAATCCCGTGGCCTGAAGATGGCATTTGGGGGTTCGCCAGCTGGGAGGCCAGCGGCTGGTTGACGGGCTACTATCTGCTCAGCCTGGTGCTGTATCGAGTGCTTCCTGGACAGGAGCTCTACGGCACGAAGCTGAGAGAATCCGGCCGACCACTCAAGTACAAGCTCAATGGTGAGTGATAGTACTGCCTTCTTGAAGTAACGAGGCCAATCGCTGAGTGAATCTCATAGCATTCTCTTCTACCCTCGTTCAGCTGGCTGCGTGCGCCATAGGAACGTATCTGTACGGCTCTGACTTTGCCGTTTGGACCTTCATCGACAGAAACTACCTGCAGCTATACACGGCCAATCTCATACTATCGTACGCCATCTCAGCATTCGTATACATACGAAGCTTCAGCGTCAAACCAGGCAACAGCGAACTTAGAGAGCTCGCCCAAGGAGGCCACACGGGCAACATCATGTACGACTTCTTCATCGGTCGTGAACTGAACCCCCGCATCACACTCCCCCTGTTCGGCGAGATTGATCTCAAGGTCTGGCTCGAAATGCGCCCTGGCCTGACGGGCTGGATCCTGCTCGATCTCGCCTTTGTAGCCAAGCAATATCGGAACTACGGATACGTGTCCGACAGCATTCTCTTTGTCACCGCTGTGCAGACGTACTACGTCCTCGAAGGCCAATATGCCGAAGCGGGAGTCCTGGGCATGATGGACACCATCACCGATGGCTTGGGCTTCATGCTCACCTTTGGCGACATCGTCTGGGTGCCCTTCCTCTACTCCACCCAGACACGCTACCTCTCCGTCTACCCTCTTCAACTGGGTTGGACAGGAATCAGCATCGTGTCGGCTGTATTCGCCGTAGGAGTCTACATATTCCGCGCCTCCAACTCGCAGAAACGCATCTTCCGCACACAGCCCGACCACCCCAGCGTCAAAGACATGCCCTACATCCAAACCAAGAGAGGAACTCGTCTTCTCGCCGGCGGCTGGTGGGGAGCATCGCGCCACATCAATTACTTTGGCGACTGGCTGCAGGCTTCACCATTCAGTCTTCCTACTGGCGTGGCAGGCTACCTGATTCTTCCGGCTGGCACAATTGCTTCTGCTGGAGCAGGTGTGGCAACGATGCTGGACGGCCGAGAGGTGGTGCAGGGTGCGGCGAGGGGATGGGGCATGGTGTATACGTATTTCTACGTCGTCTACTTTGCCTCGCTATTGATACATCGTGAGAGGAGGGATGACGCTGCGTGTGCGGAAAAGTATGGTGACGACTGGGACAAGTACAAGAAGGCTGTTAGGTGGAGGATCTTGCCAGGTCTCTACTAGAGTAGACATGATGTTGGAGAGTTAAGAGAGAAATCCAGACAAACGGTAGTGGAAGACGTTCTCACTTGAAGGCGTAGTCTCTCGACAGTTCCCGATGCCCCTGGTCCCCGGGACTCAAGCGTGAAAAATCACCCCTTTTGCATAAGGTATCGTATGAAGGCTACAAAAGAACACTTTAGCGACGAAAGCCACACGAATGTGGCGTGTAGCCAGCGTACCTAGCTCGCCTCAACTCTCATACTTTGCTGGGAACCCAATTCATCATTGGCTGATCCCTCCCTGGAAGTGTGTCTGCGTTCATAGGTACGAGTACTATAGATACAGTACGTCTCCCACTGGTACCGATTGATTTGCCTTCTCCCCTCCCTCACCACCATTGCGTCTTCCGCGTTCAAGGGCTCTCTACACTTGCATACACAAACACATTCCACGAGCGAAACATATCTACCACCGTCCTTCAAGATGTCTTCCACGATGAATCACACCTTGCTTGACACCGCTTCACCATGCGAACTACCACAAAGTCTCGAACTCAGCATTTTCACGCAGGTCATTGCGAGTCTGCTCAATCTGATCTACTCAGACTCTGCTGGCCTGGTCTGGATCGTCAGCAATATCATGTGGGCGGTCGTGGAACATAGAATTGCTCTACATTTGACAGCCCCATTGTCCACATGGATATGGGAACACACATCCGAGAGATATGAGCCTCGTACCCAAGATTTATCATCACCCTCCTTGGGTGATCTCGGCGAAGACATCATCTTCTACGCCTCCTGCTGTCTGCTCCATCTGGTCCTGTACTTCGATTTCGTCAAGTGCGATACGCCGCTTGGATCACACCCTCCAGACGCGTTTATTAACTGCTTGATGCTCGTTTTTATTATACCTCATAATCTCTACGCTGATTGGCCGATCGTTTCGATGGTATTCATTGTTTCGTGGGCGCACATTTGGTCTCGCAACATATATCTGGCTGTTGCAGGTATGATCTCTCCCTCCTCAGCTTATGAGTGCATAGCTAACATACTCACCCATTGGATAGGCATCGTCTTCCTTCAAGTCATGCTCTTTCTCACCTTCTATACTTACACAGTTCTGGGGGACTGCCGTGCAATTCTATCGGAGCGAGTGAAGAAGAGCCCGAAAATGAGCAGGATCCTACTATGGTTTCAAGGGCCCGAAGAGAAGGATGTTCAAAAATAACGCAATTTTGTCTTCTAATCTGGAGATATGCATCTTGAGATTATAGTAGACTCGGTTGATTTAGTATGAGCCAATCTATGACGTCCTTTTTTGGATCTTCACCTCGCCCCATAATCTTGAGGTTCGATATCAGCGTCTTTATGCCATTACATTTCTACAAAAGAAATACCTCCACGTCCGACCATCACCATGCTATGGAAAGGTAAGTCATTGTCTAGCTTAGAGGCTATCCGTAGAATATCTCGGACAGACCCGTCGGTAGGAGTTACCTAGATCGTATTGCCCTCGTGCCGACCCCAATAGCAACGATGTGAGTTCTGATGAAACTACGCAGCCCCATCGCTATACATATGGTAATATGGTATTAAAGATCGTGCAGCGAGAAATTTCCTTGGTAACGGGCCCAAGAAGAGGTATTGACATGTCTGGGGGCAGTTATGGCTCTGTGGTGGTTCATGGGCCCTGCTCATTGACAAACCTGGCTCAATCAACGAAATTGTCGTGCTATGGAAGCATTTATTGTCGGGCGACACCTCTCCTGGGTGCAATCGGCTCCTTTTGGACCTTGATTGGCAATCAAAGCTCCGTAATCGCTCAAATATCCACTCTCATTGGATTTGAAACGGAGTGACTGGCATGGTAGAGTCGACTTCTTAGTCCATTCCTGATATTGGGACTGGTGCGTGGAAGAGGAAAGGTCTGATGAGCATTTTCATCTATTGCTTTGTGTGTACATTATCCAGAGGTTGATTCAAGATGCCACAGGTAAACTACACGCTGGATTGGCGTTCAAGCTACAGCTCAACAATTCCTTCAACTCCGGACAATTTTTCGCCGCTCCTTACCACTTATGGCTTCGCAGGACGAGGCTTTCGTCACCAGAGAGATCTCGGTTAGCTTCCTCTTTCATACTTCAAGGCGAACGGCCATATGTTGACTGAATGTGGCGTATCGTCAGCGTAGCCCAACCTGACTCAAACTCTGACTGCTTGAAGTACCATGCTCTTATCACTTCGCAACAGTGAATCTGCATTTGTGAGTATAAATAGGACGTTTCCCCCTGATGCTTGAGCAATGTCTAGTCACCTCTCATGACTACTTATGTTTGCTCATACTCTGGCGCTTTTCACATACACAAAGACAACCAAAGCGCATCCACCACCGTCACTATGGCTCCTTTCACACTCGGGATACCAACTGATTACTCGCTTGATAACCTCAAAAACGAGTTCACGATTCTCCTGTATCGTGTCGGATCCGTCTCCTTCGAGCTTCTCGCGTTCGTCGTCGGTGCACTCTGGGCAGGCATGCAACGAAGACTCCTCCTGCACTTGACAGCAATGCTGTCCGGGATTCAGTGGAACGATGCGGCCACTAGATACGAGGACCCAGACAACTGGTTCCCGGAGCATGACGACCGTCCATCACGGAACAGCCACAAGAGCAGAGAGCGCCTCATCTACATCATGCTCTACCTGAGCATGTACATCAACTCCCTTGCCCTTGGCGTCAGCGTATCTACCGAAACGTTCTTGGTCCGACTGGCCATCGCCTCAGTCCCGCTCGTCCTTCCCTTTCGGTTCTACCTGGAGTGGCCTCTGGCCTCAAAGCTTGTCCTCATGTGGTGGGCTAAAATCACCCTTGCGGAAACAATTTCATGGGTGAACAGTATGATAGTCCCCTTGTTCTTACATGATTGATCTGGAGCTGACAAGAGTCTGTTGCGTTTAGGCGCCCTTTACTTGGCGTTTCCAGTCTTGAGTACGTGTGCCGTACTGGGAACCTTCTTTGAGCTTTTGGGACAAAGGCTTGAGGAAATGGAACCCCCAAAGCAGCCGCGTCCTTACATTCTGGTGGAGACTTGGAGGGTATCACTGCCAATGCTGAAGGACGTCTTGCCCAAGGTGTGGAATGACGTGTTCTTGGATAGTGTTTTGAAGTAATCAATCAACGAGTGGGGTTTTTAATGTCGGGTCTTGATACTGACTGCTCATGTAATTTCGACATTCAGTCTGGGCAGTTTCATACCATCATGGCTTGAATCTGACGCCAAAGTAAAAGATTGGGAGTCGCCTTGTTATTACAAGTTTCTATAGTGACAATAAAGCCGCCCTACCACAGACAAAATCCCACATCAGTGCTAATGCTTGAACACGTATGACGAGTCCCCAGCACTTGTAGATCGTCGACCAACCTCAACATATCTCACCTTAACCTCACCTGACTACCTTCCTTAGAGATATCTCGCCACAAGCATGACAAATGCCCTTCCTCATTCAAGAAAGACCGGAAAGCAGGGAAAGGAAAAATGGTGGTGCTTCCACGTCACACCACTGAGAATTGCATCTCCCAATTATTCCTTCAGAGCTAAGCACCCAATGGGGGCAGCCTCCCCGTAACAATGTTCAAGGACAACTGGTGCTCTCAGCTCACCGCTGAGCCTTGCGGCCGACTCCGAAGAGAAGTCGCTTAGGAAGATGCGATCAAGACCAAAGACAAGCGGCTGCATCTGACCGTACAAATGACTTCAACTGCTGCATTGGCTGCGCCTGACTGGCATCCGTCGCAGAAATACCATTTGTCGTCAAACTGTTGCCGAGAGATGCGTCCAATCCCACAGCAGACGCATAAGGGAGAGACTGCTACGTGAGACAACCTTTCGGAGGCCCTCACGGCGGTGGTGTTTCCACATCGCGTCTCCCTGATCGGGGAGAAGACAGTGTAGGAGGCAGATCATTCGAGAAAAGCGCCCATCGAAACCGTTTGTAGGAAAAATCATGACCGGAGAGATGCCACTAGGTCAATGACTCAACGCCGCACCTCCATGTAGGAACGTCTTCCACCATCGGGTGCCTAGAATAAGCTCGCATCCGGTGCCGTCTGCAGGATTAGGAATACGTCCGTCGGTGAGGTTCGGTCCAGGAGCAAAGGAGAAGACTCAAGAGGGAGATTGCGCTCACCTCTGGGCTCTAGAGCCTCCCTGATTAACATCAGATAGTGGCTCAAGAGGCATAATCAGGTATAATGAGGGCGTAGGCGGAGAACAGCAGTGAAGAAGGCGTGACTCGTCCTGATAACGTTGCCATCGTTCGCCTGGCTCGTGGGCAAGGGCTACCGGTAGCAAACTAAAGTGACGTAAAGGAAAAGTAGGCAAGTATGGTTAAGACAGTAGTTGTGATCAGCTGCGCTGTGTTTCAGTCTGTGTTTGCAGATTCAATGGATGTGAAGGTTATAAACATCAGGGGGGCTGGGGATGGACCTGCTATATGTAGCTCTCGGACAGGAGGAACGCCTTCGAAAGAGTAACAAAGGTCCACGACATTAGTTTGAGTTTCGACACAAAATGTTTGGTGTGATTGACTCACACTAATTGCAAGCCTGTCTTGAGGAAGATGTCACCGGAAGGTTGATATCTGTAACATCATCGGCCTCCTGAGGCTCCACGAGGGAGTACAGAAGGACAGATAGCTGGTAAACTCGGAGACAAACAGCCTGGAATGTTTGAAGGCTTCTGTTAGTTTGGATGAGAAGCGTTGATAATTGAAAACACTTGTTCTCGATCAGTCGAGGTTATGATTGAACCTCATATGCCTGATGGGGGCCAGATAATGTGAAGATGCTCTTGCTTGTCTACGGAACCGATAGTCAACAGATACTCCTCCTGCCCCCATGATTTAGCTTGGAAAGATCAGCGAAACTGTATCTCTGTAGATATCAAAACCGCCAACTGGAACAACTAGGTATATCTATTTAGATCTACCTAGAGGTACGATCCAATGCTGGAATCATAATCTGGATGAAGCAGTCTCCAAGCACATACGACCATAGGTAGAGGAGAGCTCGGGGTCCCGTCTGCTCCCCCATCGATAAGCCTCTAACCGGCAGATTAGTAGTTGGGTGGGTGACCACCAGCGAACACCGGCTGTTGTATGTTTTTGCTTTTTCTTTTTGCCTTTATTTGCCCCTTGTTTGCTGTTGTGGGAGGTTGTCGTCGGATTTGAACCGTTCTCAACGGAGTTCGTGCGGCCTGGCCTCCCCCTCCATCCGGCACACCCTCCGTAGACCCCACGACCATCTACCGAAACAAAAACGACGGCTGCCGGGCAGAAAATATTTCAGTTGTCATTAGATCATGTCCTTGGGAGACAATTGTGAAAAAATATAAGCTCGTCATGACCAATCTTGAAAGTTACCTTCCCTCAACGTTTGTGGCTCATACTGTAGCCTCCGTGATAGCCCCTTGACTCTCCCAACAGAGATATCAATCTTCCGCCACACGAAGCTGTTGCCCAAAACGAGATAGTGAAACCTTCTTCCACTCTGGCAAAAGTCTCTGATCATCTTTTTGCCATAAACTTCAAGTGTCCTTGAGTATCGTGACTCTCAAAAGCTGCAAAGCGGGACGTCAACCGTCCATAGCTCGCACTTGTGAACACAACTCCGTGAACGTGTAATTGCCAAAATCACAAGCGCTTGGAATGGAATCCCCTCAAGAAGTTGTCCTCCAGAAGCGTCCACGTTTTGTAAACGACGGACTGGACCATCAACTCCTCATGGCTTGGTAGTGCCCTGCTCTCACGATGAGACACTTGGGCTTAATTACAAAGTTCAAGCCTCCATTTCGCCTTGAACTCTACCTCTCCAATGGATGCTTAACGACCTTAGGGAAAACCTCAAAACAGCTCCCTATATAAACCCCAATATGCCCCATCATTCAGTCCCGGCAGCAGACATACACTTTCGTTCCGCACAATAAGACCACTTGAAGTCACCACGGCGCAAACATACCTACTCTACGTTGACCAAATCTTATTGTCCAACGGAAACACTCACCAAGATGCGACGAGACACCATGTCCCGACAGACTCCCGGCCAGCTCGAATGGCTCCTTCCAGGAGAGCAATTCACTGGCATCTTGCCCAGGCGGAAAGCTTGGCCGGCAAACGGCGAAATCGTCCCGAGAGAGTTTGTCGTCCCGCAGAGCGTGGTAAGTCTTTTGCCTGAGACATGAACTCGTATACAACGACATTAACAATGTTTCCGTGAAGCTGTCGACGGGGCCATGCCACACGACAGACCCCAAAACGGGCCTTCTCAGCCTCCCCATGGAGCTCCTCGTCGAGATCTTCCGCTCAGGGACAAACGAGGACGCCATCTGTCTGGCCCTGACATGCAAGGCACTCCTCTTCGCTTCGACGCTGGCCGTCAAGCACCGACCAACGCTGCCCCCCTCAAACCGGACATCCTTTCACCATTTCCAGACTGCCACCCGCTTCGATGACACGGCTCATCGCTCGCGGGAGACAATGATTCGCTTTCTTCTCCGCCTCTCACCCCTGGGACCGGGACGACGGGCATCACCAGCCGTCAGCTTGTGCCAGGACTGCCTTCGCTATCGGCCGGTAGACCCACGCTGGTGGACGACAGACAAGGGCGCGCCGTGTCCCAAACAGTCTGCGATGATGGCGAGAGCCTGGGAGGTTGTTGTTGAGCACTGGCGCTGGCGGCGGATGCTCCAATGCCCTGAGTGCTGGGCTTCAAGCCACGAGGCGGTTGAGGGTTTCGAGGCACCCGATGAATCTTCAGCTTGGCCCGCTGGCAGGGGCGCTTTGGAAGGCCTCATCAATACAAGGCCTCTTTTCGGATACGATTGGCCTTGATGTCAAATTGGCTTTTTCCTCCTTCAACTAAGAGGATTAAGACTGGGATTTCAAGGGTTATAGAGAGGCGGCGATGATCCAGGGCAAGAATCATGGGGGCGATGCGTTTACTGTTGCGATGAGTGTTATGATACCCTTTAGATGCAAATCTTTCAATATACATGCAATTTACCATGCACAACTGTCCTTTGGCTCAGACGCAAACCGACAAAATAGCACCTGACAGCAGTGCTGGGCATGGAAAATTAAGAACCCCCCCCCCCCCCCCCCCCCCCTAAAGTGAACATGTCAATGCGCATCCTCTATGCTGACGGTCCAGTGCTTCCAGCAAAGGAGAGTCAACCCGTGACCGAAGCATCGTGAGTCTACAAACAGTCAATGCTGACACTTGCAGCATCTGGAACCGGGACGCCATTCGCCGAGGCTCCCAGGCAATCCTTGAGTCAAAAGCTTGTCTTGTTCACGTCAGCTTGAGCACAAGCAGCCCTGGATCAATCGACGCAAAGTCGCCCAATGTGGAAGGCAGATGGTGTGAGAAAACGTGGCCCTGCTCGGAATCATCGCGAGCCATCGTCTCCCCTGCATGTTGGCATCAAACATGGCAGAGCAGAACGCGGCAGTGATACATACATCCTCTTATACTTTTTATACATGCCCATATTGGCCTGGATTATACCAAGGCTGACCCGGGCCGAGGCTGAACAGATCATCAGCCTCAAGTCCCCCCGACAGCCCGAGATCTGAAGCACTGGCGCGTTTAGAACTCTCCGACAGTCGAGACGTTGACATTTGATACCTTAATATCTGGAGACTCGGTAATTACTGGGTACTAGACAGCCAACCCCCCCTGACTCGAGCCGTCCCGGACAATCATTGTTGCTGCTCCGCAAACGGTGAAACAGCCCTGGGACGGACTGGCATCGTCAAACAGGGGCGATTTCAGCTCTGAAACTCGGCGGTTGTTTCCAGCGTTGGGGCCCTGCCGCTGTCTGTCTGTCTGTGCTGCTGCGGATGCGACTCTGAGAGGAGGCGAGAGAGAACAGGCAGTTGAAGGATGAAGCAAAAAGAAGAAGAGAATATGTGCAATGGTAGAGATGAAGAGGCAGCAGTTGCTTGGATATGGTAAAGGATACATGTAGGCGTAAAGCAGGACGGGAATCGAGATTGCCGGGCGATTGTCGAGGCTGCTGGCCATGTCCGTGGTTCGTCGACTGCGCATTGACGCGGCCCAAATTGGCAATTCTGCATCAAGTCCATGTAGGTATTACCCAGTCCTCATGTGCTGGAATCACTACAGTACAGTAGTCGACTCCTGGAGATCCATCACCAGCTCCATCACATGTGTGTCCCGATCAAGATCCTCATCACCTCCGTCTAATCAACCATCTCGCCGTCCTCCCTAAACGAAACAATTGCATGTCTAATCCAACCTCTCCTTTCGTTCCCCTCTACAGGCCCAACATTCCTCCATCCCGCATCGCCTCATTCTCCCCTAGATTCATATGAAAATAAAAATACAATGCCACTATCCCCAAAACCGACCCACGGCCCGGCCGCCCCAAAACCTCAAGCGCATGAACTCGGACCTCCTCGTCGCAGAAACATGCGCAAAAATAAACACCACCATGAAATGACACCAAAAATTCAGCCTTCCAAACAGCGTCCCCCCCCTGTCTGCCCAGTCCCTTCCCCACAACCTTCTTTCGGGTCCCTCCGTCAAGCCTTGAAAGTGAAGGCCGAGGCGCGTTAGCAGTACTATATACATGTAGGTAGTAGTAGTCGACCGACCCGATTCATGCGCATCAAACAGCGCCTCGTTTCGGGAATCCCTCCCCTTGTTTGGAGCACCGCGATGAATCTCTCCGTCTCCGTCGTGGCTCCTCGCTCTCCCGGCACTCGGCCAGACAGGACAGTCGCGACGGAGCGACCTGGCCATTAGTTTCAAGAAACAAATAAGGTAGACAAGCCATGAAACTCCATGTCCCTCCTTCTGCTGCGTATAAGTAGAGTCGTGATCCCGCATCATGGACCGTCCCTTCTTCCTTTTCCATCACCACCATCAATCCCATCTTTCCTTCCAATCCTTCTCAAGGCCCGGCGCCACTTTCCTTCTCGTTTACTTTCATTCTTTCAGAATCAAAGACCTGGCGTCGCTTGAATCTCTTCTTCTTCAAAACAACTGTCATTAACACTTGTCTCTTCGCCATCTTCATACACTTTCTTTTTTGAACACAAAACAACAAAAAAAACAACCAACACAACACCGCCAAAATGGTTCGTCTGTCTGTTGCCGCTATTCTCGCTTGTAAGTCCGGACAGCCTCTCCTCAACGGCCCCTGCAAAGAGTCCTCTAACAATACCGTGCAGGCTCCCTCTCCGTCTACGCCCTCGGCGACCCGGCTGGAGCCAAGAACGTCGGAAATGGCAACGGAGGCCAGTTCGTACGTCATCTCCTCAACAATATCCATCATCCCTCGAACTCGGCAAATAACTGACCACGACTCCAGATCGGTGGCGAGTGTCTCTCCAGCAAGGACTGTGCTTCAACCTGCTGCGCCTTCATCAGCGGTGGAGGTGTCTGCTCTGTAAGTTCCTTCGACGCTCTCGCAAGTACCTCCTCTTCTTTGGGCTAACACTCAGATCCCCAGGGTATCGGTGCTCAGTTCCAGGCTGGCAAGTCTGGCTGCGGCTTTGGTGACGGCGGTGCTGCCCCTGCTGCCCCTGCCCAGAACAGCGGAAGCAACAATGCCAACACTGGCAGCACTGGAACCTCTGCCAACGTTCCCGCTGGCTTCAACACCGCCGTCGGTGACCCAGCTGGTGCCAAGAACCTCGGCAACGGTGCTGGCCAACAGTTCATCACCGGTATTTGCCTGACTGACGCCGACTGCGCCTCCGGCTGCTGTGCCGGCCTCAACGGCGGTGCCGTCTGCTCCGGCGTCGGTGCCCAGTTCCAGAACGGCAAGACTGGCTGCGGATTCCCCAAGACTTCCTCTGCGTCTGACAGCAACAACGCCGCCGCTCCCGCTCCCGCCGCGTCTCCTGCTCCGGCTCAGGGCGGCAGCAACGCCCCTGCCAGCGCTCCCGCCGGCTTCAACACAGCTGTTGGTGACCCAGCTGGTGTCAAGAACCTCGGAAACGGTGCTGGCCAGCAGTTCATCACCGGAATCTGCCTCAGCGACGCCGACTGCGCTTCCGGCTGCTGCGCTGCTCTCAACGGCGGTGCTGTCTGCTCTGGTGTTGGCGCTCAGTTCCAGAACGGAAAGACTGGCTGCGGCTTCTCGGCCAAGAAGCGAAGCGTTCCGGCCCCTCGTGTTGCCCGCAGCTTCCGTGCTTAAATGATTGGAGAAGATGGGTGTTTTTTGAAAGTGGTGGACCGGGGTTGAGACAAAATGATAGTTTATCTATATGTTTACTGTACGAATAGGCCTAATAGACACCGACTATGACTCCTACTTAGTATGCTCATGGTGACTGTATATGCTTTCTAAACGCCGAGATAGTGGTGCTGAATCGAAGAGCTGCTTAATGAGAAGAGGCGCTCCTTACTTCTAGTTAGTACTGCAACTGACATATTCTCTCTCCATCGATGGGCGGCTTCAACTTACTTCATGACCTCTTCGCTATAAGGGCCCTCCCCAGTTGCAGTCTGGATCAACATGACAATATGGCTTCTGCAACTGTAAAGCTTGAAGCTATTCACAAGCCCCTCCTCGTCAAACGTCGCAACCAGTGTCTCGGGGAACCTGTCCAAGATTTGACCATGCACATTATACCGATTCTCCATCTCGACAAACACGCGGACGCCGCCCTCGCCATCCTCGCCGACGCTCTGGGAGATTACGTTTCGCTGCTCGAGGACTTGGTCCTTGAGGTAATCGCGGAGGTGACTGACGATGGCGGCGCGGTCGGTGGCAGGATCGTTGGCCTCGCGCATGGATTTGAGGTAGACTCTGCAGGAGGGGGAGAAGTAGGAAGCGAATTGGTCGAGGGCGTCGGGGGAGGATTCGGGGTGTAGGGTGAGGAGGTGGGTGTAGATTTTGGTGATTTTCTCGATGGGTTGGGGGGGCATTGTTGTTGTTGTTGTTTTTCCGGGGGGGTTGGAGAAATGGTTGGTGCTTGGAGATCGGGTCTGTGGTTGTGGTGTTTTGAGGTTGAGGTTGAGGTGTTTGGGGTGGATGATGGTCGTTGTTGGTGTTGTTGGTGTGGTTCGTTATATATGAGGAGGGTTTGACCTGAGGCTATACCTACACTTTGGCAATATATTTGATTACGAACATAGGGTGGACTCCGGACTCTATTATAACCGATATTGCATTTATTTGAGATCCAGCCATTGAATAGTAATGTATAGTAATTCTTGCCATCGTAAATCATTCAAAAGACATCACGCCAGTTTTGACACCCCGATGCGGATGGATGCCCATGCAAGGGTATCCAGCATCAACCACATAACCCAAGGCAACTATTTCCGAATCACGCCTCATACATAGTGAGCTTTGACCGATGTTGACAAGGTGACGTCTGCCTCAGTGCAACCTTGTCAACGGACAACCCTGGATCTCAGCATGAAGCTTCCCCCCCTGTACGCTACGTCGAGGCGGGCTTATGGGAGAATTGGAAATGCAAATCTTTCGCTGATCAACGTCGGAGATAATAACACCGCTTTTGCAAGTCCGTGCTGCTTCCGCTTACGCGAGGGCCATACATCAGTGTTGCTGTCGAGATCTAGATTCAATGTGTTGACGCACTGAGAGGTATGGATCACTCTTGGGCATGAAGGGATATACTCAACAGTGTAGAAATCGTGCCATGCATATGCTACATACCTACCTATGCAGAGAAATATGCACAAGATATGCCAGAGCACCCATCAACCTATCCCCATCGTTCAACAAACTCGTCCCTCTTTTCGCTCTTCCGGTCCCTGCGTTGACCCTCGACAAGGGCCAGCCTATCCTTTGCGCCCTCCACCTCGGCCGCCAGGACGGTAATGAAGCCAGAAATCTCCGGGTCGACCAGATTCGGCTCGTTGAATGAGCTCTCCGCCAAGACGCTGTCCCTCACCAGCTGGATAGCAAGCCGCGTGTCGTTGAGCTGCGCCAGAGCGCCCGTCTCAAACGTCTCCTGCGCGCCTCGAGCAATCTCATCGCACTTGTTCCATCGGTCATTGAGAATCTTGGACAAGGCCACAACCTGCGCTCTGCCATCCGTCTCTTCGGACACCGATGACGGCACCGACAGAGCGTACATGAGGGTATCGAGCGGTGGCTCGTTGGCAATGTCGGACGACCTGCGGCGGTGCTGAGAGCCCACCGTGTTGGAACGCTTCCGCGGGGTGCCCGACTTGCTGGGGGAAGAGGGAAAGACGGAAACGGGCGCTACTGATGGCGTGTGCTTGGCAGGCGGCGGGATGTCGACGGCCACCTCGGCTTTGGCTGTGGTGATGAGGGAGGCGGCGGCGGCCTGGTGTGACAGATGGGTCTCGATGCGCCCTTGGATTCGATCGAGGCGGCCCAGCAGATAGTCGAGGCATTGATCAATCTGTGAACCTGCGTCAGCAATTCATCTCAACAACAGGCAGCTAGGACAAGTTCTCACGTATGCCAAGGCATTGGTTGTGCGCATCGCATTCTGGCCCCCTTCCGCGGACACCGTTGTGAGTGCCGGCTCGAGATACTGATGTTCCACAGACAGCTGGGCGATGGACAGAATCTCCGAGTGCAGCGACTCGACCTCTGCCTCGAGCGCCTTGACCTCGTCGTCGGTCGAAGGCTTGACGCGACCTGATCGCTCAGCTTCCACGAGCGTTTCCATGTAAGTCGTGTCCAGCTTCGCGCGGATGGTCTGCGCCGTAATCTTGACCAGACTGCAGCTTGGCGGTTAGCAAACAGGCAATGAACATGGGGACGCAGGCAGCTAACCGCGAGCAGATTTCACGCAGCTTGTCAAGCTTTGACGTCTCGTCCGGATCTGGCTGCTCCAGCTCCCAGCCCAGCTTCTGCAGGTTGGCGAGCAGCTTGTCGTCGGCCCGGAAAATCTCGCCCAGGGTGCCGTTGAGATTGGAGCCGGCCTGGGCGCCCTGCTCCTCGAGATCGGAGATGCGAAAGGCAAGGCTCTGCGAAGCTGCTTCTACCTGGGTGGTGGAGGGCACGTCAGCGGGCTTGCAAAACCGGCTTGTATAGGTAGCATTCGAACCACATTACCTCGGCGGCAACCCGCTGCCGTTCCGACTCGGACTTGCTCTGCCTGTCCATGTCGAGATCCCGCCGCCGGGCCTCGTTTTCAGCGCGCTTCCTGACCAGGCGCGAGAGGGCATCCTGCTGCTGGCGGAGGGTCTCGCTCTGTTTGGTGATGCTCTCGGTGGACCTCCTCAGCTCCTCGACGGCGGCCTTGATGTCGTCCTCGGTGACGCTCTGCACCTCGGACAGGTCATGCAGGTTGGCCAGGATGTCGACCTGGCCGTTCCTGTCGAGCACCGAGTATCTGACGGCGACAGCTTAGCACTGCTCCTCCCCGCAGCGGGTGCCTCTGTACTCACATTGCCAGCTCATCAGGGGTCAGCAGGTTGTCCGCCGTGAGATGCAAAGTCGCCCACTCGGCCAATGCGGCGCCGTAGTGGTCGTGCCGGAGATGCTGCTGCACCTCGTCCCTGCGGACCTGGACGCCGTACGTGCGGGCGGCCTTGAGCAGGAGGGCCTCGGCATGCACCCTGGTCTCGAGGTCCATCCTGAGCCTGTGGTTGAGCGAGGTGGCGTTTCCAGAACGGTCGTACAGGCGCTGCGTGGTGGTGAGGGGGGAGGGGAGCTGGACGTTGGCTGTGTTGCCCTCCTTGAGCCGCCCTGTGGTGATGATTCACGGGACGCCGCAGGGCGCACACGGGGCTGTATGTTGTTTCTTGTTTCTGTAATTCTCCTGTCGTGGGTGATGGAAACGGCTCTCAGGATGCGATGCTGCCCGCACGAAGGAGAGGAGATTCGAGCTGATTTCCAGCTGGTTCAGGAGTGGTGCAGCCCTTGGATTCCGTGTGACGAGAGGGGGGTGAAGAGACGGCCAATTGGTATTTGAACATCTAGATCATGACACTCAGAGTCAGCAGCAGCAACATTGGGATTCTCGCAGCAAGATCCAGTCGCCTGTGGTGTTTGTACCCAACGTTTGATGGGGAAGAATCTCGGGTTGCACCAGCTGTTGGGTCAACGTCTCAATCGCAGCTCCAGCTCCAGCCCCAGGCCGCCCCTGTAAAGCCACAGCGAGCCCCTGTAGGAGCCGCCTGACAGCTGCTCGGCATTACAAAGACCCGTCGTCGTCCCTGTGCTGAGCCGCATCGACAAGCAATCAAGTCAGATCAATCCATGGATGGATCGTTTGTGTCTTCGATTCGATTAATCTATTTTGATGCAATCGATCGCCATGTCAGGGCACACGCACAGGTAGCCGCGATCAAACGCGCACAAAGGAGGGCAAACAAAGCGCCACGCATTTCACCGCATCGAGCCGGCGCTGCAGCCATCGAAGACCCCTGGCAGAGCGAGGAGAGCAGACGCACACAGCTCGAAGAATACGGCGGACAAGAGCAGAGTTCAGAGGCTGTATACGGCGTCAATTGATGAGCTGTGAAATCTCTAGACTCGCCGTCTCGATTCTCTTCCTTTGTCCAACGTCTCGCAGCGCCGATGCTGTGGCCCAGGAAGCTCTGCGCTACTCTCTGTGCAGCTGGTCATCCATCCATGGCTACAAAGCGACGATACAGACTTTATCTTTGGAATCAAATCGTGATGCTTTAGCCGACAGATGACGGATGTTATCTCGACAAGTGATCAGCAGGATCCGTGGGCTGACGGATCGTCCCGGCCGCAATGAAGCTTGCCAGCTTCCCCCCCCGAGCTCGGTATCCTGGGCTGCAAGTTAAGGTAGGTATAGATAGATGCCTGTCCACGTAGGCAGGCCACGCTGCTATCGAGCCGCTCTCGTGCTTCTGCGCCATGTGCCACGGCATCACCACGGGAGCAACGGTGCCGCCGTGAGGGTTGAGGTAGTCCAACCACTCTCACATGCTGTCCTCTCCCCTCTTCTCTCCTTGCTTCTTCCACGTGGCGGGCGAGCACTTCTCCCAATATCTAGTCCAGCAGACAAGCTACCGGCCTCACGTCTGTTTGCCGGCTAGAAGCCATCGAACGTCCGCCTCGCCGCATAGAAAGACGTAGAAGGGCATCCATCCGTAGGCCCGCAGCCTGAAAGAAGCCTTCGGCGGAGGCAAGGACCGCAGCCGCGGGGGACCAAGTCTCCGGACGTGGCACACATGTCTCAACCCTCGGCCGCCTACATGGAAGCCCGCCGCCAACTGTACCAGACGGCAGAAAGGTCACAATCGTCTCGTCCTTCTGCCCACGACTCGCCTTTCATCTGAGGCCGCTCTCCACGCAGCAGCCCTGGCGGAATCAGGGACCGGCGGCTGGCGACGCAGCTGCAGTCAGTAACGACGGGCCCTCGAGCATCGGCTCCAGCATCCGGCGTCGGTGGCATCTGTGACTGGCTTGACGCCGCGCAGAGATGCGTGACAATCCCAGGTCCAGGTCCAGGTCCAGGTCCAGGTCGACGTCCAGGTCAAGGTCCAGGTCCAAACAACCTCCGCTGGCCATGTTTCCCGCCACGGTGATGCTGTGACCCCGGCGATGCACCGGTACCTGCTCACCGTGTACCTTCTATACGTCACCCAGACTCTCTTCCTCACCTTACCAGGACCGCGACGGCTTCCATTCACCATTGCGTCGTCGCCGGCCATGGACGCCCCGTAGCACAATGTCAAGTACCGCCTCCTTGTATCAGATGCCAACGAGAGACACCCTTGAGCTGAACTCGGAAGTCGCCCCGTCTTGACCGCCTGCCATCAGCTGGCGAGAGTCGAGCTGCCCACCCTGACAGCTGGCCGGAGAAACAAAAACAAAGTGAACGCCAAGTCAGGGCGAAACAGCTGAGCAACTTGTCTCCGAGCTCGGCCCACAAGAAGTGGTAGGGAAAAGAAAAAAAGAGAAGAGAAGAAAGAAGAAACGTGAGCACATGAGCGTTGATCCGCATCCCCGGAGTCTCGTGGTGCCGCAGTCTCGCATCCTCTCACACGCCGAGAGCAGCACAGTCACAGTCACAATCGCCCCCCCGAATCCAGCACCTGAGATGGCCGACTCCGACGCCGGCATCTGGAAACTCCGCTGGGACACGGCCGTTGCTGAGGGCGCGGGATATCTGCTGGTCGCCATCGTTTGCTTGGCCAGCGAGCTGCTGATCTGGGGCCTGAGCAGGACGCTTGCGGCCGCGAGGCTCGAGTTCTTCTCGACCATTGTCGGCATGGCACTGGTCTTTGCCCTGAGCACCGCCTGCTGGGTGGTGTGGAAGAGGACGGATGGCTTCTATCGGAGGTGGCTCAAGGCAAGGGTTCGTGACGCCCAATTGGTGATGGCCCTCCTTGGGCTTTGCTGTTTGCTTGGTGTGGCTGTTGATGTTTGCTCATGCTGATTCACGTGGGCTGTATACAGGTCGACTTCATCAATGCTCACCTCGGGGCGGGATTCGCCATCCCCATGATTATGCTGGACCAGGACGAGATGCTCAACGGCGGGGAGATAGGACGGGTGATTGGCTCTTTCAGTGAGTGGATTGACGGGCTCGGACTATTGGATGCGCCCTGACAATGAGTGGAAGATGATGAGATGATGGCAGATGCTGACCGGTTCGTGCTGATACAGTCGCGACCAATATTGTCTCTTGGGTGGCAGTATTCCTCCTCTCTGTGGCGGCGATTGGTGGAGTCACACAACTAACCTCGCAGTCGCCCATAAGGAAAGGCTTTGTCAGCTCGGAGAAGAGCATTGCGCCCACTTCATCTGATGATGGCTCTAGTTCGGCCGATTTTGAAGTCGAAGCTCAGACACAACAAGCTACAGGCAGTCGGGATGGTCTGTTGATTTCGATTCCCAGAGCTACGGACACTGAAAAGCAACTTGAAAGCGGCGCCCCAGCTCAGGGGCTCTCGAACACCAACGAACAGGCTGAGCCTTCTTGCGCCTCTGTCGCCGAGTCATCAACGTGGAACTTCTTCTCACGACACTTTCCGATTCTGCTGTCGCTGGCGCTGATATTCACTGTCGGTATACCCCTTACAATCACCATACACGAGGAGCGTCTTTTCGATGGCTTTACCCTATGGTTCATCTGGATCTCCTCTGTTCGATCCCAGCGAGCCTTCAAGCATTCCAAGATATGCACCTGTTCAGCCCCCCTGAAGCGAGGCCTAGCAACGTTGATGAATCCGGTTCTACTAACCACCCTGCTTATGATGGGATACACACGAGCCAAGGCTTCTGTCTTAGGACCTGGGGGACTCGCTAGGACGCTGCAAAAGTTCAGCGGAGGCACGCATCTCTACGCACTCTGGACGGCTGCCGTCAACGGCAACGAAATACCTTCCAATCCCACCGGCTGGTTCGGCGCCGGTGATGCTGCCCTCTCCATCCTCGAATGCGGGATTCTCGTTTGGGGATTCAAGCTTTCAGAATGCCGTCGACAAATCTTCAGCCTGACCGGCCTTGTCGCCATCATACTCTGCACCGCAGCCGCCGCGGCAAACGTCTTTCTTTCAGTCATCGCCAGCCGCGCCATGGGCTTGCAGGTCACCGAGGCGCTCAGCTTCGCCGCCCGCAGCACAACTCTTGCCCTGGCAAAACCTGCCACGGAGGCCATTGGGGGGAACAGTCCCGTGAACGCGATGCTCGTGGTGAGTAACGGCATATTGGGACAACTGGTATACCCCTTTATCTTGGACAAACTGGGTGTGAGCAAGGAGCACGATGAGAACGACAGGGATGGTGAAACAGGCCTTGCAGAAACTCAGCAGACGGCAACAATCATCCCCACTACCCCCGTTGAGGCATCTTCAAGCAGCAACAGCAACTCCAGTTCGTCGAGCACTGATACCTCCCTGCCCGACTCATGGCACCAAAGCACTCCTTCAACCGACAGCCCCGTCACCGTCGCCGCAGGCATCGCCATCGGCATCAACGGCGCCGCCATGGGCGTATCGTACCTGTACGAAACGCGCAGCCGGGCAGCTCCCTACGCAGCGCTCTCCATGGTGGTCTTTGGAGTCATGACGGTGGTGTTCACGACGGTGGAGCCTTTCAAGGGGACGCTCATCAGCCTGGCAAGTCGATGACAATGGGAGAGCTCCACCGGTGCCATTCCTTTTTGAGCTGTTTGACAACAATGATTTGACTTTGTTCAGGATACCATTTCGCTCTGGCGCGCTTTCAGAGAGGCTGGTTAGAAGGGCGTGGGATAGACGTGGGGAAACGAGACTGTGGGGAGGCGATCTGATTTCTAGATGTTTGGCATAGTCTGCATTTCTGAGCATGTACCTGTGGGTTTCACGTTACAGGGGCGGTTGACGGTCATTGCATTTACACTCTGCATGAGAAGAATGTACAATAGATAGGTGGGAGAGACGGAACAGACTGTGATAGGGGGGCGGGTGGGTGGATGAAGATGCGATTTTCAGCTGCATGTTTGGTGTCAGACGATCTGAGGGATGATGATGTTTGGTTGACGATATATGGTTGTAACAGAGAGTTCAGCTGCAACAGAAAAGGTCAATTCAGCTGTGGTGCATCGTCAGGGTGTCTCAGCCTTGGCTGTGGTGAATGTTGAATGTCTCCAGCGCGTGGCACACATGCTGTTGTGACGCCTACGTGGTCTGCTGCCTACGCTGTGGGAAGCTTCCCTTTCTGTTACGATTCATTATTCCAATATGACATTGACCATCATAGATTATCAGGCTTTCGTAATGTCTTTCTGCTTTCCTTCATATTCTTGAAATCTGGTATAATATAGTACACCTCCCCTTTCGCACACCACCACTCCCCAGCAACACACAAACCTACTCCAACCTATCCCCCCACGCCGTCAGCAAAAGCACTCTCACACACAATAAAAAAAGGAACATCAAAGCACCACCACCCAACACACACAAAAATCCAGAAACAAGTGTAGACAAAAAAGGGGACGATGCTTGCTCACCTCTCAATCAAGTGCAGCCCACTCGCCGTCGAAACGACATCGCTCAGCTCGCCGACCTTGAGCGTAAAGGCCACGTCCTCAAACTCCTTTTGCATCTCGCCGCGCCCGAAATAGCCCAGGTCGCCGCGCTTGCGGGCCGACGAGCAGTCGGACTCGGTGGGCGCGAGGTCGCCGAGGGAGGCGGCGCCGGAGCGGATCGTCTTTTCGTGCTCCTTGATGATCTTCATGGCTTCTTCCTTGGTGCGCGTGATTTCGGCCTATTGGTTCATCCATTGTAGCCCCCTTGTCAGTAAATTATTCCTTTCATCCATATTGTCATTTTTGTTTCGATTGTTTTTTTTTTTCCTTCCCATGTGCTCCTTCCCGGGAGGGCGAATGTTTTCGTACCTCACGCCAACTGCTCGGCCGACGACTCTCGCGATGCTTGACTAGCAGGTGTGCGGCTCGGATCTTGCCCTCGGGGACGCCGGGCACGGCGCCGGGCCGGGAGCTGGCGCTGTGGTGGGCGGCCATGTAGAGCTTGAGCTTCTCGCTGTCGGTGCCGGCGGGGGGTTCCCAGCGCGAGGTGCGGTCGACGGAGTTGAAGTAGTAGGGGAGGTTCTTGGAGTTGGAGTGGCGAACCTCCCAGCCGGGCGGGAGACCGGTTTCAGCCTGGAGAGGGAGAGGAAGCGCGGTCTGTTAGCGATGGGTAGGGGGAGCTGGATGTAGATGATGGTTTCGGTAAGGTATAGAGGTGAGGAGGAGGAGGAATGACGTGGAGGAGGCTGTTTGGGAGAGAGAAGAGGACGCACCATTGTGTGTGATTTGAGTCGGATTGGTCTGGCGATGTACGTTCGGATTGGGTTGTGTGTAGATATGAAGAGCGGTATGTTGTGTGTATGTGTGTGTATGTCGTTTGCGACAGAGAGAGAGAGAGAGAGTCGATTCGAGGTGGAGTTGGGACAGGCAGAGGACGGATTGATGGAGCTTTTTCAATGGCGCGGAGCCAATAGGATAGATGATGAAAGTGTGCGGGGGAGCGAGGCTAAGAGAGGCACGACTACTTTAGGTAGAGCAGTGAAGCGAAGCGCGGGCGGTTCTACAGACGGTGATGCTCTGCCAACTGGTGGTCCTGCAAAGGCATGAGTTGCTGTGCAGTAGTAGGTCGAGTATGAGCAAGCAAGACTGATCAATAGAAAACAGGGTAAATCGAATTACGTGTTGCCCTTGTGCCTTGAATTGCTACATGACCACAAGCAATCAATCCATAGGTCCTGTGTCAACAGAGTACCTACATACTACAAGAAACAGTTCCATGATCAATGTAACCAGAAAAGCAGTGTGACCCTGATGACGTTGAAAAGGGCCTGAAAAAGGGCGCTAGGCCGCGGTTGGGGCCTTGTTAGCGGCTGGGGATGCTTGAATCACTGCGGGAGTGGTTTTTGACTTGGAACCTGAACCTACGCTTCGAGGGGCTTCTGGGGGAATCACGGGGTTGGACTGGGAGGGTCACGATGGGTATGGCGATCGAGGCTTGCGCAGGGGGGGAGGGCGGTTCACTGTGCTGTGCGTGTTATGATGATGCGTTGTTCCATTGGAAGCTGAGATTCACAATGAAATGGTGATGTTGTCGTTGACGCATCCTCAGGCATAGCCATTGCTCTTTCTACAGTCATGTTTCTCTTTGAATCGTTGACTGCAAGCAATTGCCTGTTGCCTCACAACAGTGGCCCAGTATCGACGATTCCGAGTCATGGCAGTCACGGGATGGATTCACAGACCCAAGGAAATCCTCTCTCGTGAGCACAAGCGACCCGCTCCAGCAGGGCTCGCAGTCTGCAATCGGCGACCTCAGCAGGGCCACGGGCCAAGCCGCAGGCAGCATTGGGGTCTGACAAGCTGCCCGCTGATTATGACTGTGTGTCATACTGTCAAGACTCATACATACTGCTTTCCGCTCGGCCATGGTGCCGGTGGACTCAGATGCCCTCCATACAGGCGGCTCGGCCGTCACTGCGGACGGCGAGACACGCAGGCTCTTACTGTAGGGCCGTTGTTCAGACAAGGTACATGGCGATTCTACCCAAAGTATTGTTCGATAAGTCCCGGGAAGAGATGCTAGATCGAGAACCTGTCTAAAGGAGCTTGTTTGCAGTTCACTATGACTGTAAAATGTCGGTATGAGGCCTTGCAGAATATAATTGTCGCCAATCTACAGTTCTACATCAAGTCGGTTAGGGGAGGGAAACCCGCCATCTCACGATTTCAGCAGATGCGGGTCCACGACGATACCTACGAGATGCATGAACAACACATCTGAGCGTGTATTTGGCTGGGCAGAGTATTCTCATAGCTCTGCCAGATAGGTACATGACATACTGCAAAATAGGTACATCTAGACACTCGTTGACCTACAGAAACCCCATGAGCCGTGTCTGGAACTGGGACGGAGTGCAGCCATAACGCGCATTCAGGGTAAGGGGGTCCGCGAAGAAGCTCCGGAGAGGCGACATCGTGCCTGGGCCGCCGGGTTTCAAGGTGCCAGAAGACTCATTTTGTGGTGGAAGCAAACGCTGGACTGTGCCCGTTGAGGCAATAAAGAATGTGAAAAGGTTTAATGCGTGGCCGTATCTTGAAGATGGCGTTCAGTTCAAATGTTGCTATGCTTCCAACGGGGTCCGTAGCCGAGCCTCCTACCACGTCCATCTGGGTATGGCTTCTTGCTGCTCTGCCAGCAGTGCCACCACCATCCGAGCAACAAGAAGCCTCGATCATGCTCAGTAAGAGAACCACTAGGTAGGACGTTCTCAGAGAATTCGTGGCCTCAACTGAAGCTCGAAGCTTCGCTGTATGCGGGCTAGACTGTGCAATTATGCTTTGGGGCGAGCTCAAGGTTCCCGCTCACGAAGCCACAAACACCAGCATCGCCATTAGCCGAGGCGCCTCTGGACTGAGATTTTCAAGCTTAAAAATCCTCAAGCCTGATCGCCAGGTACAGCCGCAGAGCAGAAACCACCTGCAAGTTGACACCAGAACCGAGATCTCCCAAGGTACCTACATGTACCTTACCTAACATACTACCAGGTACCTACCTAGGTAGGTTATGGCACTGAGCACCTGGTATCAGCTGTCAGGAAGCAGGAGCCAAAGGTAGGTACATGTAATATGGTAGGATGGACACATCACTTATAGAGGCACCTGTTCCCTTGCTCAGCAGACTCTCAACTTCGACTTTCCTCCACCTTGAACCACACAAGACAGACAGACTCGCCCTCTGGTTTACCGTCCAGCCACAAGCAAAAAGCAAGCAACTATCCCCAAGCACGAGCATAGCTAGGCATCAGCTTCGCTCAGCATTTCTTGCTTTTCTTTACCACCCAGTCATCTCGTCACCCTGCTTCTCGCAAGGCATCAGCCACCTCGACAACCAACGAACCCTTTGATCTCTCACTGCCGTTGTCTCGCCTCCAGCAGACCGGGACTCTCGACCCGCAATCACTCACTGCCCGCACGCGCTACAAAGTGCCGCCAGACGCTACTGCCGAGCGCTCACAGGGGACCCTCCCCCACTGCAACATCCTCTGTACCGGGGCCTGAGCCACTAGCCGGCAAGGCTGCATCTGCCTACAGGTAGCCTAGCCTACCTCTAGACCCAACCAGTCTTTTTCTCTTCCATTGCAATCCGTCGATTGCTGTCGACTCCATTGCTATCATTACCAAGCACCATCGCGCGTCTTCCGCTTTTTCTCCTTCTCCGAGAAGAAGCAAACATCTACCACTTCCCTCTTGGACCCTTTGAACCCTCCCCCCGGACGCGCACCCGCAAACCGCTGCAATGGCAAGCCCTCAGTCGACCACGACCGACGAAGCCGGCCCCCGAAAGCTCGAGCAGATCACGTTCCGCTTCTGCTCCGAATGCTCCAACATGCTGTATCCCAAGGAGGACGAGGAGCTGCGCAAGCTGCAGTTCACCTGCCGCACCTGCCAGTACACCGAGGATGCCCAGTCGACGTGCGTCTTCCGCAACGTGCTCAACAGCTCGTCTGGCGAGACGGCCGGTGTCACGCAAGACGTTGCTTCTGACCCCACGGTTAGTGATGCTTCCGCTCCCGTCATCTGTTTCTCCTGCGGCGCCCCCGTCTACTGCGGCACCTGCGGCGATCCCGTCACCCGCGACCCCGAGGATGGCTTCGACGACCCGGTCTGGACCTTGAGCCTGCTCCAGGGGGTCTTGCTCTCGTCCGGTAACAGCAGCGAGGACATGGTGGAGGACGACGTCGACCTCAGCGAGTTGAGCGAGCTGGAGGAGGACGAGTCCCCGCGGACCAGCCTCGGCAGCCAGGCTATGTGCGAAGAAGAACCCAACAGATGCAACCTTGCATAAATGCACATTGCCCGCCCTCGGCTGCCTGCGGCCTCGGACGACGACCTCGACGGGAGCAAGGCGCCTCTTCTCCCTTTGACTCCTTCGCCTGTACTACTACACAGCACATCGATCCAACGGTTATTGTTCTTACTCTAGCGTCTTGTTGCGCCTGCTGCCATCGGATACCCTTTTGATTTCTGGATTGCAATTGGCTTTGCTTTCTGCATCATATCCAAGATGGACTAGCTGGCTGACTGAGTGCTCCTTGTTTCGCTTTCTCCAACGACAGCTCCCGCGATCCAACAAGACGTGCCCGAAATGCGCCCATCAAGAAGCCGTCTTCTTCCAGTCACAAGAGCGCAGTGCTGATACTGGCATGGTGAGCGCCTGCCCCCGCTGGTGCCCTCCTACCCCCTCTGCCCTGGGATGTTGGTTAACATGGTTGGCGGCTAGAAACTGTTTTACGTCTGCTGCGAGTGTGGTCACATTTTTGATTAGAGATGCCTACGAGATTCACTCACGGATTACGAAGCGAACAGACTATATAATATCAGGGAATGCAAAAAGCAGAAGCAGCTTGGAGAGAAAAAGTTACGAGAGGAAAGAGAACGAGAGGAAACGAAACGAGAGAAGGTGGAGCGAGAGGAGGATGGACATGAGGAGAGGGGGAACGGGAGGAAGTGAAGGCGCATAAAGAGATTCGGCTGGCGATGTGGTGTTTGTCTATTCTTGATTGTTCGTTTGGTTGTTTTGACACCTAATAATGGTTGGCGTCAGGAGGGAAAGCTGCATGGAAAATTGTCATGTTTCAGGGCCTGCAAAGTACCAGGATTGCACACGGCATCGACGACTGCTGGACAATGCTAATGGTGTGGAGGGGACGTCTTTGCGGTTTTGTCAGGCTGGTGCGTGTATGACGCCGTGCCAATTGATGCCATGCAACGGCCTGTTACAAGGAGGCTTTTTGGTCCTTGTATAATAAGCGCACATGTTATGGCCGCTCACTCTTTTGATAGCTCGGATATTATCTCGTAGATCAACGCCTGTTGCGCACACCAGGATGGCGGTGCGTCGTTGTCTTGTTGGTTCTCTTATTGTGAATGTCTCGTCTCGTAAAACGCCGTGTAGAGTATATGCCACCATTGCCACCATTGCTTCGTAATCGTACATGCCGCCTCATACAAAAGGACACTGTCCATGCATTGCTCGCATATCGACATGTATCCAGTCTCAATTCCTTGGTCTTTTGTCTCCTTGTTTCCCCTTCTTCGCCCCCTCCTCCCGTCTATCTCGTCCTCCTCTCAGCACCTGCCTCGTCCCATCTTCCTTGTCCTCGACATGTTACGCCTGCATCGGCGCCATGGACAGGATCTTGCTCCACTTCTTGCGCTTGAGCTCTGCGCCGACGACGCCGTTGATTCGGGTGCCGACGGGATCGCCCGACTTGTTGAGCAGGACGCAGGCGTTGTCGTCGAAGCGGACGACGGTGCCGTCGCGGCGCTGGGTCGGGTAGCGGGTGCGGACGACGACGGCGTGGCGGATGTCGCCGCGCTTGACCTTTGCGGCGGCGGAGATGCCGGCCATGCCGGAGGAGGAGGAGCCGCGCTGTTCTTGGACGACGACGACGATGCGATCACCTGCGACGGTAAGTTTGTGTTAGAGATTAGGAGGAGGAGGAGAGGTTTAGGGCTGGGAAATTGGTGAAGAGGAGAGTTTTGCTGAGTTTGGGTTGTTCTTGTACGTACCTATTCTGGCGTGACGCTTCTGGCCGACGACGAGGGCGCATTCGACGAGGGCGGCGCCGGAGTTGTCGATGCAGTTGAGCATCGTCTAGAGCGAGGAGTGGTTAGACAGAGGCAGGGATAGAAAGTGCCGGCAATTGGGAATTGCACACCTTTAGTTGGATCATCGTGACGGCGCCTCCTTTTTGCGTGTAGGCTGAGACAGACCGACAACAGCAGGTACAAGCGTCTTATGCAGAGAGCTCATCCAGTCCTCCACCAACTCAATCTCAAAGTCATCACCAACATCCACCTTTGGAGTTTTCGACCACTTTTTTTTGAACATCACGTGCTCCAAGTCTTAGCTACTAGTACCTACGTAGCATGTCATGTCTCTGATCGCTGCTGGCTAAATGTCGGCTTTTTCCAATCTGACCAGGGCCTGGAGCTGGTTGGCCTGTGAAGCGGCTGAAAAGGGTAAAAACGGCCACGGAAAACTGGAGCCGGCCAAGCAGCATCTCCATCCGTCGCCCGGACAGCCAGAAAAATGCGGAATCTGGATCACTTTGGGGGGAGAGCTTGTGCTTTCTGCCCGTCTGTTTTGGTGCCAGCCGGCCAAGTTCTTGTCTGTGCCTCTTTCTGGCTGTTGTTTTCCTTGTGCATTTTCCATCAATTTCTTTTATTTTGATTCGTACAAGCCCCTGCTTATTAGTCGCTGGAACCGGGCAGCCAACCAGAGAGGTTTGAGGCTGCTTCGTTCCTGCAAGGCGCCCCTTTCGCTCTCACTGGCAGCTGGCCGAGCTCTCGCTTCTTTCTCACTTTGATCCATGACATGCGACCTGCGCTGAGGTGTCTGTTCACAGCCTCGCCCTTTGTCATCCTCCTCCTCCGCCTCCTTCTTCTTCTTCTTTGCTCTTTGATCTTCTCCTGCTCATCCTTTGCTGCACCGCGCTTTAACACGCTTCACTTGCGCTCGTCATCCTCCCCCTTTGCCCCGTTTATTCGCCGTTTCCCTCGACTGGCCGAATAGGGTAGCTGGCAGAGTTATGACGTCGAGACGCTCCCGGTGACAGTGACCTTGTTTCGACGGCGCATCTCGCTCCCGTGCGCTTCGAGCTGCGATTTCTCATTGACGGAGCGACTGCAAACCCAGCAGATTGCGAGACTTTGGGAGGAGTTGCAACGACGCCGTTGTCGTGTGTTTCATCTGTGGCCGCAGCTGACACTTCGAGCCGTGGCGGCCAGAGTGATGAGGGATTCGTGAGGTCTCTCTGTCCGCTCCTTGAAACCACCTGGATTGCTGTCGCCAACCGACAGAAAACCCCTCATTTTCTCCTGGGCTCTAGAGCCGTTCTCTTGTCGCCTCTTGGGTTTGATTTTCAGCCGGGTTCAGATACTCAGGATACATCTCCCCTATAGCGACATGCCGCCCTCCAAGGCTGCCGGCGCAACGGCCAAGAAGCAGCGGTTGACGCTGGCCCAGCTCGCCGCTTACGACGACATCCTCACCGATGCGCTCGTCGACCATGTCAGTCAACACCCGCGCGCGATTTGCCTGCTCAAAGTGAAGTCGTTCGTCTAGCTAATGTGATGGGCGCCAGGCTTTTTATTGGGCCACTGTTCCCAAGAACCGCTCGTCATATCACCCGTCTCGGGGCATCCGGGAGGGCGAGGTCGCCAAGATTATCCAGGAAGAAGTCATTGTCAACAAGGATCTCGAGGCGGCCGAGAAGCGCCTCTTGACGTCGGTCGACGGCCTCAAGAGGTTCGTCGGAGGCCTGAAGATGGAAAAGGAGCGGACCGACTTTGTGCAACACCTGCGACGATATCTGCGCATCTACATGCCCGATTGCCCCTGGGAGGTGAGCACCACCAACCGGTACACGATTGTGACGCACGAGGCCTGTGTCATTGCCCGACGATACATCAAGCGCAACGAGACCATCAAGTACCTCTCCGGCATCCAGATCAACATCACGCCCGAGGAGGAAAAGGAAATCACGGTGCGCAAGAAGGACTTCAGCATCGTCGTCAGCTCGAGGAAGAAATGCACCAGCTTGTTCATGGGGCCAGCGCGATTCGCCAACCACGACTGTCGCGCAAACGCGCGGCTCATGACCACGAGCCAGTCCACCATTGAGATTGTCGCGTCACGGCCCATTGACGTGGGCGAGGAGATTACAGTCACGTACAGCGACTGCTACTTTGGCGACAACAACTGCGAGTGCCTGTGCCGAACCTGCGAGAAGGAGCTGAGGAATGGCTGGGCGCCCGCGGATGGAGCGGTGAATGTCAAGGTCAGCGTGGAGGAGGACGAGCCGAAAGAGACGTACTCTCTGCGGAGAAGACGGCGAGACGATAGCATCGGCGGCTCCTCGCGGACGCCTTCCGTGACGCCCGACATGCGACCGCGCATCTACAAGACGAAGCCCAAGACGAAGATGCGAGACGCTCAGGAGACGTCTGCCATCCCGACTCCGGCGCCAGAGGGAACACCGCGCGGGCGGAAGCGAACCATGGATGCCATTGCGACACCGCCGATCACACCAGCCAAGAGACCCAAGTTCCTGTCCGAATCATCAGCCACGTCATCGAATTCCCTCTCGCTACCTAGCAGAGTCGCGAGCGGTGAGGATTCGCTGAGCACCAGGAGTGCGACTCCGAGGGACGCGGATGCTCCAGAGACGACAATTGCGTCCCCAGAAAAGGAAAGCCCGCAGCCCGAGATACAGACAGAGACGCCGCCGAGCTCCTTTACAACAGATACTTTAGACGAGACGAATTTAGACGAGACGAAGAGTGAAGAGCGACGAGACTATAAAGGGTTGGTCAACACTACCGTCGAACCCGTGTCTCCCCAAAGCATGGGCAGCCGTGCCTCCCCCGACGCGATACCGACGCCGATACCGATGCCGCCGGCGGTCGTGGCTCCGGCCCGCACAGTCCCTCGGCCGCCGCGGTTGATGACCATGTCCATTTCCTCCATTCTCAACGATCCTTCGCCTACCGACGATTCAGCGGAACTATACTATCCCTTTATGACAAGTCGAGTAGCGAGTGCGCCCGCGGTAGTGTCAACGGTTGAGCTCGTATCTGGACGACAAGGCGTGCAGCCGGATCAGGAAGAGGAGAAAGTGCTGCCAGAGATTAAAGTCGAGAGCGAGATTGTTGTGAAAACGAAGATTGAGAGTGAGCCTGAAGCCGAAGCCGAAGCCGAGGTTGAAGCAGCGGTTGAAGCAGAGGCCGAATCAACAATAGAGGTCGCGACGACCATTACTGAGAAGCCGAAACGCCGCAAACGACAGGACGCGGCCCCCAAGCAAACAGCACCCCCTCCAGCTCGGACACGCACACCGGGCGACTACGTGCTGACGCCTTTACTTCTTTCTGAGCCCGACATGGCCTGGATTCAGTGTACCATCTGCAGCAACTACTTTGTCCAGCAAAACGCCTACTTCACACGGTCGTCCTGTCCGAGATGCGAGCGACACTCCAAGTTGTATGGCTATGTGTGGCCCAAGACGGACAAGACGGGGCCCATGGACAAGGAAGAGCGAATCCTCGACCACCGGATGATTCACCGGTTCCTCGACTCCAACGACGAGCGGCGGGCGAGAGGCCGGAAACTGCTCAGCGCGAGTAAAGATACCGAAGAAGCGGACGGAGAGAGGGGCAGGGCGCCTAGGAGAGGGTCCAACAAGGCAGGCGACGAGGGCCAGAAGGAAGAGACTTCGAGAGTTCGGCGTAGTGGCCGCGCGAGGCGGATGAGCAGCAAGCTTGCAGAGTGGTAATGTATTGGCTATATTTGGACTGTATCGTGTACGATGGGCAGCAGCGCAGGCGACATTTATGCCGCTTGCCCCGGGCGTTTTGATACTTTGACAGGCGATGGATGAGATGATTCGACGTAGGTGCGCGTTTGGCGTCATGAGTGAGAAATGGATTAGGCAGTGCAGATAGATTTAGATATCGTGCGTATGCCATGATGCCTTGTTTGATGGTTATACTCGGTGTCACGAGGTAATCCATTCCTTGTTCAAGCTTGTGCAACAAGGCATGCATAAATGGGTGAGAGGGTCCGAAACGTGCGGCGAGATGTACCATGTCAACGAACTGCAAGGATAAATCGTCATTCTGGTGAAGATGCAGCAACTGTTTGCTGACCAAGATGGACGACGGCTGAGGGAAAACCGCGGCATCATGTGGCCTCTTTATTGAAAGGATGGCTAGATGGCTTTTCGATAGTCGTTGTATTTCTATCGTATAATGAGATGGATGGGCCTCACCCGAATTCCCTGTTCTCTGACTGGGTGGTTGCTCCATGCTGGGTCTTGAACACGATTGGCTGGGGACGTCTGGCCCTGGGTGGCTTGTCTCAGATCAACGTCAACGCCTGGGGGGGTCCATGGATTGTTGACGTAGGCATCTGGATTCATCCTTCTTTCATCATCATCATCTGAGGGTTGTTCATGAGAATCCTTCATTTGTGAGTATTATTGTCCGGGAATGCATTTTCCTACTGGATGGTGATGTAAGAGGAATGATGTGTTATGGAGATGTGTCGACTAACTGGGCTGCAGGTTGACAGCCTGAACCAGTCAAAGTCGGCTGCGACGATGATAACTCTATATCTCGCTTCTTTGCTCTGTGAGTTAGAGGATGTTGTTTTGGTTTTGGATTGCCAAGTCGTTTCTTTCAAGCGTCGAGGCGTCGATTATGGGGGTGCTGACGGCCGAAATGATGACGAATGACGATGCTGACTCTTGCTGCACACCAAGTGGCCCTGAGAGCGCACGCAGTCCCGTCTTTATCCCAAGCAGAGATTGTCCTCAAGGGGGACTGCTCTCGAAATGGCCTCGTGTACGACTGCGGCAGAAACGGGCTCGTCTGGACGGCGGGCGCGGTGCGCATGAACCACATGCAGGTCGTCGGGTCGCACAACAGCTACCACGTCGAGGCGCCCAAGGCGGAGCGCGACCTGCAGAGCGCGGCGGCGCCGGCGGCGATTGACCTGCAGTATTCGCATGCTGCGCTGGACGTGCAGCTGGAGTATCTGCATTTGCGGAATCTAGAGTGAGAGAATCCCCCTTTACTGGATTTTGTGGTTCGTGGATGAACTGACTGACTGTCATGGGGGGGAGCAATAAAAAAGGCTGGATTTGCTGGCGGATCCGGATGGAGGCATGTACAGCGAGCCGCTGATCCGCAGGCTAGCGGGCTTGGGCGTGCCCAACGATCCCTTGCTTAAGAAGAAGGGGACAAAGGTGCTGCATATACCAGACGTGGACTACCACACTACTTGTTCGACGCTGGTGTCGTGTCTGCACATTATAAAGAGGTGGCTGGACGCTCATCCGGACAGCGTGCCCCTGCCCATGATGATGGAGTTCAAGACGGCCGAGAAGCTGGGCGAGCGGCTGGGCGGCGCCAAAGTGGTTCCCTGGACGACGGAGCTGCTGGACATTGTCGACGCGGAGATACGACGCGTGTTTAATCGGTCGCAGCTGATTACGCCTGACGATGTGCGGAGGGAGGGGCTGACGCTGGAGGAGAGCATCTTGAAGTATGGGTGGCCGGACCTGGATAGTGCCAGGGGCAGGATCTTCTTCTTGATGGACAATGGGCCGGTGGGGGATGTGCGGGATGCGTATGTCGAGGGGAGGAGGAACTTGGAGGGGAGGGTGTTGTTTACGAATAGTCAGCCTGGGCAGAGCGATTGCGCGTTTCAAAAGGTGAGTTTGTTCCCCTGATTCTTTATGGCTTTGCTTTTGGATTCAAAGGCGAATTGAATGGTATGTATGTATATGCTGATGATGGGGGGGGACTTGGAAAATAGCTTAACGATCCTTCGACGGACGCGGCCGTCGACTTCATCCAGCAGCAGGTCAAGGCAAACTACTGGGTGCGCACCCGCGCAGACGAGCCGCTGGTGACCGTCGTCGAGCACAGCTGCTCGACGGAGAGGCGGGATCGGGCGCTGCGCTCGGGGGCGCATGTCGTGTCGACGGATTTCGCGGCGTTTGGGATGAGTGCGCGCTGGGGGTGCGATTACGCGGTGCGGCTGCCGGGGGGAAAGGGGGCGAGGTGTAATCCTGTTGTTGGGGGCGCGTGTGAGGGCTTGTTGGAGCCGGAGGAGTATACGGAGAATTGAGGCTGGGCTGAGGTTGGGATCTATGCGGAATCTTGAGATTGTATGTTGTTTGGTGGGAAGAAGATGTTGGGTGGTGAGATGAGTAGGTACTTTAAGGCTTGAGAGGTATTATCAAGGTGGGTTGTATGGTCTGATGTTGCTTGCATGAGGGCATATATAGAGGAGAGGTATGTAGAATGATTGTAAACATGACGAGAATTGAGCAACTGAACTCATGACTGAAACCAAATACGACTTCATGATTGAGGGACTGTATCCTAGGTTTGCTCATCATCTGTGAATATCAGGAGAACACGATGCGATTTTCTGGGTTGTTAAGATGGGCCTATATAGACCTAAAAAAGCGGCTCGTTCTCAACAAAAAAGCGTCATTGGTCTAGGGGTTAGGATTCAACTCTTCCATTTCACGAAAAGTTGAGGCCCGGATTCGAGTTCCGGATGACGCAAAACCGAAATTTTTTTTTTTTGACGTTTCTTCTTACTCTAGGCTCTTTAACAGGAACTATCCTCCGCATCTCTCTCTCGAGTGTCTTTTTGGTTTTTGTTTTTTGTTGCGAATGAACTGTGAAGCCAAGTATTATGCAGATAACGGAACATTGTAAGGTACTTAGAGGTATCTTATAGACGTGCTGTAAACTTGAAATGCGGGGGCGGGGGAAGTTGGATATTCACATCAATTGCTCGATTGCTTTCCGGGCATTGACTGTCACGTCTGTTTAAAAAAGTGACTGAGTCACTGGTACTTTGACTGTTTATGCTCGTGATATGCCACTTCATCTTCTCACTGGTGCGTGCAGGCGTCGCCCATCTTTATGCCGAGCCCGAGATCGCTGCGGACCCCGCCGTCTTGACTAACACGATGCCCACCAAGTCAACCGAACTGATGCTCTTGACAGAATCATCACGGCTTCAAACTCATGATACACCATTCCAAGTACTCCATCATGTCTGAAGAGAGTGCCCCCAAAATCTTCGTCCCCGCCAACGAGGCTCGGCGCCTCGTCCAGGACATCCTCAAAGGCAACGGCGTGTCCCCAGACCATGCCGCCATCATCGCCCGCTGTCTCGTGGCCGCAGATCTACGAGGCGTCGACACGCACGGCATGAACCGTATCCCGTCCTACATGGAGCGCATTCGACAAGGCGTCCTGAATGCCGGTGCGCAGCCGGAACTGAAGCACGTCACGCCTGTGGTTGTGCAGGTCGACGGTCGCAACGGCTTCGGCTTTGTGGCGGCTCACATGGGCATGCAGGCGGCCATCGAGGCGGCCAAGGTCTACGGCATTGGGCTGGCGAGCGTCAAGCACTCGAATCACTTTGGGATGAGCGCGTGGGTGGTGCAGCAGGCGCTGGACGACAACATGATGAGCCTCGTCTTTACAAACTCGAGCCCGGCGCTGCCTGCGTGGGGGGGCAAGGAGAAGCTCATGGGCGTGTCGCCGATTGCGTGCGGTGCGCCTGGAAAGGGAAAGGGGGGCGACATGGAGAACTTCATCCTCGACATGGCGCCGTCGGTGGCAGCGCGGGGCAAGATCTACAAGGCGAAGCGACGGGGGGAGAAGATTCCGCTCGACTGGGCGCTGGACAGCGAGGGCCGGCCGACGGACGACCCGGAGGCGGCGCTGGGCGGCGTGATGCTGCCGATGGGCGGGCCGAAGGGGTCCGCGCTGGCCATTATGATGGACGTCTTCTCGGGGGTGCTCTCGGGGTCTGCGTTTGCGGGCCATGTGACGAATCCGTACGATCCATCGCGGCCGGCGGACGTGGGACATTTCCTGGTCGCGGTGAAGCCGGACTTGTTTATAGGCTTGGACGAGTTTCGGGACCGGATGGAGTATTTGTATAGACGGGTGGTGGGATCGGAGAAGGCGGCGGGGGTGGAGAGGATTTACTTTCCGGGGGAGATTGAGCAGTTGACGCAGAGGGAGAGGGAGAGGAGCGGGATTCCGCTGGTCAGGGCCGAGGTGGATGCTTTGAATGAGGAGGCGAGGAGGGTTGGTGCTGCTGAGCTGAAGCTGTAAGGGAGGGGGGGGGGTTGGGTTGGGTTGTTATGCTATCTCAAGGGGAGTGAGTCTTGGACTGCTATGAGACGTGCTTGCCGAGCTGTGTTTTGTGAAGCGAGCTGTCTGTACCTATGTAGTGATGCTGCTTGATGATGTGATGAATTTGAGTATATCTAGGTATGTGATAGAAGCCGTCATGGGCTGATATTAAGCCGATAGAGTGTTTAGATACATGTATCTACATGTATGCAGCGCGGATGATTTGGTTCAGTCAGCTTTTTCCCCGATTCGCCCCCGCATTTGCGCATTCAGCTGCCGAGACTGCAAGCTCTTGTATTACAACGACGTACGGAAGAAAGGATGTTTGCTTGATGGCTGGAAATGGAGCACAATTCGCTTGCCTTACAACGAGATCCATACAAGCTGCCTCCAATGGGTGCCCAGCAATTGCCAAGCACGAGAACTACAGAAAACTTTGTGATAAGATGTGTCAGCGCTATGTGAGGCATTACACATTGCTTTCACACGCAACAGCTATCATCTCCCAGGAAGCTCTATCGAGATGCTAGTACCTAGCTCCAGTTTCTCCCGCAGTCCTTATCAGCGAATGCTTGGCGGGGTACTATTATATTACACGCCCGGCTTTGGTGATGCAACGCTGATATCAGTTTCTGTGCCCGTCACGATACTTTTGTCGTTTGCGGTTGGTATCAAGATAGCCCTAAGATGAGCAAGGGAGGGGCTGTCTGATGCTTCCTTAAAATGAGATAGGTGTTGACTATCTACGCTGCTACAACATCTTGCTTCTCATGAGACTCAAGATCAGGACCTTTGCACCTGATCCTCTCTCACCCACCACCAGCAATGCCCCTCCACCTCCCCACGCCCAAGTTCCTCCAGGGCCTCCCGTCCAACAGCATCCGCATCATCGCCATCCTCATCACCGTCAACGCCGTCGTCTGGATCGCCGTCGGCATCGTCCTGCACTTCCACCCGGCCCTCATCTCGCCCGCCGCGCTCTCCTACGCCCTCGGCCTCCGCCATGCCCTGGACGCAGACCACATCTCGGCCATTGACCTCATGACGAGGCGGCTCATCGCGTCCGGCCAGCGGCCCGCCACCGTGGGCACCTTTTTCTCGCTCGGCCACAGCACCATTGTCATCATCACGTGCATCGTCGTGGCGGCGACGAGCGGCGCGCTGAGGGAGCGCTTTGACGGCTTCCAGCGCGTGGGCAACATCATCGGGACCAGCGTCAGCGCCGCGGTGCTCATCATCCTGTGCCTGGGCAACGGCTGGGTGCTGTACAAGCTGGTGAAGCGGCTGAAGGAGGTCCTCGCGCAGCGGAGGCGGCGCTTCGGCGATGGGCAGGGCGGCGAGGTGGACGCTGCTGGGGTTGCTGCCGCGGCGTATGCAAACGACCAGCTGCAGCTCGAGGGCGGCGGCTTCATGATCAGAGCGCTGAGGGTCATGCTCAAGACGATTGATCGGCCGTGGAAGATGTATCCGCTGGGCGTGGTGTTTGGGCTGGGGTTCGACACGAGCTCTGAGATTGCGGTGCTGGGCATTGCGAGCATCCAGGCGGTTCAGGGGACGAGCATCTGGCTGATTCTGATTTTCCCCATTCTGTTTACATGTGAGTGTTTTTTTTTTCTTTCTTTCCCTTCTTCTCTTTCACTCGGGTGGGTTTAAGTTGTGGTTGGGATCTAACTCGAGTGTTTTCCTCCCCCAGCTGGCATGTGTCTTGTGGACAGCACTGACGGCGCCTTGATGATGGCCTTGTACACGTCCAAGGCCTTTTCACGGGACATTGTGGCCATATTGTACTACTCCATCGTGCTCACCGGCATCACGGTCGTCGTGTCTGCCTTCATCGGCATCATCCAGGTCCTGTCGCTGGTGCAGAACGTGGCGGATCCGTCGGGCAGCTTCTGGGACGGGGTGTCTGCCGTTGGTGACCATTTCGACATCATTGGAGCGAGCATATGCGGGGTGTTTGTCGTTGTTGGGATCGGATCTGTTGTGGTGTACGGGCCGTGGAGGAGGCGGATGGAGAGGCGGAATATGGCTGTGCTGGCGGACGAGGAGGGCGAGGATGGGGGAGACGAGATTGAGAGGGAGACGCTGCCGCCGGGCTTGGAGCAGGGGGCAAGTCCAAAGACGGCGAGCACTCAGGTTGCACTTGTTTAACGAGGCAATGGTACACGGCCTTTGCATATCGAGTCTTGACCTACATCTGCTCACTTACAGCCATGCCTGAGCCTGTGCCAAAGCCGTAGTCAAAGGAGAGCCATTGCTACGATGCTCGGACAGAGAACCGAGTATGGCTGCTGGACATGTGAAGTCTTCTCATCAACTAGAGAACTTCAACTATGTAAACAAACATATTGACTCGAAATCATGCCATGGCCACCCCTATAATGAGCGTTGGCAACCGTATGTGACAGAGCACAGACGGCCACAGCTTTGCAGCAGCAAGCCTCAGCGCCTCCATCACTAGGGTAGTTAAGTATCGTATCACAAATACTAAGCGCGGCACTTACACAGCAACCAGCGGATTCAGCCGCACAGTATCACTGCACACTCAGCCAGCCATCAAAATGCCACGAGAAAAAAAAAGAAAGAATGAATGAAAACTGCAGCTTTCGTGAACATTCTCTTCTCTTCGTCGCCGTCTTCGGAGGCAGCCTGATAAGGAAAAAAGCTTATCGCCATGCGCCGGCCTTCTGGAAAGACCCAAGAAGGAAACCGCGCCCGCCGCGGCTGCTGGTTAGGCGCCACCGCCCGTCTTAGTCATATCCAGCGAAATTCTGCCTCGAGAAGAAGCTGCTTCTGCCTGCCTGCCTGCCTCAACGATTGTTGCACCGTCTATCCTTTTCCCCGACATCAGCTCCAGGACTGTACGAGAGTCACTCGCCGAGCGTGAGACTTGGTGCCGCATATGCGGCTTTTGGCTATTATATGCAATGTGACGATGCGGCACAATTCAGCCTCGTCCCCCCCGGCGCGCCGTTTCGAATTCAGCCCTTTCGCGTTGGATGGATGCCTGCCAACGGCCTCCCTAATCTTGACCGTCTATTCCTGGATACCACCACAATTGGAAAGGCTCTCTCTCTGATTGACTGATCGCCCTCTTCCTCCTCCCAACAGCTCCAGAGAGATAGGCGAAGAGACAGCAATGGTTGAGCTGCCACGTGTTGGCGGTCTTGCGCACTGTCGCCCGGCACTGGATGGTGGGGAATTGCGCTGGTGTGGCGGCTGTCAGGGTCTTTTGGTCTTTGCAAGTCTCGAAAGAGTTCCCCAGAGGTTGAGCGACGTCTGGCGGCGATCGACGCCCTCGCCTTTTTGCCCAGCGGCCCGAGTACCGTCTACTTGGAGGTACAACAAGCTCCGAGGGCCTCCTGATGAGCACACCGCGTCGTGTTTGCGCCTCTCAATATCGGGGATCCCGCTACTTGCAATGTCTGGCCCCCTTGGCGGCGCGGATTGCTAGACCAGCCAGGCGAGTCCATTTGCTCGACTTCCTAGTGGCGGCGCCTCGATTGTGGTGAAATTCTTCACACTTGTGATTCATCCTCCCCATGGCACGCTGAGAATCCCATGCCCAGAGTCCGAGTTTCGGGCGTTATGGAGCGGATGCATTGTCTGATAAGCGCCATTAGTTGAACGCAGGACGCTGCCTTGCGGGAGGATTCTCGGTATGTATTGGACCAACCTTCGGAAGGCGTCCATCGCAAAGTCGTCGAGCATCCCGAAGGAGAAGGTAGCTTATGGGCACCTTTGCTTCTGCACATCGGGGAAGACGGACTGCAACTGAAAGAGAGGACATAATAGGACAGCTCTAGCCTTCGAGCGTGAGGCCTATGAGCTTGGCAGTCAGGTCAAGCCAGTGCTGCGTTCGAAACGACCAGACAAGTCCAGGCCATGTTTAGACCGCCCGGCGTCGGAAGGGTGGCAATGTTGATCCTAATGTGGCTACTTTGCAACCGCGCAACCAGCTGCCTGTCACAGTATGTATCCCTCTTTTGTCGGATCAACCTGGAAAACGAGCCGTGAGATGCCAGGAGCCAGACAGCACTTGTTATGCACTGCGCTGCTTGGGCTTGCCATGGTGGTCAGCATAAGATGCAGTCAGAAACCGTGGTAGGCCAGTAAACTGGTCACGATATCCTCTGCATGCCCTGCTCAACGCCTGACCTCTGCCCGTTGCCTACGAATCCGCTTCCTGAGCAGCATGCTGATCAACAATGCGATAGGCACCTGTCCCCAAAGACGGTGGGTGGATTGGACCCTGAAAACCAAAAGGGAGGACAAGAACCCTGCGCCCTCCATCTCATCCCGCTAGACAGTTGGCGGCTGTGGGCCCGTGTGGTCAGGGGGAGTGTCGGACCCCACGGATTCAAAGGACGATGCGGCGGGGACGCTTTTGCTGCTGTGCCGGACCGGCCAGAGATGCACCAACCTGTGAATTTATCAGCCAGAGAGAGCTTTGGTTTTGTGAGAGTGAAGGCGTGATTACAGACATAGTATTTGCACGCCACCAGTCCGAATTGCACGGCTGACAAGACACAGTACGCAAGCATATGCACACGCACCTTGCTCGGGCTTCAATGGCCTTGCTCACCATCTTCCGGCAATACTCAGCTCCCCTTGCGGTTTGGACGACCTTGGCTAGAGCAACATGCGAGGGGACGATTGTGTGACAAGAGGCATTCATGCAATCTAATCCTTCAGGGCAGAGATTGCCCAACAATTCAAGTCCCGATCTTGATGGCGATATACCAAAATTAGGTGTGTTTGCCCCAATCTCTTTCGCAACTGGACTTTCGCAACTGGCTTGCTGGATAGCGAGTCACACGGATGGCGGCCTGGAGCTGCCTTCGGTCGAGACTGGCTCCCGCGGCGTCTTCTCCTCGGGATGCCTTCTCCATACAGTATCCAACTCGCAGGCCCACGGCGGCTTCCCAACGTCGGCCGATAGCGCACCCCACAAAGTACAGATCTCGAGTCTTGCGGCTGCAGCTAAGATTGGGCCTAGCATGGGTATCGAGGCCTCATTGTCCGATATGTCACACAGCCGTCCATCTGCTGCTGTCGGTGTAGTCGCAAATAGCCACGCCAGTTAGCCTCAAACTGTCCGGACACGTTAGGCATGGCAAAAGGTACAAGGTTTGGGGCGAGACGAGAGTTTTGTATGTAGGAAATAGGACGGAGTATATATTGCCTCTGACACCCCCCCTTTATCTACTCTTCTGTCCTGGTCTTGTCATGTTATTGCCGTGTTGATTTGTTGTGTTTTTCTCTACTCTCCCTTATCGTTGCGTGCTGCTTCTTGACAAGTTCACCTGTCACTCCTTTGAACAGAAGAACTTGCTGTTTCCCGATACCCCAGCGATAGAAACTATAGACACGATGCACGGTTACAGCTCCTCCGAAGAGTCGGACGACCCGCGTCGTCCGCGCTCGCAGCCAGCCTCATCAGGCAACAACCAGGACCAGAAGAAGAAGCGAAAGAAGAGACTGCCTCCGCAGCAGACTATCAACAGACTCTGGAAGAAGTTCTCGAGCCGCAAGTTCCACAAAGCGGTTTCGGTGCTCCCCTTTGACCCTGTCGTAGCACCGCGATCTGGGCTGGACCGCCCCAATGAGCTCCTCTCTGAAAGCTACGAACGCGCTGCTGAGGAATGTCGGCGCAAGGTGCAGAAGATTGTCCAAGAGTGTAAGAGGGTCAATATGAGATACCGTGACCCTGGTTGGGATCTGGTAAGTAGCCAACATCGGCAACCTCCTTTCCACGCATGGCGGAGGCTAACAGTATCGCAAGGACTGGGATCTCAAGTATGAAAAGGGCAACACCCTCAACTACATTGGAACCGAAAAGTTTGAGATCTCCAAGGCCACTCTTTTGGGTTCTAAGGCGGTCGTGCCCAAGGCCGTCAAGAGAGTCCACGAGATTTTCGAAAATCCCACATTCATGAAGGATGTCAAGGGCAGCGATATCAAGCAAGGGGGCTTGGGAGACTGCTGGCTCATGTCCAGCCTGACTGCGCTGGCAAGCGTCGAGGACGGCGTCCCGCGCTGCTGCGTGGCCTACGATACCAGTAAGTGAGAGAATACATTCATACTGTATACAGTGGCGATGCTGACTCTTTTTTCTTTTTTTCTATTAGAAATCGGCATCTACGGATTCCTCTTCTACCGGGATGGCGAGTGGGTCTATTCGATCGTCGACGACAAGCTGTACCTCAAGTCCCCCTGCTGGGACTCGCCTAGCATGCAGCGGGACCTCCTCCAGCAGATCGACCGCGAGGACGTCGAGACCGTCTACAGGAAGACGTACCAGACCGGCTCCAAGGCGCTGTTCTTTGCCCAGTGCAAGGACCAGAACGAGACCTGGGTGCCGCTCCTCGAAAAGGCCTACGCAAAGGCCCACGGTGACTATGCCTCTCTTTCTGGCGGATGGATCGGCGAGGGTCTGGAGGACCTCTCCGGTGGAGTCACCACCGAGCTGCTCACCTCCGACATTCTGGACCTCGACGCCTTCTGGGAGAATGAAATGTCCAAGGTGAACAAGGAGTTTATGTTTGGCTGCTCGACCGGTCTCCTGGACTACGGCTACGGCCAGCGCGACGGCATCAGCGAGGCACACGCCTACGTCGTCGTGGACGCCCGCACCCTCAAGTCGGGCCAGCGGCTGGTCAAGCTCCGCAACCCCTGGGGAGAGATCCGCAAGGGCCTCTGGGAGGGCCCGTGGAGCGACGGCTCCAAGGAGTGGACCACCGAAGTCCAGGAGGAGCTGGGACACAAGTTTGGCAGCGACTCGGTGTTTTGGATCTCCTTTGAGGACTTGATCCGCAAGTACACGCACTTTGACCGCACTCGCCTCTTCCGAAACGACGACGACTGGCGCTGCTGCCAGCGATGGATCGGCGTCGACGTCCCGTGGAAGGCTGACTACCACGAAAAGTTCCGCGTCAAGCTGACCAGGGACTCGCCCTTCATCCTGGTCCTGGCGCAGTTGGACGGCAGATACTTCAAGGGTCTTCAGGGCCAATATAGTTTCCGCCTGCACTTCCGCCTGCATCACGAGGATCGGCCCGACGCTGAAGACTACATTGTGCGGTCTCACGGCAACTACTTCATGAAGCGATCGGTCTCGGTCGAGCTCCCGGATCTCCCAGCTGGCAACTACACCGTCTACCTCAAGGTCACCGGCCAGCGCGACAGCAAGCAGCCGTCGGTCGAGGAGGTGGTCAAGCGGGAGGCCAAGGACAGGGTCGAGAACGAGAAGCTCGCCCAGGTGGGCTACGCGTACGACCTAGCGCACAGCAAGGCGTGGGAGCACATGGAGAAGGTGGCCAAGATCCGCAAGCAGCGAGACCAGCAGAAGGCCTCTGCGTGCCGCCAGGAGGAGCGTCGCAGGCAGTGGGAGAGGCGCCACATCAGCCGCGACATCACCAAGAAGCAGAAGAAGAAGAACACGGAGAAGAAGGAGCGCAAGAAGGAGGCCAAGCAGGCGGCTAGGAGGGCGGTGGAGGCGGCCAAGAAGGTGGAGGAAGAGGTCAAGCAGCAGCAGCCGGCGGTTGTCGAGATCAAGGAAGGCCTCCCCACTCCGTTGACGCCTGATGCCAATGGCAAGGATCCCATGGACGCGGCGATTGCGGCCATTGGCGTGGCCAAGATGTCACTGGACGATGGCGGCTCCGACTCTGACTCTTCTGCTTCTCCCACGGATACTCCCAAGTCGGAGGATGCCATCATTTTCCCTTCAAACGACAAGAAGGAAGATGTGCCGCCTCCCGCCACGGACGACGCAGCGGAGCCAAAGCCTGCTGCTGCTACTGACGAGGAGAAGAAGACAGCGCCGCCGCCGCCTCCTCCACCGGCTGCGGCCCCAGCTCCAGCCACCCCAGAAGTCGAAGACTCCGACGACGGCGACTCGTCCGACTCGCCCGTCGAGGACTGGGAAGAGCTGTACAGCAGCGACGACTACACGCGCAAGCCGCGCCAGTTCCCGTACCCCAGCCCGCCGCCCCGCGACGACTACGACACGGAGGAGGAGAACATGCCGGCGCCGTGGAACGCCGTGTGCATCGTGGGCATCCGGGTGTACTCCAAGGATCCGGACCTGCAGCTGTCGACGGTGCTGGAGAGTGGGGAGCTGGACGGCATGGGGGAGAAGGGCCAGGCGGATCTGGATGACGCGCAGAACAATGCGGGCGGCGTGGGGATTACGGAGGAGAATGGGGGAGGAGGAGGAGGAGGTGCGGTTGCCGGGCTTTGTGTGAAATGATTCTGTGGCTTGATTTGGGTGATTTTATTTGTCTTTGGCAGGTTTTGAGCTTCTGAGTTCGGTTTGTCTGGGGTTTGACTTGAGAGTTTGGATTTCTGGTTCGTGGTTCATGGTCTTGGATTTTAATATTGTTGAGGCGTGTCGTTTTCCTTTTCTGTTTTCTTTTTTTTCCCTTTTTTCATGAGATGATAGATCGCTGCGCGATGATTTGAACGCCACTCATTTCTCTAAGGGGCCACACAGATAGAGATGATCATGACGCCACTCTTTGTAGACTTGTTTGTCGAGAAGACTCGGATAATATAGCGCTATAGCGTATGCATTTGGTCCATGTCCGTTTGGCGCCTACGAGATACCTATGACTTGACATATGGGTAGATGTCCATCTCGTATATTGCCTTTGTCTACTACAATGGCCTGCGTCACACAATTCATGACTTCTGTCACAAATGTCTTTGAAGATTAAAAAATCTTGGGTATGGATATGCTTAGACATGAATGTATCATGTAATAAGCTGATGGCCATTTCGACACAGGTCGACCTCGCTCACTCCTTTGACGCAACAAGACGTCTTGAGCTAGAGACATAAGACTCCGCTTCTCACAATTTGCTTCAAGAGTAGCTATCTTGTCTGTTGCGTTTCATGAGTCTGTGGTTTTGGAAAAAGCTAATGGGGAGACTGGCGCTTTTTCTTCTGCTCATCTGGATCGAGGATCCCAAGCTCGAGGGCGCCTCCATTGAGACGCTCAAGTCCAACTTCAGATCATGGGTACATTTGACCGGGTTGCCCAGAGGAAGCTCATGACCTCTTCCGGCCTCCAACATGTCTGCTTCAATAAAACGCAGAGTTCTCATGTTCATCTTCCAGGACAATGAAGATGCCCACAAAAAAGTCGCTGCGTCAGCGGTCTCGATCTGAAAAGGGGGCTATTTAATCATGGACAGGATCCGCTCCCCCCTGAGCAGGCGGTGGGCATGTTTGACAACGAGGCTGATTCTGAAGAGGTGATGCAAGTCCAGGAAGAGATGACTGACACGGTCTTTCACGATGAGATGGACAATGAGATGTGGTATGTGTTTTATACACTGCCGTCAAACCCGTATATCTAGTCGATAGTAGCTCTGGGGACATAAAGCTTTGGTAATGCATGCATACATGGTTTGGTGCTCGCTCGCTGCCTTAAGTGTGACAAGTCTTGCTTCTGAGGCTGGGTTTCCCCTTGAAAGATAACGGGGTCTCTTTTCGGTGCAGCTTTAGAAGGGGGGGGGGGGGGGGGGGGGGGGGAGAAGGGGATCACACACCCGCCTACCAGAAAGAAATCAGAATCTCTTCATTACACAGAGCTATGAACATAGTACATACCTATACGTGGTAGTCAAGTTCGATCACCAACCAAGTCTTCCAGGCAGTTGAAATGACCCAGTTCGACCACGTCCAAAATTTGCGAGAGCTTCAGTATAGTTCTTTGTTTATAAAAAAAATGCGATGACTGCTTTTCCCAGCAGATGCCTCGCCGTCTCAATTAAGTCTACCTAGTCTAAGCATAACGCCAGTCCCAGTAATAAAAAGACTCGTCCCAGCATCGGTGTTGTCCTATTCAGACACCCAAGAGGGACGGTCCAGGTTTCAATTAAACAACACTTTCTTAGCATACAAGTTTCCAAAACGGCGCCGGTTTTATGTCAAAAGGGGCCCGAAGCGTGCGTGCACTACGTAGGCTCATCTCGCCGTCGTAAGAATGAACATGGCACGAGAGATGCCTGCACGCGGTATCTTAGCCGCCAAACCCGAGTTTCTACATCTACGCACATGCAGTGGTGAGGTAAGTCGCGGCCTCGGGGCGCCGCTGCCGGGGTATCGCTCCGGCCCTCGGGAGGACTCATGCCATTCAAGCAGTGCCGTTGACGGTGCCCTTGGCGCGGGTTCTCTCCAGGCAGACCTCCTTGGTGACTTCGTCGAGGCATCCAAGGGCGGCGGCCACCAGGCCGAGGATCGGGAGGGATGGGGTGAGCGGCGAGCTGAGGTACTCGGGGTGGTACTGGACGCCGACGAAGTAGGGGTGGTTCTTGATCTCGATAATTTCCATGCGCCTGCCGGTCTCGTCCTTGCCGACAAAGGACAGGCCGGCCTTTTCGAGCTCGTCGACGTAGGCCGGGTTGACCTCGTAGCGGTGGCGGTGGCGCTCGTCCACGGTCTCGGCGTTGCCGTACATGGCGCGGAGCTTGCTGTCCTCGCTGCCGGGCTGGAAGTGCGTGGTGCGCAGACCAAGGCGCATGGTGCCGCCCTTGGTCTCCTTGGAGCCCTCGGGCATGAAGATGACGACGGGGTGCTCGGCCTGTTCCTCAAACTCCTCGGAAGTGGCTCCGGCATGTCCGCACACGTTGCGCGCAAACTCGCAGACGGCCAGCTGCATACCGAAGCAGATGCCCAGCCAGGGAGTGTTGTGCTCTCGCGCCCACTGGGTGGCTTTGATGATACCCTCCGTCGCTCTCTCGCCGAAACCTCCGGGGACAACCACGCCGGCTGCTGAGCAAACATCGTGCCACGCCTTGTGGTACAGGGCGGGGTCGACCTCCCGGGTCGAGTTCTCGAGGTGCTCCGAGTTGACCCAGATCAGGTTCAGCTTGCGCTTGCAGAAGATAGCCGCGTGCTCCAGCGACTTGTAGAGACTGAGGTAGCTGTCGTGGAGCTCGACGTACTTGCCAACCAGGGCAATGTCGACCGTCTCGGTGTACGTCTTTGAGATGACATCCTTCCACTTCTGCCAAATCTCTGCACCCATCTTGACTTGGGCCGGCTCGGGGGTCAGCTTGTCGAGCGCCAATAGCACGCCCAGCACATCAGAAAGGCCTTGCTCCTTGAGGAGCAGAGGCACCTGGTATACGGTGGGCATGTCTCTGACGGCAATGACCTGCTCAGTCTCGACCTGGCAGTGAAGGGCAATCTTCTTGATGGTATCGGGCTCGAGGGGACGCTCGCAACGGCACGCAATCTAATAAACCTGTAAGCCAAATGATAAAGGAACAGTGATTGTACCAGACGCAAGGAAGACTTACCAAATCAGGAATGAGACCAGCACTGCGTATGCTCTTGACAGCGTGCTGGGTGGGCTTTGTCTTTTGCTCGCCGTTGATGACGGGAACATAGGAAACCTGGATGTTGACAAAGTTGTTCTTGCCGATCCTGTGGCGGAGTTGTGTGAGGGCCTCAACGAAAGGCATGTTCTCGATATCGCCGACTGTGCCGCCCTGTCAAGGAAGTTAGAGGCAGGGGTAAGATGGGACAGGAAGTTGGGGTGAAAGTACCAGTTCAACTAGAAGGGTGTCAGCGGGCGGCTGGTCTATCTTGCAGTCGGGGAGGTAGAAGACGTACCAATGCAGACATCGGGCTCGGCGCCCGACTCATCGATGGGGATCCTGGCGACGCGCTCAATCCACTCCTGGATGAGGTTGGTGACGTGAGGGACGACCTGGACGGTTTTGCCCAGGTAGTCGCCGCGGCGCTCCCTCAGACCAACTTCCAGGTTGATCTTGCCGGTTGTGATGTTGTGGTCTCGGGACAGGTTGATGCCCAGATATCTCTGGTAGTGTCCAAGGTCCAGATCGCACTCGCCACTATAGCCTCGGGAGTCAGTCCCACCTTATGTCAAAGTTTTTTTCAGGGGACCCGGAATCCAATCTGTTGCGAGACACTCGTCTTTTTCTCCAATTGATGTTCGAGAAGGGGTGAGAAAACCACAGTTGGAGCGTCATACCCGTCGTCCAGAACAAAGCACTCTCCGTGATCCTTGGGGTTCATAGTTCCGGCATCGATGTTGAGGTAAGGGTCGATTTTCTGTTGTCGTGCTTCGGGTTAGAGACCGATTTCATGGCTCCTCAGGGAGAGGCTAGGTAGGTGATGCTCACGATGCAGGTCACTCGGAGGCCGAGCGTCTTGAGGAGCTACGCAGCGTCAGTATCCAGGGACTGCCAGAACCGAGACGAGGCATCAAAGCCTACCAGGCCGGTGGACGAGGCAATGATGCCCTTTCCGACACCTGTCGCACTGTTAGCATGTCATTGTAACGAGGCTGTACACAGGAAGAGTGTTGCCGCACCGGAAATAACTCCGCCCGAGACCAGAATGTAGCGCATGATGACAAGAACAGCTTCGTCAAGATCGGAGGATAATGATATGTTGACGATGACTGCGCATGTGAAGTTTGCAAAGAAAGATTTCCAACTTTTTTTTTTC